AGCGAACATCCGGGCTGCTCGTAAATTTCTCAGCTAACCCGCGTTACAACTCCGCAAAACTCTAATGGGGGTCGATATCGAATTCCGACTGTGACTCCGCAAAGGCATTCCGCGGGGGATATGGCATCCATCCCTTGCGGGCGAGATGGCCGCGATCGGTTGGTCAGCTGATCGGTTAAATTAAATTCTTCGACATGAAGTTACGGATCTCCCCCGCCGAGCACACAACATAGTTACGGAACACTAAAACAATATATCTAACGAAAATTATTCAAAAGATTCACCGACATCGCGAAATATCGAAACAACAGCCGTCGACGGCGCGTCCATGTCTGCAGAAAAAATGGCGGCGATATCCGATATTGAAATACCGCAAAATCCTAATATATATATTTTTTGGAACTCCACAGAATGGCGATTTAAATTGATACGCGATTTTGATTAAATGAATAAGTTTCGCGTTTCGCTACGTTTTATCGGACGCTCTTCAGCCCAGCGTGGAGAACTATAAACCGTGAAGTTTCGATGCCGACCGCTAAAAATGTTTGTCAATTCCGTCAAATTCGAGCACACAGAGTTAGATCGATACCGCAAATTTGATACGATGCAGTTAAATTATTCAGCGGTGTTTGCGCGCCCCACGAAACACGAGTCTCGAATTTTATGACGTTTCGGCGGAAATCGCTTCCCGCGAATTAACGACACTTCCTTTTAGTCGTTTTTTTTTTCTTTTTAGAACCTTTGAGAGCTCCGTGCCAAAGTGTTCGGATCCGTGAGTTTGCTCGGTGGCATCGAGGCAATTATCAAACGCGTCGCGAAGGCCCGCTCGAGTTTGCATCCTGCCTACTCCTAATTTCTCGCAGGATATGCTAACGAGCTGAAATTAGCCAGTGCCTCTGCACGCCATATCGCCCGAGATCGACCTAACTATCTATTCTACTTGAGGGATTACTCCTAGCGATATCGACGCCGAGTCGACTTCAAAGTCTGCGGGCCTTTTGCGGCACACTAAGCGCGATGGCTCGATAAGCTAATAAATAAACCAACATACTGATAACTGGTAAAAATAATTTCACGCAGCCAGAATGAGCAGCTCCAAAATACATAAACGGTCCTGTAACGCGAGATTATAAATCTGGGGATTTTTTTAGAAAATTTGTGAAATTTCATAAAAAAGAAATTGATTTTTACATTTTTTTACGGTTCCCTTCCGAGCGTTCTATTTTCAGGCGTTGCAGCGCGCAGCGGCCACGGTGACATTTATTCCTCCTCGAAATGGATCCCCCCCTCGGCGAAGTTTTATTCCTGCTTCTGTCGGGTTTACAGGTATGTGATAAACCATCAACAGATGGCCCGATAATCGGGAAGCTTACGATCGAGTTCCTCGCATCGGGGAACGGGCCGCATGAATAATCCTCCACCCGGCGATTTACCGCCCACCGCGTACGTACATCCGCGTATGTACCCCCCATACATTTTGGGACCCTCGGTGAAGCTCCGAAATTGCATCGAGCGCGGATCTATGAGACATTGCCGCGGGAAATGAGTTTAGAGAAATATTATAAAATAAGTGAACTAATAAAAATATGAACAGCCAGTAAAATCGGGATTTTATACAGTACGAGTACCTAAACGTATAAGGACGCCTGCGCATACAGTGGGGTACATATCGGCGACCTCGCAAAATGTTTTATACGTCAGCCCGTGAAAGGGGCCGCGGTAAAGCCATTTTTATTGGGCACTAACCCGCTCCTTCGGGATCCCCGTCCAACGGGAGAAACGCGTACGCGCCCTTAAGGATTTATACAAGAGGAGTCCAATAGCGCGAGAGCGAAAACTATGAGCGAGCAAAGCGGCACGGTAACGAGCCACGATTTATGCCCAGCTTTTTATTTCAGTTTTATTCCCCCCCTCGGGACCCGCCCCGTAATCGTCCTTGTCCTTTCAGAATTTATATGGTGTCGAGAAGGCCTAACACGTGGTACCCCACTCTTCTCCCCACTCTTCCGAACGACTTTACCCTTCCCGTTACGTACTCCATTTTATGTCCCTTTGTCGACTAATTTTTTTTTATGCATCGAAAAGTGATATTAGTTCTACCCCATTTTTTGTCACCAGAGACGATTTGGGTCTACTAAGAATTTATAGGAAAATGATTATCTCTCTTTACCGCGAGAGACCGTTAAATCCTCCATAATTTCACAATAAAATCGTTATTTCTCCCGCGTTTTATCGCGAGTGACGTTTAAGAGCTACAAGGCTGCAACAAACCGACGTTGATATCGGCTATGATTATCTGGGAGAATTTTTTTTTTTTTAGGCAATTATTCCACCATCGCGCCGACCCTCCTCTCCAGGAAGAGAAATGGACGAGTAATTTCCGGCGATCGGAGGTCAAGGAACCGAAGACTCGAAACGAAGGGAGATAAGAAATGGTTCTGTCGGCGATTCCTGGATTTCGGGATTCCTGGGTTCCAGGATTATCAGGGACAGGTGCGAGCGATATAAGGGATGGCCTCCCTAAATATGGGGAACGGGGGAGGGACCTTTCCCCCTCAATTTCAGGGCTCTCGATGAAGATGCGCCAAAATCGAGGGGTAAGGGAATAACTAAGCCACCGGGAATAAAAAAAGGGAGGCGCAAGAAACGAGAAATCAAAATTAAGCTCGATAAATTCCAGAGAATAAAATAACCAATTCCGACGATCCTTAAATTTCGCGACAGGTGCTGGGAAAAACGTTCGCCGAGAAAAGAGTAATTCTGAAACTGGCACCAGTCCGTAAATGGGATATGGCGTACAACTACGGGGAGAATAAATTATTTTACAAATCGTAACTTTACGAATTAATTGTATAACGTGGCTTTTTATACATTTTAAGACGCGTTGATTCGCGAAAAGTGTAGAGTCGAGTGCCGAACACTTGACGCTCGCGTTATAATTACAAGCATGGCGTAAAGTGTCCGAGGGATGAAGAGAGCGTTATGGGGTCGTACAGAAAATCCAATGGGACCTTTTATTTAATCCCAGCCATGGCTCGACTGCCACGCTTTCGCCTCCTAAAAGCACTATCGACCTGTCGAATTTTTTCCCATTTTTTTTTTAACCTCTAGAGAGATCTCCGCATCCCCGATTGATCGACTCACGGTTAGATCATTGGGCGACGTAAAGAGATTCGATAGAGTTCCGCGGCATATACCGACGCCTCCGATAAGCACGAGTCAACTCCTGACAAATTACGTTCTATTTTGTAAACTCCCAACTTTCGATGTCAACAACTCCTATCAAGTATGTCAAGACAAGAGGTTATCCCGTGTCGTCCAGAAACAAGACCTTGAGCATAGCATATAAAATGTAAAAACTCCCTACCATCCGAATATAAAAATATGTGACCATTAATTACATACCCGACGAACGGAAAATCTATTCGCGACTGAAGTTACATTGAGATGACTGCAAACCCGGTACAAAATATTCAAGCAAATCCCGAGTTCCGAGCGCGATGGCGAATCGAGGGCGATACAAGGAAAATCCAGATTCGCGAGTATTTCTTCCACGTGCGGAAATCCCGTTCCTCGCGATAATTCCGCGTTGACGGAACGAGAGGATCCTAAACGTGGAGATAACGGGACGTGGGACGAGTATATAAATGTGGGGAGACGAGGCGATCGGCGTCATTAGGTCGAGTCCGTAAAGAGTCTCTTTCGGAGCCATGAAGAATTTTCTATATTTCGCGTTTCTGCTGTTCCTCGTGCACCAGGTTGCATCCCAAGCCTTCGACTCTACATACAACTTGCAGAGTACTTGCGACAACGTCAAGTGTCCGGCAGGCACGGAGTGCATCATGTTCTCCGAGGCCGTCTGCGTGACGTACCCCTGTCCGTTCGAACCGCGACCGACATGTTTCCCGAAATCCGGAACCTCTTGATAACCCGATAAAAAAAAGTAGGTATTTTTCTTTTTTTTTAATCGAGCCAATTTTAATAACGATAACGCCGGATTTTATTTTTCTCAAGGTGTTACTTGGCTGCCACGACGGAGACTAATCTGCGCGGGCAAAGAGTCGAGTGCATCGCGATCCCTCGGCTAAGTTTCGCGCCAAGTGCATCTAAGGACCCTGACAAAAATTGCCCGTGTATATTTTCATCAATGTATAATTATGTAATGAAATTATAAATTATTTCCTTGAGGAGTCATTGCTATCGATCGTGTCTTTTGGTATCGAGGCCCTTTTTTTTTTACCAGGGTAATCCCGCGAGATGAAAATCGTATTCAGAGTCGAAGGGTCGGAGAGAGAGGAGAGCGATTTTGCAAAGTGACCCGTCGCGACCCTCCGGATTGCCGGGTAAGGATTTCCCATTCAGGGATCATTTTTATCCCCCGGGAATCCGCGGCCACAAAGACGTTCCCGCGGGATCGGCGAATCCTCGACCGACATAATACTCTTCTCGATAATTCGAGGGGGAGGCGAGGGGAAAACCCCCCAAATCACCCGACGTGCTCCAGACGCGCATCCCCCGTCGAGGAAGGACGTGGTCCGGAGAAATCCCTTCCTCGAGGGAATTTGAAAAAGCGCTTCCACCGCGTCTTAAGGCGACACGAAAGTGACATCCAAGAGGTCTCGACACTTTCCTCCGAACTGGATATACCGAGTCCTTTAAAACCTCCCCATACGAACATCTTGGCCTCAAGGAAGGTCTCGACCCCCATAAAATTTATTTACCAAATTTATAAACATTTAACATTTTTTATAGATATTAAAAATCCAACACCTCTCGTAGAGCCTTCCCATTAGTGTTAAAATCTCAAGCAATTCGGTCCACGAAGTCCAAAGAAAAATCCTAAAGGCCCCTCGGAAGCCACTTTCGCGTCGCCTTAAATCGAGGAATCGGGAATTTTCAAGATATAGGGGATCGTCCACAGGAATCGCAACTCCATTCATGGCCCGAAGAGGCAAGGCGATACCATGGTACCACCCGGAGGAAAGAAAAAATAGACTCACGCGTGCTGTCATATCGGATGCCGTTGAGCTCCTCGAAGCAGGCCAGCCTGGCGAGGGTGCCGGGCGAGGTGCGGGGCCAGCAGAAAAGGGAGTCCCAGTGGACGTCGCAGACCTCCTCCGGGGCACTTCCGGCCAGATGTTTGGCGGCCAGGCACTCGAGCTCGGCGTCGAAGAGCGACTCGTTGAGCTCGTTGATGGACTCCAGGACGTTCAGGACGTAGTTCTCCTCGCGTGTCCCGTTCTCCATGCTTCAGGGTCGGCCCACCTCCCGCTCGGGCGTCATGACACCGACTACCTCCGCGTTTACGGACACGGGCCGCACGTGTGCCGGCGCGGGTGCGCACGCGTGCCGGGGGGTTTCCCAAATTGCGGGAGAAGGGGAGCCCCGGTGCCCCCGGATTGGGCGGAGAGACGAGAGCGTGACCCGGGGGTCACCTGTGGGTCTCGTACCTGGGTGACCTTGGGCCTTCCCGACTGGATCCACGCGACGGGATTTTCTGGTCCCTCTTCGGGGGGCTCTTCGAGGCGCTCTTCGGGATCCTCTTCAAGGTCCAGCGCCGGCCACTCCTCGTCGAGTTCGCACCCAAGAAGACGGTACCAATATGGATTTTCGCCTGTACCTGGCTCCTGAGCTCGCCGGTTATGTATGTGCAGGACGAAGAGCATGCGCCATCCTCCCTTTTCCTGGGAGCGACGGCCCGCTCTTCCGACGAGTCTCTCTCCCTGCGGGATCACCTGCGAACCCACGGAACATAAACTTCGAGCGAGGTGTCATCGATCGTTCGCAACTTCCGTCTGGCGTATCCCATTTTCCTATTTTCCCTCCGAGATTCCCGCGTTGTCTCGCCAACTTGGACAGTCGCAAAATATACGAGTGGTCGTACGTAAATATATATAAAAATGTTTATACGTTTATATATAATTGTAGAATACCGAACTCTCGCGAGAGAGGTCGGTGTCGATTATCCCGTACGGCGGAACTCCCTCGGGCATGACAAATGTTCTCCAGGACCCTTAGGAGGGCGGAACTTCTGCTTTTTACGCACTCCACCCTCGTCGGCGTTCTTCGGGAGTACCCCACCCACTTTTCGAGGTATTATTTTCTCATCCTTCCAATATTTCTTGTATCGTTTTCTTATTACCAGGACGGAGGTCCTTCCGCGGGAGATTCTAGGAGCATTAAGGGATCTCGGCACTCATCGCTGCTGCGGAAGTTTCGACGTGCCTCCCGAACTTTCCTTTTCATCCTCTACCGAGGAATCGAAGTACCCGTGACAAGGTTCTCCCCATAAAAAAAGCGCTCTCGAATATAACGTTAACGTAACAGCGTTTGAGCCGAACCGATGCGTGAAATTACAATGTAATTTATCGTCAGGCTTTGATCTCGGAATCTCGTTTCCACGTCGACAAAGAAATCGAGAAAAATGGTCCCTCCTGGGTAAAGGACGAGAACGATCGAGGATCCGAGAAAACGCGGTAATTCCGGTCCATACCGATTCCCCTTTTCCCGGATTCCTTGCACTCGGACCCCGCAAGGAAATTCGAGATAATTCTTCGAGACAGGACCTCCCCTCGAGGACTCGCTCGAGTTAGAAAGAAACCCAGTTAGCGTAACGTGCAGGACGTCTGCGCAACTAAGGAGGACTTAATCGGATTCCCTTCTCCAAGAAGGATTCCGTAAGGAGTCCCGTTTAAGAATCTCATCTCGCGCGGGATAAAATTAGTCGGGATTATTTCGAAGGGAGGAATCCTGAAGGAATCCTCGCCAAAGGACCCAGGACGCCCGGAGATGAACATCTAGAGGACAGTGACTCGCCCCACCGGATCGGTCTCGACTTATTCTAGGTCCTTAACGAGTTACAAAAGTCTAGGACACTAATTAATTTCACAAGCTCCCTTAATGAGCGTTACAAGAGAGTCCTCGAGGTGCATCGTTTAGACGCCGCCAAACGGCCGATTGTCTCTGGGACCTCTCGGAGGTCGTTAGCGAACGATTCTCGAAAACGAGAGAGTCGAGAGACAAACGTCGACGACGTAGCGCGACTTAATCCAAAGACTCTTTCCAGGAGTCGGTACAATAACCGCTTCCTCGAGGCGAAACTCTCATTAAGGACGGAGCTTGATCCGCGATGCATCCTCGGTACACAACTTCCAGGGTGATCCGTTTCTCGTGCCTTCGTGGGGACCGTTCGTATTTCTAATTAAATCTCGTGGTCGGGGACAGATGGGCTCGTATTAATCAGGCAGCAACGGGAGGGCGAGGAGTTGTAACGTCTGAAGGGCGGCAATTTGTCGAGGACGTGGTTCCATGCAGGGGAGCTGGACAGGAATCAGGACGCCGGGTCCTGGAGGAGCTTCGTAACGATGCGTTTAAAAACGCTGACGTAAGTTATGCGGAATTGACATCGATACCCCAGGTCCTCGACGCGGTTAATCTTCCCAACGCCTCGACCCGGGTTTCGAGCCTATTCCAGGGACCTCGTCCTCTTCGACCCCCAAACCGCAGGACAAGGTCCCGCGACTCCTGCAAGCGGTGCTTCTCATCCGAAGCGTATAATCTCGAGACGTTCCAGTTTCCTTGTCACCATGACGACCAGCGGTATCTCCTTACGGCGTCGTCGCCGATTACGCCTTATCTTTGGCGTGACTTGAGCATACCATCAACGGCCGTCTTTTGGAAACTGGAAATCTCCAAGTTTTCAGGGTTCCATTTCGTTGCACGCTGGAATTAGAGCCAACCCCTCGTTACCCAATTTAAATAAATAATTAATCGTGGCTAAAAAAATGCCCGCTAATCGCGGTTAGTACCCCCGGCTCTTAGTCTTACCAGCTGTCGGTTTATTTATCCCCGGTGGTCAAAGAGGACAAACCGGGAGACGTCGGGAATTTCGTCATCCTTTCCACTCTTCAGGAGTCGCGCCCACGCCGGGTTCGCAGACGTGTACGTTTCTTATCCAATTACCGCGAACTTCGGGCGGAACTCGTTAACGAGCCGAGGATCGACAGGAAGGGCGGGATATTGTCAAACTTTCCGAGATCTTGGCGGAGGAGCAAATACTCGTCGCCTTTCGAGCGGGCTTCTGGAAGAAGATCGCGTTTAACCCCTTCTTCTCCGGATTCGTTCCGCGACGAGTCGAGGGATCCTCGATCGTGCTTCGACTGTAAATTCCGTTCCTTGATATTCTCCGATAAAGGGAATCTCCGTCTTCGCGAGTAGTTCAATTTGCGGGCTCGAAATATTTACTTCCCGTGTTCCCGCAACCCTCTCTGATTTGCCTAGCGTAGTACTTAACGGTCGTAACATGGCGCGAGGCGCCGTGCGACATAATAAGCGCAATTTACGGGATCTCGTAAAAGCTAGGTTCACGGTCGATCGGGCTCGCATCCGAGGCGGGGCAAACGGAACGAGGGACTTTCCGTCCCGTCGATTTGAATATTTAAACGCTCCCCCGAGGAGGCGTCCTTTATGGCCGCCAGCTAACAAGATTACCTCGCGGACGTGCCGCTCGTGAAAAACGGGAAGAAAAAGGTCACCTCGATCTTCCGGGGTTCCTCCTCGGCGGCGGGACGTTAAGTCGAGCTCAACTCGGCCCTCTGTATCGCCTTAATCGCTTTTAAAGCGTGGCTTTTCATGACTCTTTGCGAAGCGTCCTCCTCGGTCGATGACACCCGGTCTTGTGCTCACTTGTGCTCGAACCCGGCGATTAACTGCCACGGCCGTCGGATGGCGCCACCGGTGGCCCCCCTCGTCACGTGACGGGAATTTCAAACACCGAGTTAAACCTCGATTATTTCAGGTTATTTATTCCGGATTCGAGGCCGAGCGGAGCTTCTCGAGTTCCCGTGCGCTTTAGAATTCCCGACTGCGGGATTTGGAGATACTTTAAGATAAACTTTTCCCCCCGGAAGGAAGGACCACTCCGGAGTCCATCCCGGGCTCATCCGCGGAAAGTTCCATGCCCTTACGAGACATCCTGAACCAACTCTAAAAGCTTCCGATGAGATTCAACTTCATGACCTGGACAGTTATAGCCATAACATCATAACCTAGGAACTTTTCCGGGATCCCCCTGGATTTTGCGCAAAAGCCCCGGGCGATAAAGGAGCATACCCGTTATTTCGCCGGTTTCATCCGGAACGATAAATTCTGCTTTCATGAGACGTCAAGTTTACGACTCGGATTAAATTACGCGTGCACTAGATCCATATTGATGGAGCTTTCTCGAAGGCTGACTTTTGCGGCGCCTAACCTATTACACGTCGATGAACGTCCCGACGTTATTTTTTTATCATACCCACTCTCCCTTCTTTCACCCCTGGATAAGAATTACGGATCGAACTCACCTGAACTACGGACGAATTGAAGTTTCAGAAGCCAGCCTTATCGACGTCAACTCATCATCGATAGTCGGTAAAGAAGGGAGAGCGAGGTCGAAAATGGAGAATGCAATTAAAAAATTCTTTTCCATCGAAATTTGCGGTAGCGCTATCCTTTTCGACGTTCCCGGGATTTTGTTTCGATTCGACGCCAATTCGCGAACGTGACTGCAATTAATGCGCATCCTTGCGTGCACTATCTCCTCCAGGAATACCCCTTATCTCCGGCAAATATTTGCCACGTTAACAATATCTGCCAGTGCGCAGCTGCCGTAGTAGAAAATTCTCCCCCTGAAAATGGCGCGTCGAAGTCTGCCGATAAAATCGCCTCTTTTAATTGAAAGGAGAAACGGAAGCAAACAAGAAAAAAAGCATCGCAAAAATTCCTGCACTGTCTTTTCCAATTAACTAATAATAGCCGATCGAGCAGTCACGCTATGGGCAAGTACCGATCGCGAAAATATCCTTTGCGAACCTTCTTTTATTACTAAAAACTCATCTCTGCCTCTTAAGCGGTAATCGGTAACAATCGCAGTTTTTACGCTAAGGTTGTCGAACACCTGCCTGTCGCCGTTAATTCAAGTGTTTACTTATAATCATTCGGAAAGACATAATTTATTGCTTCATCCTGAGCATGCCAACTGCGAAAGGGAAAGAAGAAAGAGCGAGCAATTTGTCCAAAAACCATTCAGATTCAAGATGCATTCGTATCGCAACGAGCATTCCATTTGGTTTGTTTAAACCTTAAGAGAAAATTGGGCGATTTTTATCCAACTGAAATATTCAGTTATACCGTTTCAATACAAGTCCAAGTGTATTGTCTCGATCGATCTACCCAGTGCCAAAATATTCGATTTAATCCCTTTCCATGGCAGCCGCATGTGTCGGCAATGCTAATAGAAAAATATTCTAATATCCTACGAATATCGTATAGTAGTGTACACTTTCGCCAGTCCGGCGAGAAATGTGAACGATCAATTTTCCAATTTCCCAGCTTTGGATGTCCCGATACTCAACCTCGTATCTACGAGTTATCGATAAATTACCGTCATAACACGCGTATTTACAATTCCGATTGTAAAAATACGCATTCAGTCAATACTTAGGACAGATACACGATACATTAATAATTGGTACTTAGAGCACTTAAATAATAACGCTCCCTCACTGGCACGGCAATGAGAAGGAACATCCAATGCAAACCAATACCGCAACCATTCGTGTTAGTTCGATGTTCTTAGTCTAGTTAAGAGCAAATAGAATTTCTGTTCTATACAAAGAGCCGCTTCTTTGCGTACTTCTAGCGATTCCTATTGACGGCCATTTTTGGGGACATCGGTCATGACGAAACCACAACCGTTCCAATTAACAATATAGAAGTACTGCGTGTACAATTGTTGCGTTTCATAAGCTGCACTGCGTGGATCGCCCTCGATTACTCAGGGGCATAATGATCGGCTGGGATTTCATGAACTATTTTCTCCATCCTCTGGAACTGGCTAGCGCCGACCATGGCGTTCCAGCATCTACAGGAACTTTCATAAATCTACTGCAGCGTCGACGGATGAGGTATCACTAGGGTCATTCAGTCAGGCTTAATCAGAGAATTCTGCAGTTCGTTTTCCGCGTCCTCGCTGGACATCTGTGAGGTATCAGAGTCGTTGTCACATTCTGGAACACAATGTCCGCTCAATTGCATTTAAAAGTTCCCCTCGCCTGACTTAACGAGTCGACACACAGAGACACGAGGAAACGGATAGTTCACGTGGGTACGCGTTGCATAGAGAATTCAGGGACGTGCAGAGTCCACTGGGATTACTTTTGTCATCCCAAAGAGACCAGAAGCTAGAAAGGCCAATCCGTCGTCCTGTAGATCGATTTGAAGGGAATCGAGACATACCTACAACTTCAAATGTGGATCGCTAAAGATGTAACTCCAAAATTGCATACCCTCTAACACCGGTGACCTTAATTAAAAATTCGTTAAATTGTATTTAATTCCTTGACCACGGATCAATAAAAATGACGACTGAGAGTCGAGAAATTGCCACGGTCCAAAGTGCCGAGTTCTCATTAAATAAAAATACAACGAGGATTAACCTAACGCGTTGATGGAATAATCGAAAGGTTACCAGAATCCTTATCTCTGTGTCTCTTAGACTAAATAAACTTGAATACCTTGTTCTAAGTTATCGCTGATATTCGATCTCCGTTTAACATGTAACTAGTCAACAAATTGAAATTATTTGTTCATGCACAGTTCATTGGAATATCCTCCCATTCTTAGTATGTTAGTGGTCATGCCAAAGCGTCCAGATTAATTAGGCGCATTAATGTATGTTATCATTAACGTCAAGCAAGAGGAGTCACCACAGAAATTACATTTGCGAAGAAGCATCGCTCTCGGCACGAAATCTCAACTAACTGTTGACTCAACCGAGTGAATTTAACGGCAATTAAAACCCAAACACAGGAAAGCCAGAAGCTATCTCGCTTGTTGCTTAAATGTAACATGTGGGTGCATAATTTACTTGTCTCACATGACATGAGAATCAACAATGGTTTAAATGTGTGCGAACTCTTAATTAATTCAAACATCTTGCAAGTACGAACGGATGCCTAATCTGTAACGACATGTCGGACAAGGATCCAGGATAAACACGAGAGAGTCCAGAAGAACCTAAAGTTAATCAGAGTGTAAAAGCAACGGAGTGAACAAAAAGTGACAACACAAGGGGCGAAGGAAAACGTATCTTTTCTTTTTTTTTTTTTTTCTCCCAAAGAGGTCGAGACGAAGGGAAGAGCGGAAGGGAAAATTAAATTAATTGTCAGGCTGAGTGTAGAGGAATAATGAAATCATGAAAATAAATTAAGTACCAGGTTTACAGCGCACTATCAGGAGATGCCCAACGATGATCTATAAACGCGTTGATTCCGCTTGCCCATTACTCTTAGTATCTAGATATTTGTCTGCAAGAAAGATGTTTGTACGTTACACAAAATGTTTCCATGCACTACGATGCAATCGCGGTCTCTCCAATCGAACGTGCCCTCGACATTAACAATTATCATCGAAGCCAGACGTTAATAAACTTGCAACATTCGTACAGCATGTGAAATCTTTGCTTTAGCGAGAAATCGAATGACAATGAAAAATTCAAGAAATTAAAAATAAAGAAACGAAGCTCTCGTGTAATAAAATAAACGCAATGACACTTGGTTCTTATACGATTGCATCGGTGAATGCATGAAATTAAATAGCGGTTCTCTAAACTGTTAGCCCAAAAAATTTTCGTAGCTAGACGCTGAGCATGATTTTAGTACGTTTTGGATTCTCGAGAAAAAAAAATAAAGAAGCAATTAAATGAAATAACCCTTAAAGCACGAATCGATACCATGTGATATCTACGTACAATACATAACGGTCTGATTTACAGCTACGATAAACATATGAATTTTTATTTATTGACGATACGATGAAAGAGTGTGCAAAGTAACTGGCTGCGTTACGAAGGTGTGATAATTAAGGCGAACAAGATATGTTACTGGCCCTTAAGAGTAACTTCACGAATGGCACATAATTGTTCCCCGTGTTTTCTGGGTTACTTCATTGTGAAATTATTTACAGAATGATGCAAGAAACGGATTAATTCTCGAGAGTCCTTCAGGACGACGCGTAATTGCGATTTTTTTCATCATCATTCTGCAAAAATAATTGATGTTACGGTTAATAAGTCGGAACACGTTAAGCACCATATTCTTGGTGTAATCGTGGGTCGAAGCAAACCAAAGGAAGGGTACCTTCTTTAATTATTATCAACCGCGTTAACAAAGCTGCCACTTTGACCTAGGTAGCGCTTTCACAGAGAGGATACCTTATGCTACTAAGACATGCCAAAATCGCTGGAACATAAAATAAATATTCAAAACTAACATGAGCCAGAGATTAACGTAGGTTCTATTTTGCAAAGGATTGCCTATTTTTAACAAGTTAAGCGCCACCGTGATTCTACATTGACTTACGCTCGTAAGTATCATGTAAAGGGACAACTTTGCAAGTTTGACCCATTAATAAATATAAATAATTTTCGACAAGGCTAAGGGATTGCCATTATTTCTGCACTAACATGTCATTGTGTTAACAATTTATTCACAATTCGATTTTAATTAACCAAACAGATTTCTGGCGCTTAACGTGTTAAATCTCACTAATAGGTATTACTACCTTACATTGGCTCCAAAAACCTGTGGTTCCAACTGCAAGCCTGAGAGCAACTCATGCACTGTGCAGAAATACATTTGTGTTTTAGTCGGGTTAGAATATTTTATTTCATATTCCAACATTCCCTATTAATATGTTAATTAATTATTATTATCAGTAAATAGATCACACCGATCTGTGCACCTAAACATTGTTGAAACCCGTATCGTAATGGACGTATGTACTTTCACTATTTTTCACTACCAGGTAAATATTTGTTCGGTTCACTCGTCATCGCTAAACTGCTACAAATCATTGACCATTGAAAATACAAACATACGTGCAGCGAACGTGCTGTTAATTTTTCAAGCTTCTTTTTAGTGAAACAGAAAGTAAATTATAGATTAATGAATTCTGTGGAAGCATGTGAAAGTGAAACTAAGACATTACGGACAACTGTCTTTCTCTAATATTCTCATTGTGAACAATTGCCTGTGTAAGTAAAAAAAAAATGATGACATCAATCGTCGATGAAGGAAAGTATGACATTCCGAAAGGACTCGATACTTCGTTTACTTACCAGCTATGGTGAGATCGACCAGTGCCTTATCTCTCTGGATGTAGAGAGCAGTCAAGAAGAAGAAGAGACTACCCAACACTTCCACGAAGATAGTCAGGAATAGAGAATACTGTAAACTTCTATACTCGATCACTGGATCCACAACCTTCCCCGTAGAGAGCAATAGTTTCTCCGAGCTGCCTATCCATAACTCCGGCGAAAGGGTATTCTTTAGTGCCTCGGATAGCTGAAAACAGATATACATAAAAATTGACTCATAAATAATTCCATGATTGAGCAAGTTATGTTCCTTGATAAAAAAAATTATATTCGTATCCAAACACATTTATTTAAAAAGACTCGATACTTACCAATCCTATGAGATATGGACTTCCTGCATCACCTAGTGCATGGGCTACGAGTATTTGAAAAGCTTCCGCTGATGATCTTCTGGTCGGTATTACTACGTACTGTAAATTTACTCAATTTAAAACAAACGTAAATCAGCGATCCATGGAAGTACAGAAAATTTCTCAAAGTTGAATGCTTACCAGCAACATGTCAGCCACTATGGACCAGTTAAGGTTCAGAGCCAACTGTCCAAAAAATATGAGCACATAACATGCAGTGGAACTGGTGCTAGCCGTAATGGACGCAAAGAATATGAGTGGAGAGCTCAATAAAAGTCCGATGGCACATATTAGTGGATCAGCTTGCTGCCAACGCACTCTTAATTTTTGTGCCATAAACGAACCCAATGGCACTCCAATTACTCCAGACACCATGGCAATTAAACCAAACTTATATGCTACGCTAAGGAATAAAACATAATAAATTAGTAGTCAGTAGTGGAAGATGATACACAGGATTTATTTAAAGTGACGATGTTACATTAACTTACTCTTTCGAGTCGACAGACTGTCCATTGGCTTGCAGCTTGAAACCCAATTCTATGAAGGTCGGCCCCCACCAGGATAGAGCTCCGGCAACAAAGGCTACACAGGTAAATCCTGCAGTGGACAGCATAAAGCTCGGACTGAAATTCAGATTGCAATGATGTGAACTGACAATCGAATGTGAATATAACTATATGGATATTTGTATATGTATTCCTTTAAGCACAGATTGTAGGTACAAATTGATCTTGGTCAATTTTATGATCGACGCCGACTCATTTATGAGAGGAATAAAAAACTGGAATATTCACTTTTTTAGTAAGGCCTTCATGTCATTGAGCCACGTCGTACTGGCAATGTGTGAGCCTCCTTCCTTTTCTCCTCTTACAGGATCTCGTACTACGAATAGCAACAGGAAAATAGCTACAATCCCCAAAGCAGGAGTAATCCTCAATCCCCATTGCCAAGATCCCGTTACTCTTGCCGTCTCCCCTCCTGTTATATATCCTAAACCACTGCAAAATATTTATACGTTTTTATTAGTAAAGTAATTATTCACATTTACTAGTATTCCAATTAAAAATCTTACCTTCCAACTGGTATGGCAAAATAAAATAATGCAAGCATTTTGGAGCGAACGTCCTTAACGAACAAGTCACTAATTATCGTAGGAGCTATCGTCGAGTAGCTAGCTTCTCCAATGCCAACGAACGTTCGAAAAATAATGAACCAGCCAAACGTCTAAAACAGTATTTATAGATTACGTAGAAAGGAACTTCTTGCTAACTTCCTAAGAATATAGCGTGGGCGTCGATCTCTCACTGGAATTGTGAGTAATTCATGAATGATGTCATCTGAATTTAGGATGAGAGCATCTTAGAATAAACTTAAAACCCAAATAAAGACATCATCGTGAACAATTATAAAAATTTAAGAACCTCTCTGATCATCATTGATGAAGCAAACATAACCAATATTACTAAAGGACCATTGGCAATTTTTAATGCTGCAGTAAACCTTGCAAATTGATATACCTTCATATACGATCCAACGAATGTAGTCAGGCACCATAAGAATACGCCAAAGCTCATGATAATTTTCCTATTGTACCGATCTCCAAGGTATCCAAACAACGGGGCAAAAATCATGTAACTGATGATGAAAGCTGTCTGGAGCAGGCCAGACTTATCATTGCCAATGTTGAAGTCGGTCCTTATGTTGCTAAGAACACCTAAAAAATCGATGCAATCACGAACACTCGTAAAACCACGGTTCAATTGGAATTTCCTAAAAGATGCACAAAACATACCGACTTAAGAGAAATGTTGCTCACCTGCTACCGTAAACCGATCCATGTAATTGATGAGGTTCACAAAGCACAATACCAAAACGGTGGCCCATTCTCGCTTGGTGACTGCCCTTTCCTTGGAGGGTGACCTTTTAATTTGTCTCACAACAGAATTGCTCTGATCATCGACGACCACGAGATACTGGTGAGAAACGGTCGGTGGAATTCTGGTTTCGTCCATAATTTAAGGAATTTCGGGACGGACCTCACGGCCAGTTCCACATAAACGAGCACGCGCGTCTGCATACGCGTCGTCAAACGCGCTACGTCAATAACTCGGTATCGTTATCATTGCGCGAAGACTTTCAATCGAAGACTGCCATTAGAGCTCATCACACCACTTTTTTCGACGAACCAGAGAGAGGGACGGCCAATAGGATAACCTTAATCACAATGAGGCGACATCACGTGATCCGAATCGAAGCTAACCAATCGAGATGCCAGGTGTGGACCAATGGCCGGCCGCCATGATAACTCGCCATTGGCTGCCATAGAACCAACATGGCCGCCAGGGAGAACTTTGTACTTTGTTACGCTTAAAACGCTGTTTTTTAGCTATATCCCCAGACCAACCTCACGCGATTTCGCCAACAAAACTCCTGCACCTCGAGCCGAGCACTTCAGCACTCCACAGGCGCCACGAACCACCGGCCAATCTGACGACCAGAGGGACCAGGACCAGTCGTCACAGTAACTTACCTAGGGTATTTTACTTATCCAACTTTGGGAGTCTAAATTAACTATGGATCTGTTTTTCCGCAATGAAGCCAGGGGACGACAACTTGGACTAGCTGCAAAATGTGAGATAGGGATACTTTCTACTACTCTTCGTTGTGAAGATCATGATGCAACGAATTTATCCGGCATTTTGTTTTAGAGTACTCACGTGTTGGCTGTTTCGAGGATTTCGAATTTCGTCCGTTTCTCTATCGTTCTTCACGCCCCGACCTCATGTTCAGCAACATGAACGGTGTAGTAAGAAACGCGTTGCGCTTATCAAAAAACGTTTTAAGGCCAACGTCGGCTGTTAATACAATTCGGCTGCACGCGGAAAGAGCGTTATGGACCGGGTGTAGCCGGTCGGTTGGCGAAACCTCTTTCATAGCTACGGCTAAAAATTACAAGTCAGAGAACCACTCGAACTGCACTTGCTGTAGAGGCGCTCACACGAAGGGTAAAAAAAAATTAATTTATGCCTTTGTTAATTCATTCTTTCTTCGACGAGTAGGAGCGAAGCCGCTTCGCATTGATTTCTTGCTATCGTGTTTAGAAGAATTATCATTTCAGCGGAGAAAGATCTGGTCGAATTCCTGGCCGAAGAAATAGTCGCGGAGAAGAAAGCCCAAAAGTTGAAGACCATTCCCACCGAAGTAGATGGGTTTAAGGTTTCCCTCGATGGCGCTGAAGTTTCATTGGAAAAGAAACAAGGCGATTCGGTGTAAGTCATTTTATTCCAATTGTCAATGTACAAAATAAACCATCCAAAGAGTTGAGTTCAAAGAGGAATTCCTGTACCTCTTTGATAATTGACCTTTGGGAAAAAAAAGTATTTCAATAGATACATTGTAAAGCTATGCTATACTTTACATATAATGGGAAATACGACAAATATACATACCTCACAGCTTTTTGTTTCGAACAATTATCGACCCAAGTTTTATGAGAATTTTAGCTAATTCGTTGCTTCCATAATTTTAATAGAATCAAAATCAGCTTCAATGTGAACCACACGGTCGACGCGGAGCCAGATCCAGAAATCGATCCTCGTGATGATAAAGTAAACATTGGAGAGATGAAAAGCAAACCTACTTTTGAAATCGACATCGTAAGAGGAAACCAGACGTTAGGATTTAGGTGTTCGTTCAACAGTGAGCCAGGAGCATCTGGAGCAGACGATAGTTATAGTTCGTAAATTTGTTGTTATCTGTAATGTTTGAAGTAGATCTCCGATGCTCGTATTGGTCTCATACCAATTTTCAGAATATTTTGTGGGACAAAATTTGTTATATACGAAATATTTTATTTTTGTTCAGATGACATTTTTGGAATCGATGAGATCACCCTCTACGAAGGCGAGTACACGGAGAAGGTGTATGCTGTTGCTGGAGAAGTGGTCGATGCGGTACGTATTTAAATTTTAATCTCAGACCCTGTCATAAAATTATTTTTCCTGATAAAATCAATATCGCCGAACGTTCCAATTTTGTTACAGTACCTTTACGATCTGCTCATGAATTATCTGGAAGAAAAGGGCATCACAAACGAATTTGCCGAGAAGCTGGTCGACTTAAGTACGAATTACGAGCACACTGCATATATCAGTCTGCTCGAGGGACTTTCAAAGTTCACCAGCAAACCGTAATTTTAACCGTAATAGCATTTATGATTAGATAATACGTGTTATACGAAATAAAAATGTACAATGTATAGTCGTACGTAACCGTTAAATATATCATTCCTTCTCGTATCATTCATGATAAAAGTGACTGAACCTAACAACGCTCAAAAACCAGCATTAAAAATTAAAAAAAAGGGTAAATCAAGAAAAAGACAACCTCTCATCACGTTGATATCGCAGGTATCCTTTTTATTGCCGGGCCAGAGCTTCGCCTCTCCGGATGCCCGAGCGTATACAATTATAACAATATTCAATTTTTACCTCCTGTCAATATACAAACGACCTCCTTTTCGCTTTTCTTATCAACGTTTGTTCCATCCTCGGCGCCTCGGCTCCTCTCGTAGTACAACAACGTAATAAATAACGGTACCTGTCGGTCCGGCTTAACCGCGTTATAATATCGTTTTATAAAACCGTTCTGCGTTAGTGAATAAATTAGGGTGAACGAAACGGTACGACGTACAGAATTAATGAGAATACAGGCTCGTAGTAATATTAATGATAATAATACGCTACCGGTGTGTACTCGTGTCTCCTTCTCTCCGTGGGCTCGGACAAGCCATTCCCAGTACTTACCTCCGTGTGCGAGGGTACATTGGTGGACGCGAACATTTTTTTTTCGAACATTGTGCTACCGATCCCATTAACTGGGTACCGGTATCGTGCGACGGTACACAACGATAATAAATTCCCGTCCGTCATGGTACAGTGGCAGATAGAAATACCGTCCGACACCGAGTTCTTCGAAAAGGGTACACCCTCGCGTCCACCAGTGCACGCATGTGTGTATGTACGATACGCATGGATCAAGGAACAAAGGGATGGAGCATAAAGTTGGGATAAAGTTCTAAGACGAGGGGATCGAAGCTCGAGCTTCGGTCGCGCAACGATACCCTCCATCCCTCTCTTCTCAAGGAGGGTCCAGATGCGAGGGTTTACGCGTGAACGTTTTCACGTTCCAGAAGGCGAGAACGCTCGCATCTAGGCCCACCTTCCGCTCCACGGTCCTTGTACGACGCGGGTGTACGACGCTCTCCGTCGCGTCTTCTCGGTACCCTCTAGGTCGCTACGCCACACATTGCACATACAATCTAACGTACAAATCTAACGACGCGACGCTACGCACCCGAGTCGCTCCCGAGCGGATCCGGGGGTTAGGTTCTAGGACCCGCTCGGGACCCATGGCGACGACTTGGCTACTCCCTACTTTGTCTCTATCCAGCGCGGCGCTAACCGCCGTAGACGGGGCTCCACGGTTTACTTCTTTTATATTTCTTCGTTTCCTCCCTCGCCGTCGGGAGGGGAGGAGCGAGGTCATCCGCGCGAGACGCGACTCCTCGGGGTTCGACGAGCCTCTTCGGGGTCCGACGCCCCCCTCAGCCCCTCGCTCTTCCCTCTCTCGGTAGTGTAAAAAAACGTGGTCGCTGTTGCTGCTGCGGGGCATTGGGGTTCGGAGTGTGACGACGTCGACGACGACGACGACGACGACGCCGACCTCGACCCGGCGAGGCGCTAGTTGCCGTTCGTCGAGCGCTGGATGGGCGGTATCACCGCGTCCCGCTCGGTCCCGTAGATCTTCCCGGCCTTCCTCGCCATGTTGCCCAGCATCTCCATCGAACACTTGTGCGCCGATCGCAGGGACAGCGCCCACTCTTTCAGCCCGATCTCGTCCTGCGAATCGAAAACCCTTTTTACCGTCCCTACCTCGACCTCTACCGCCTTAATCGGAAAATATATTTGCGAGCGATACCGTACCGAGGTAACCCGGTGAATAAATTCGCAAACCGGTGGATAAATACTCACGGGGTTGGTGAGTACGATTTTCGCGTCCCGGGTGCGCACCACGATGCACTGCTCCCCTTTCACGTGTTGGAGGTCGGCGCTGACTTCCTCCACCTATTTCGAGAAGGAACGGGATTAGAGGACCCCTGGGGGACGAGAGAGAGGAGCGAGAGGTATACCTGGTCCAGGAAGACGAGTTCGGGCTTCGTCGTCGACTCCGGATAGAGCTCGAGTCGGTTGGGGTAGAGCTTGGCGTATCTCGTCTGCCAGGCGCTGGCGAAAGGACCACCCAGTTTCTTGATGTACCCGTGAAGAATGCAGTCGGATCCTGGAACGATCACCGGGATCAGTCGTGTCGGTGACCGGGGAAACGAGTTCCTCCTCGGCGAGGAACGATAGCATCGATCATCCGCGTAAACGCCGTTTAACGAGCCATTACTCGGTTAACGGCCGGCGAGAAATACAAGTTAATTACCTATCGAGCGCGATGGCCGGTTATAAATTAAGCCCCGCACTCGTTTGCATGCACTTCGAGTCGCGACGCAATAAAAGGCCCTCGTTAGTTCTACCTTGAGTAAAAAAAAAAAAAAAGAAAAGAAAATTCATCGAACCAAAGAAATATTTCGTTAATAAAAAGGACGATCGTCCAACTCGAGTAGCCTCGAGTCGTCGTGATTCCGAAGAGACGTCGCGTCCAATTGATATTCCGGCTCGATGGTGAGATAATTATTCTTGAAATTTACCGAAGAATATTGAAATTTTTGTTTTCCTCAGGGTAGAGTCAACTCGGAGACCGGAGACGAGTCCCACTGACCTTTCTCGTCGGCGTCGAACCTCAGCTTCTGCTTCGCCTTCCGCTTGTTCTCCACCTTCTCGGCGGAGGCATGAACAGGGAGGGAGTGACGGATCAGTAATGGGGACAGTTGGCGGAGGGCCCTCGAGGAAGGCCCCCGGGTGGCGCGTTAAAGGTCCACCTAGCGGTAGCTAGAATGGAATCGGTAACCAGAAAAGCCAGCTACCGGGCCCCGCTCCCGGCTCACCTTGTCGGCCTCGTTGTTGATCGTCTCGAAGACCGTCTCCGCGACCTCGGCCTGCCACCGCTCGGAGATTACCAGGGGAAAGTCCTTGTAGAGCTCCTGGTCGGCGTCGGTCAACTTGATCCCCTTGGTGTCCTCTTCGTCGAAGGACCCAATGTCGAACGCGTCGGCGGCATTGACCTCCCCGCGCGGTGGTATCAACGGCGGCGTGTACTTCTGTAGGTAAACCTGCTGCCAATCGATACCACTGAAAAACGGGTGCTCTTTTAGCTCGTCTGCCCCATGTCCCCGGCAACCGAGCCTGTTGTTGATATCTCGTTGTAGCAAACCTTCCAATAGCGACTGCAGCTCCTTCGAGAAAGACTCGGGTAGCTCGACGTTCTAGAACAAGGTTTGCAAGATTAATCTCCGGGACCCGACTCGCGACTCGGCCCGTTCCTCCGGTTTCTCCATTTTTTCATTTTTATTTTTTATGTCGGGTCCTTGCCACCTGCAAGCCACCGGTCCCTTTTTACCCGATGGACGTAAGAAAATCCACAAGAATTTCAATTTCCCGAGAAAAGAGATCTTGCAACGCGTTAAAGCGAACGAAACGCGCGAGAGAGAAATAATTCCGTGTAAAAAGCGACCCAGAGGTGTTTGCGCAATTTGGCCCTCCTCGTCCACCTTCTTCAAGGTTCTCTTGCAGGTGGCAACGTTTTTACGGAGAAGACGCGCCCTGGGAATCCCGGGACGCCAGGATGGGACACATGGGGGTGTTCCCGAAAGCTATCCGAATTTTCGCCCCTGGTTTTTACTACTCGGTGATTTTTAACGTTTCGACGTTTCACGGGTATCTTCTTGCTCCACCGTCCGGGATGCGAAACGACCGCGACGCCGCGTGCGGAGGAAAGTGTGAATTAAGCGGGAAAGGATGCCTGGAATTGCACGTGAAACGTCAAGAGTCATCGAAGGAGGTCCACGAGTCGGAGGGAAAATGGACTCGAAGAGGCATCGGGAAGAAGAAGCGAGGAGGGCGTTATAGCGTTCGGACCAACCATGGTGAGCGTCATGCGGTCTATCTCATGTTTGTCCTTGGTCTTGTGCTGTCTGAACGGGCTGTGTCCTTTCAGGAGCTTGTACAGCATGCACCCGAAGGAGAACCAATCGGCGCTCGAGTCGTACGCCGTCCCCTTCGACAAGACTTCCGGCGCCATGTATCCGTGAGTGCCGCTGAAAATAAAGAGCCATTGGAAATTAGAAACCGAAGCACGACGCCAAAACGTCAACGGACACGCAAGGCGTTTCTAAAATACGGTCTACGCGACATCAAAATGGAAAAGTCTTGTACTATTATTTTTTCTACGGGCTGTTTTTTGCCTGCAATAATTATTTAGAAAATAGCCAACCGATGGCGCCGAGTGATCCGTGTCCGCCATTTTTGCAACGCCGTGTATATCCTTGGAAAATTATTCACGAGGAGATCCGGACTCGAGATTATCCGAAGAGGATCCTCGACCGGAAAATACCGACTTACACGCTCGCGTGGGGCTTCTTCTTGGAGAAGTCGCACGCCAGGCCCAGATCCGATATCCTGACGTGGCCGTGCTCGTCCAGGAGGATATTCGCCGGCTTCAGATCCCTGTAGACGATGCACCGGCGGTGCATGTGCTCCAGCCCGAGGATCACTTCCGCGGCGTAGAACTTCATTTCCGGCTCGTTGAAGACCCCGTGCTGACTCAAGTGGTAATGCAAATCGCCGCCGTTCATCAGGTCCAGGATGAAGCACAGCTTGTCGGGCGTGTGGAAGGCGTACGTCATGCACACGATGAACGGACAGTCGACCTGAGGGGAAGCGATTATGAAACGATTTGCCGCGTGCGAAAGGGAACTGCCATATTAACAGAAAAAAAAGAAACTAAAAACGATCAATGACCACGCTCGACCATTTTTTCCCATTTTCTCGACGCGCACCAAGGCTGATAAAAATTGTGATGAGCTTTGAAAAATAAAAATAATCGAAAAAAAAAATGAGTCAGGATTTTCGGAATATTTCCACTATTCAAGTAATGAGCTTAAATCGTCCAAACGCCGAAGCGCATTAAACGTCGATCGTATTAAACTTCCTTGTACTTGATTTCACCCGTGGAAGGGATCGATAAGCGGCTCGACGCATAAAAATTGTAGCCGGAGGTGGGGAAATGGCCCAGGCTGTTTCACAGGCTGCGAGCAAATTGAGCGGAGCAGATTGCTACTGCCAGCTGATGGCGCAGCTATTCGACTCTACGGCGTGGATAATATATATGTATGTACCGGGACGCGTTTCCGCATCGCCGGACGACGGAATTGACAACAACGGTCCGCGGCGATTTAGGTATGAAATCACGATTTTTGCGAGTACCAGTTTCCTGGCGAGCGAGAAGAAAAAAAAAAATAATAAGTGGAAACGTTAATCTCCTCGTGAACGACGACAGGTCGCACTCGGACGAGGCTTACCCCGGTGCTGACTAAGGAGAGCATTATCCTCTCGTTGAGTGCCAAGGTCTCGCCCTGCTTCATCTTGATGCGTTTCTTGTCGAGGCACTTCATGGCGTACATTTTCCCGGTGTCCGCCTTTCGACACCCGTACACCTCGCCGAATCCGCCTCTTCCGATTATCCGGTGCACGCTGAAGTCGTTCATCGTCAGCTGAAACGTTCACAGGGTCGAGTCAAGAGGGAAGTCGAGAGGAAGCGTTGAAAATTTCGTTTGAAAGGCGATCGATTTTCGTCGATCGTTGTCTTTCTCTCGGGGAGAAATTCCAGGGCAAGCAACTCGTAGAAAGGGCTCCCAGGGAAAAGTCGTACCTGAATATTCAGCTCGAGGTTCTTCCATTGGCAGAAACGAGTGTACTTGTCACTGAAAGGTTTTCGGATTATTACGGGCTCGGGAGGTAAATACGTGCGCCAAGTGGAGAAATCTGGACTCACCTCTCCAGGAACTTTCTGAACGGCTCCCCTCTCAAATGGTTGAAGATCTCCTCGATGTATGGCTGAAAGGAAGTCGTCGTTCTCATCCTGATTTCTGCCGATTATTCGAATAATTCCCGGGGAATAGTCTCCCGTCTCTCTACGGGGTAGTCCTTACCTCGAATAAATTGACAGGAACCTCGTTCTTCATGAGATACTTGTGTACGTGTGATACCGCGTCCGTCGAGTATTCCTGTAACGAGACGTCCGGATCAGAATCCAATCCGAGTCGATATTTATCGGGCAGTATCCTTCACATTTTCCCTAGAAAATACATCCGGAGACCGATCGACCCTCCTAATTATCTCAATTTAAGGCTGACAAAATAATCCTTTCGACTTTGCGCGTGCATAATTTCAAATCCAATATTCTGAATAGCTACAGGCCCAACAAAATTTCGTTCCCTTGAAAACGAGCCATTAAGCGGGTAAATTGGTCGAAAAATGCGGAGCTGAGAACCGATCTCGCGAACCTCGGCCTCCTAAGGCTTGTTCACATTTATTCCGCAATGTTGAGTAAGTCCGTTCCGACTATTTGCCTCGGAAAATCGAGAGACCCCTTATTTCTCAGCTCCCCAAAGCTTATTATCCTCTTCGGAGGCAAAAGGAAAACGATCGAACGTCGTTAACAGGGGAACGCTTACGTGCGAGTGCGCCAGCAATTCTTTCATGATGAAATTATCGTAGATTTCCCGAGCCAGCTTTCTCCTCTCCTCGGGACACTCCAATTTTTCGTACGCCTTGATCTGCGGGAAGAAAAAAAAAAAGCGACATCGGTCAATCTCGCTCGATAAATCCATGGAAAAAAAAAGATAATAAGAAAAATGCATATGAAAATGGCGAAAACGAACCTCTTCGTAAAACCTAAGTTGCGGTATGGGTTCCTCCGCTACAGTCTCGCAGAAGTCTTTAAATAAAAGGTATCCTGGGGACAAAACGAAGGAGCGGTCAAATCGCGCCATTAGACTCGTCTCGAGACACCCAGCCGACTGATTACCTAACATTTGATTGAATATCTTATCAAAGTTCACTTCGTTCTTCTTCTCTAGGTATTTGTGCATCACGCTCCTCACGCTGCAACAGAAAAGGAAAAAATTTCCCTCGATCAATGAGGTCCTAAAACCTCGATTTTTCAATTTTCCGCGTCTCGAGTTCATTAACCATTAATTCATAACCTATGGAGATATGAAGTAAAATCGATACAACGATAAATTTACCGTGTCGGAGCAATGCTCGCATTCGGTTCCCTCGGTTTCGAGTTAACGTGCAAATCGCGTCACCGAAGCGCTGCCCAGTCGACTTCATTATAATTAATGAGGAAATAATTATTCACCCTCCCCTGGGTGCACTTTGGAAATTGCCGCAATGGAAGAATTGCGCGGACAAGGCGTCAAAGGATAAAGCGGGCCTACAATGCACAGCGTAGAAAATCCTCCTCCAGCGAGAGCCCCGGGAGATAATCCAAAAATTATGCAAATCCACCCGATCGGAAGGTTAAACAGCCGCTCGTGGTGTCAGGTGGTAGCGCCTAATCGGATAATCCTTACACCTCGATCGACACCTGTGGATCAGCCATGAAATCATATCAAGCCGTCCGGTAACGCGATACACGCAACGGGCACGTGTACAGGTGTCAATTACCGCTTACACCTGTACATTAACCCCTCGGAATTTATCAACCACACACCCCCGAGATATCCCATTGCCATGATCGATAATAAACTACCTAACGATCGGTAAGTGAGTACTCGATTCGGTTCTTCGGTGGCAAAGGTCGAGGCGATTTCTCGGGTCTAATTTCGACTCCGCCTCTCGTATGGACACTCCCTTTACCAGCTCGTGCAATATTAGGCCCCGAATCCGGCCTCGGGTAGATGAGCTCGCCCTGAAAAGGACCTTATTATTCCCCGACCTGGCGGCGACGCGCCCCCTTAATGGCCGAGGAGCCTCGCGGCCTGGTTGGAGGCGCCGCTTTAACTTTCCCCCGTTTCCTTTCTCCGACTTTTCCTTCCTCTCTTTCAGGTCCCGGTCTTTAAGGTCGTCCGGAAAAACGCCGGTACAGAGGGAATCCAGGCCGGGTGACCACCCCGGGTGAAAGAGGGGGCCGGAAAAACGGGACAGCGAAACGGAGAGAGACGCCGGCCACTCGAGGGGGAAAGAGGCGGCGCGAGGGAGACGGAGCCATCACCTGGGAGGACGGAGGAAGGGAGATGCGGCTAGTCTTTGAGGGAGGTTTTAAGTAGACATTACCCTACTATGCGCCCGGATCGAAATCCACTCGGGGCGGCCGTTTAAGCTGTCGACTTTTTAGAGGTACCACCGAGTGCCGCCCGGATCCCCTCCGAAGTTCTGCAATTTCCACGAATTTCCACGAATCCCCAGGATTTTTGCAGAATTCTCAAGAATTCTCACGGATCCACCGAGCATTTGCGAAAACCGGCATTCCTACGAATACGGATAAATGGATACGACCCACGATATGGAAAAATCAGGGTAAATCCATTTTTTTTTAGATCTTTGTACTTAAACCTCTTTCATAATTATCTAGACCACTTTCATAAGTCTCACGTACATGGAAGGTACTCAACGAAAATTAGCCGCGTCTGATGGTTGGTTTAAGGTCTCGCAATCCGGGGAAGAGGGAGAACCGGAAGAGGAAAGCTTGGGAGTTGATGCAGAGAGCGAGATGAGGCGCCGTTCGCGCCGTTCTCTCACAAAGAACGACCCCCACGAGCGGTGTTTGCCTCGCCCGTGTAATCTCCGCGTTCCCGGCAATATCTATCCGAGCCGGGTGGCTCGAAAAGCGGAAGTTCCGGCTTCCAGGACCTTTCTCGAGGCCGAGGAATTCCCCGGAACCGGATAAGCCGCTTTGCCGCGCCAGGCCGCGTTCGTCCATCGATTCCTCCCACTGGAGTTCTCAAAAGATCTCCCGCTCCTATATTTAACCCTTTCCGGGTTCTTTACATCGCCTGGCGAATGTCAGTCTCCATATTTTAGCGCGGTACCACACGAGGAACCGTCCCTGTATACGCGGAAAGTGTACCTCGGGGTGGCGTTTCGTTTCCACGAGGGAGCGACTTTCGGCGAGAAATTTCCGCGGTAAACGGTCTTGGCGTGGCCTGCGTCATTACTCGGAATTACTTGGTGTCACATAACGCGGGCTCTCTATCGGTATTCCGATAGCACGCGTGGTCCCGCCAGGAATCGATAGCAGCACCACGCCTTCGAGTCGATCCGGAGTGAGTCCAATTTCAAGCCGGTGCGCTCCTTCGTCCTGTTCGCCGACACCTCGGCGAGAGGATATCAGGAGAGAAGAAAAAAAAAATAAAAAAAATAAAAGAGAACCGTATACAACGACTTTGCGCCCCGGCGAAATGGCCAGTCCCTCGGGCTTCCGAATTGGCACCGAGCCATCCCGAGATTAGCGAGCCATTTCTAGGATGGATAATACCTCGACAATTAACACCCGACTTCTCCCTCCACCGTTAAAGCAACGCGATAGTGGCGTCCAAGGGGTCAATCGCTATGCATTTTTTTTTTTTCTCGTGTATACGGAGGCTCTATGAAAAATCCCGTCGCCAGCGGAATTAAATTTTTTATGCGAAATAAAAAAATTCCTGTGGACAAGGTGATATAAAAAATGATATCCCATGGGTGGTAGGACCTTCCCCGTGGCCTCCGCGTTCGCGAGGTAAAACGTCAAACGATTCGGTACACCCGGTTAATAGAAAAGTTGCCCAACCGATTGACCCCTCGGATGCCACTTTCGGGTCGCCTTAAATTTCCGTCCATTGATTTCTGGACCGTGATTCATCTCCGCGCGTTACGCGGAAAGTCCATTGACGTAGGCCGCGACATCCGTGATAAGGAAGACCACGGCCGATGCAATTAGACTTTATGGACGATCAATCGAGCCACTTGCCGGTCCGATGAGGGGAAGGGACCCCTTGCGCAGCAATTCCCGCCACGATAAGAAGCGCGTCCTTATCGTGCCCTCACAGCAGAGGGACTTAATTGGGAGGTTACGTCAACGTGCACATGTCTTATAACATGTATTATCGCGTACCGATACCTCTCCTAGCGACTCGGCTTTATTGTTCTCCACATTAGCAGGGTTAAATATCGGCCCGGGGGTTTTAATACCGCTTGGTCGGTAATTCCCGTACGGGACGCGAAGCGCCGTGAAACACGTCGAGCGAGCTAATTTACCGTCGCAATCTCCTCGACGAGGACGAGGGCGTTTGCTCCTCTCGCCCGGCAAAATTCTGCGAGTCTCTTTGCGCCGATCGTGACAACGAAGTAGACACCCTGGATCGTATGGGCTAATGTGCTTACGAAAAGTTCAGTTTTTCAAGGTGGAGGGGCAATTGATGGTAGATTTACGCGCTAATTATGCCATCTCTGAGCACGGTTTGCGAACAATCGGCGAACCTCTGCCCTTTTTATCCGGCTATCCTGATGTTCATCCCTCTCGACCTCGCCTCTGTACTCGAAAGAAAATAGCCTATAAATAGAAGAAGAGAAGGTAGCCCGAGGAACGGTGTCGCGCGTTGATAACGAGACCGACGATAAGGCGTCGCGTTTCCAGCCGGACAAGTGCTAGACCAAGAAAATCGTCAGCGACCTTATCCATCCCGTCATAGGAGCGATAAGACGTCGTAGTTGACGTCAGAGAGCCAACGGATACCGCGTATCGGGTCAGTTTACTTCGACCACGAGGACGCGAAAACCGCGAAGAGAGGAAACGGGAGTAACGATAACGTTATCACTCGTGGGAGAAGCTCGTATGGTCGCACCTGGCCCACGAAACGACACGCAGAGAGTCTAGAGACACTCCAAGCGACTCTCTATCCCTAATCGCTTATCGCGACGAGAGCGGCCCAGCCCTCGACGGGTCCATTAAGTTCCATTATCGCCTGCCCGTGCTAGGGAATTTCGCCTTAACGCCGCGAGGACTCGGCGATCCCTGAGATAAATTAATTAAAAATAGAGACAATTTCATTTACCCTCAGCTCCGTATTTCCCCGTTTTCGCGTAAACGTTTAATCTACGAAGGAGGCCGCGGCCGTGCCCGACCTCCCGCAACGTAAAATCCGACATGCAGGAATCCCTTTAAACCGGGACCGGAATCGATATCGCGAGACAGTTGAAATGACGCTTCGGCCGCGTTTTCACGCGGAACCGGAGAGACAGAGAGAAGAGAGCTCCCTCCCTCGGTGGGAAATTTATCGCGCAGGAACAAATCGATCCCCGAAGTACACGGAATACCGGGATTTATGGTAGCTCGAAAACGACGGGAGAGCCTCCTCCCGAGAGGAAGAGAGGCAAAAAAAAATGACGGTGGACGCGCGCCGTGAAAATTGATGTCTCCGGGGGAATTGGCCGACTGGACGTCGTCGGCGACCGCTCGATCGTCGAGGTTGATTAAATAGAAATAAACATATCGCGCCTCTCCTCTCCCCCGTCTCGCCTTCGAGACCTTAATAAGATCTTTTCCTTCGCTTTCCAGGTCCCCGGCGGAGTCGCGGCTTTTCCTCGCCTTTCCACCGAGGCTCGTTAAATGCCCGAGCTAACTTTCCGCGGCTACACCCTGGGTTTGCGTCACGCTGGAGGAGAATCATATCCTATTTCGAGTAGCGTGCCTTCCAGCCAAAAAGCCCGGTCGAGCTCGCCTTTTGCAGGCCCGCCGGAAAGGCCAGGTGTGCGTTAGCGTACCGACTCTCGGCTTTTGCCGACAGGTACACGGTGTTCCACCGTGATAAACTAAATCTCAACGTTATTACGCCCTTAGCGTGCCAACTTCTTGACCATGTCCGATCTCGCCCCGAGACGTCGGGTCTTTAAAAAAAGAGACGCACCTCCGCGTCGAGGAATTTCACTTGTAAATACGGACCCGCGGTATTCCGCTACATTTATTATTCCGACCTACATTCCCTGGATACGGGACGCGGCCGGATGAGATACCCTTTCTTTGAATTTCAAACGCGATCTCGAATCGGCTCTCCCGTTCTCGCGATCCCCCGAAAAGTCGATCGAAATAGCGTCGCTCCAAAAATTCCCCCTCGGCCACGAGAGGAAGTATATCCAAGCCCTTGGAACGGTCCACGTGAACACGTATAAATAATGACAATGGAGATATATAACTAGATCCCGCCTCGTGGAATTTCTCATTACCTTTTTCGTCATTTTTAAAATTGCCATCGAGGCACAGCGAAGGCGATAAAAAAAGATAGGGAAAATATCAAGGGGGACTTCGCTACTTCCTTCCCTTTAATTCCTCCCAGTCGGCCCTCGACAAAGAGCGACGCTTAGGAGATTCGTTATTAGGCGGCATTCTGAGCTACTCTATGTACGCGTACATGGGTGTATGTACACATGAGCCCCTCCATGTACACTGCAGTGCCAGAGCCGTTCCTTTAAAAGGTCTTTTTCTCTCACCTTCGCCGTCGCCTCTCTAACTTCCATCTCACCCTTCCTGTCGGCTCTCTACATTCATGACCCCTCGAGGGAAAACAAAAGCCCCTGATGTCCCGGAAAACATCCGGGATTAATGACTAATCTACTCCAAGCGACGCACCCAATGGGGGGATTTATATTTCAGGAAAGGATCTTTCGAAAGGTTCGGTACCCCTCGGTCTAGTTCACCCTGCCGAGGTCCTTAAATTTACGTGTACGCATGTAAATTCACCAGGGACTTCTCTTGAGTTGGATAAGCCAAGTCTCAGAGATAAAAGCAACGCGTTACAATTGCGTATCCAATTCTTGCCTCAGGAATGGAGGTGCGATCGATCTAATATTAAAACTGCTAAAGTCCATCGACGCCAACTTCGCTTATCCACGTAAACTCAAATCGCAGCCACGGAAGAAGTCCGGCTCTGAACGCAATCGGAAGGAATTACCATAAACGTAACCTAAAATCCCTCGGTCGTTCGCGCGACTCGGCGATTCGAGGATAAATAATATAATTCCCGAATGGTCGAGTCGAATCAACGTGCAACACCTGCAACCATCACACGGGGTATTTAAAAGGATCGCCTCTCATAGGTGGCGGCGTATCGATAACAATCGAATTCCCATGGAGAGTGCGTAGTGTCACTGCCGGCCGCACTTCGGCAAGCGGCCGGCAGCCGGCGCGGCGAGCGCTGGAGCAAGATGGCGGAGCGCGTTCCCAGGGCCGCGCTCGAACAAAGCGGGAGAACGGCCGGGCGCGCTGGCTCGGCGTCGATGAAAATTCGTACCTAGGGTCGGGCAGGACGATCTTCTTGCTGGCTCGCGCGGCAGGCGTGCACTTGCTCTTCTCCATGGCCATCAGGTAGCTGACGTCGGCCAGGACCGCCTCGAGGTCCGCCATGTTGTCGGTGGCTCGGGGAACGGCGGGGGGAGGGGGAGGCGGAGGCCGAGGCACGGCTCGCGGGCCCGCGACTGGAAAAGCGAGGAGCGGCGGCCCTTCCTCTCGCGCGCTTGTCCCGAAGGGGCCTCTCTCTTCCGCTCTCCTTTACTGCATATTTTTAGCCCGACGCCGACACATCGCCGAAGCGGCGACCGAAACGCGGACGGCGATCGCCTCCTCTGCCCTTCCTCCCGCGGGTCTCCTCGCGTGCACCGACACGCGCGCGCGAGTCTCCGCTCCTCGCCCAACTACGTAGCGCGCGTTCGCGGCCTCTACCTCCTGGCGGCGGACCTCATTTCGCCCCGGGGGTCACTGCTCGATAAGCGCGCGCGTCCCGCACGGATCCCGACATCGCGGCCGACTCGCGATCACCGGCACTCCGCGTCCTGGACGACAACGGCGAGCTTCCGAGACCCCAGCAACTTCTTACCTCGATCCGCCACGATCGCCGACTAACCACCGACTAACAGTCGACGCGACCGAGCTGCTTCGACTGGTTTCGCCTCCCTAGCCGTACGCGCGCCCATTGGCCGAACTCGACCCCTCTGACCTCTCTCTCGCTCGCTATAGCCCTCGCTCTCACGCGTTTACCCTTAGAGATGAATTGGGAGATCGCCGCACGGGTAGGATCGCGCGATCGCGGTCTGTGCTGTCCCCTGATGATTGGCGCGGGCGGCTGATGCACTTACCACCTGTTACCTTTCAATGGGGGCATAACTCATCTCTACCATAAATGAGTTAACCTTATATACCAATCCTCCGAATTCGGGACCGCCGAATTTCTTCGGATTGGGAATGCGGTTTTTATTTAGATACGTTGTTTGGGAATTAGATTATGTTTGTATTTTGTGTTTTATCGAATAATTAAATAAAGCGCATGATGTAATGAGAAATTTTATCTTCGTGCCGCAGATCAGAAGGAGCGGTAGTCCATTCTTTGTCGCACTGTCATACACTCGACTTCGTCTATTTTCAAGGTGTTCGTCTTTATGTTGATGTCTTCTTCCAATTGTATCTGAGTCTTCAACATGTAACGCAGAGATGCTTGAGCCTTCGGGAGAAATTGTTCAATTTTTGTAATGTTATCCAATTTAATGAAATATGTTAATTGCTCGAGTTGTACGTACCTCGCAGAGTGCTTGCTGCAATTTACAAACGATTTGTCGTAAATCGTAGACCTCTTTAACGAGAGAAGTCTCGACGAGATCGCGCGTTAATTCGAGTCCTGGGCGTTGACAGCGATTACCTAATCGGGTATGCGCTAAAGCCATGTAACCCTCTTTATCGGCGATCGACTTTTGCAGTCTATTAATATTGGATGTCATCTCGTTCACTTGCCGCATTATCTGAAGAAAAGTCTATTGCTATATTTTACCGATTATAATTTATACCATCTTTAAATCTACTTCAATAAAAAATAATTTAAAAGTGCCTAACCTCGGAATGCTGTTTTTCTAACTTCATTTTAGCTTCTCTAGTTTCATCGATACGATGTCGAAAAGCTTCATCCGTTGTACGTTTTTGGGCAATTAAGTCATCGGTGACTTGTTGAAGAATTTTGTCGATGTAGCAACGCATGGGTCTTACGGTGTTCACCTCTTTGGAAGCTTCCATAATATTTTTGTTCGTCTGCCTCTCCCATTCTTGTAGAGAAATGCGTCTGTGTAAAAATTACACGTGATTTAGCATTGTTTTTAATTAAATGATGAATTGTCACAACTGTTATTTCAAATTTCTTGGACTTGCGAAAATCAATAATTACATACGAACAGTCAAGGGGTGCACAACCATGGTAAAGGCTGAGATTGGAGTTAGTTTCTCTGAGCAATAAATTGTGCCTATCGATGCGATTATTGTTATCTTTGCCCTCGAGATCATGATCTATGAAGTACAATGTCGACTTTAACCGCCGCAATTGTTCATGGGTTTGTTCTAAAGTGCGCACCAATAAGTTCTCAACACCCTGAATGACTAGGCACTCCTTTTTTAATTGTTTCTCAACCTCGTCGTGTACTAAATCGATTCCAAGGCGTCGTTCTCTGAAAAAAAATCATTTAGGTGAAATCAAACAAGAATTTTACTAAGTAATATTAAAACCTTGTATAATAATAAACCCATGTTCAGAAATTGTACCTGTACATAAGACATTTTTGACAAATGTCAAGTGCATTCTTTCGAACCGAGTTTAAAGCATCGATGAGACGATCTTTAGACACTCCCAGTGCTTCAATTTCGAGGAGAACTTCCCTTCTTATCTGGAGTAGTTCCTTCCGATTAAATTCAATATCTTCTAATTTCTCTTTCAGTCGATAATCGGTTTCCTTCTTATTGACTTTGGCTTCCTCTGCGGTCAGTTCGCAAATACGATTTGACTCAGCAAGCAGTCGGTCGGCTAATTCTTGTTGAGCTTCGGAGCATCGATATCTAAATAAAAATATCTACATTGACATCTCATTACATGGGCAGCATTGACGAATTCGATATTCTTGTACTTATTTGACACTCAAGAATAAATGAGAAAACATTTTACCTGTATCTATTATTGAGATGCCATTCATCCAACGTAAATCTTTTCGGAGGAGGTGGTATAATGACCATCGCTTCGCTACTTTGCATTTCCATTTTCGTATTCGGTGGTAATGTTTGATAATATCGAAAAAATTAAATCCAAACACTGTATAAGTTAACAAAATCGCTGCCTTTCAAACAACCGAAATAAATAGGTTAGGAGCGCGTTCTGACGGAGCATAACGTGAACTACGCTTGACCTGCGAAATATCGGATCGATATCATTAACCCACTCTTCTTCCATCATGGTTCGATATTCCATGATTCGAGGCGTGCGGCTTGAAGTTGCCAAGTGTTTAAAATGTATCGTTAAGATGTGGGTTGGATTATTTCAATTGTCAAATAGTCGGCAAAAGTAATTAGCGAAATAAAAAGTTTTTATGGACAACGAGTAAAGAAACGATGGCAAGTCGAGAACCAGCTATCCCCACAAAGACCAACGATGAACACAGCGTCGAGGTTAGGTCATTTATTTTTCTGTAACAGGACTTTTAAATTTAACAGTTTTTCGAATTTAATAGTGTTTTGTGTTTCACATTTGCTGATAGAATAGGATCTAGCACTGTCCACGAGGAGACCAACATTTTAACAGAAAACATGGGGTTCCATTGTAATTGCTCTTTAACTTTTCTATTTAACTTCCCTTAATGGAACAGCTGTGTTTGCACAATTGTCAGCATTTATAAAAATACAATTAATGCACACTTTTGTGGTACACTGAAATTATTTTTTTTTAACAGACATTGGCCGAGGTATTTCGGTGCTTTATCTGCATGGAAAAGCTGCAAGATGCGCATCTATGTCCTCACTGTAGCAAACTTTGTTGCTACGTCTGCATCAGGAGATGGCTAACCGAACAACGATCTCAGTGCCCACATTGCCGTGCTTCGCTTCATCTTCATGAATTAGTCAATTGTCGATGGGTCGAAGAAGTTACTCAGCAACTCGATACTCTGCAAGCTGTGGGTGTATCCAATTCCCGCCAAGATGACTCTACGAGAGACAGGTGTTAAATATTAATTACTTGGGTGGATTGTACCTAAAAAGGCATATTTTTGGATAGTTAAAAAAATTTATATCGTTTTCAAAGGTGCACCGTTCATCATGAGAAATTGTCAGTATATTGTTGGACATGCCGGCGCTGTATATGCCATCAGTGTGCCTTGTGGGGAGGCACGCATTCTGGTCACACGTTTAAACCTCTTGAAGAAGTGTACGATCAACATGTTAGTCAGATAAAAACTGAAGTTGGCCAGCTAAAACGTCGCCTCATGGAGCTCATTAGTCTGGTGCAGGAAGTGGTACATTCACATACTCCATACAAAAAAACTAAATTTCCATAAGCAATTAATTTTAACCAATACTTAATACCATCCTTCGTTCTAGGAACGTAACGTCGAGTCAGTACGGGCAGCTAAGGACGAGAGGGTACGAGAAATTAGGAATGCCGTAGAACTGATGATAGCCCGCCTCGATTCGCAACTAAAAGCTAAGTTATTAACTCTGATGGGCCAAAAGAACTCCTTGACTTTGGAGACGGAACAGTTGGAGGCATTGCTGCAAGAGGTTGATCACCAGTTGCGTTCGTGCACTCGTTCGGAACTTATTGTTAAAAGCGGTGAATTATCGCGCATGATACACCAAGTTCGCAAGAAACCCATGACAAGTTTCGTCACTGCCCCTGTGCCTGCGGATTTTCACAGGTACATAATGAATGGTGCTGAAAACTTCATTTTAATCCTGAACCAGTATTCAATCATACAATATTATTTTTGTAATCACAGTGAGATAGTCCCAGGTTACGATAGTGCTACTTTTGCAATGCAAAATTTTACACAACTTCAACTCAAAGCAGATCCAGTGTATTCAGCACCTTTACATGTAAATGGTTTATGCTGGAGACTAAAAGTTTATCCGGATGGAAATGGTGTAGTGCGTGGTAATTATTTATCAGTCTTCCTGGAACTCAGTGCTGGATTACCAGAGACATCAAAGTACGTATTTTATTTAATCCATGGAGATGAGAAACAAAATGGAAGCCCTGTATACAATTTCTTCAAGGCTTTAATCTTTCATATAGATACGAATATAGAGTGGAAATGATACATCAAGGATCACGTGACACTAGTAAAAATATCGTACGTGAGTTTGCTTCGGATTTTGAAATTGGTGAATGCTGGGGTTATAATAGGTTCTTTCGGCTAGATTTACTAGCTACCGAAGGGTATTTAAATACTGAGCTGGACACACTAATATTGCGGTAAGCTTCCTCCTTAACACGAAATATTCAAATAGATTTTAAATTACAAGTCCTTAAAGTTCGTGAAATAATCATGTAGAGGACAGATTCCAGGTACGGCCACCAACATTTTATCAACGGTGCAGAGATCAGCAGTGGTACATAAGTCAATTGGTGACTGTCCAGAATCAGTATGCAACTCAAATTAATGAGTTGAAAGAGGTGATATATAAGAGATAATGATTTTAATTAATTAATAGATAGTCTGACAATTGTCAATGATGGCGTTAACCTAAAATATTTACATGGCAGAGACTGGCGATTGAAATATCTCGCAACGCTGTAACTGCCACGAGGGTGTCAAACGGGGCTGGTATGTGCAATCCATCATCAGGGAACATTCCAAGTCTGAATATACAACAGCAACAATCTCTGGGTGGAGGGGATCCAACCCTGGGTTGCAATTCTGCCCGATCCGTTGATACATATCCAACGGTTAATGCCAGTCCGACAAGGTTAATATTGTCATAATGCTCCATTAAAAAATTGATTCATCGGGTTCTTTATCTAAAAATTGGCAGAAACCTTGAATCCTTGCTTTTTAAAATTTTATTAACTGTGATTTAAATAGATCCACGCAAAATTTGCTCTCTTCTGGCAACAGTAGTGGAAATGGGAACATCGCTGCCAATGCAGGACAATTGTCACCGTTGTGCGAGTTGGGCGATCTTGCAGACATTCGCCCAATCGGTTCATCTTCGACTCTTTCTTCCGTATCCTCCAAGACCAATGTAAAACATCAGCGTGCCAGCGACAATGCATCTGCAGAATTACCATCTCCGGTCAGTCACTCTATTAATGACGGATCATCTGGAGACCGCCAAATATTAAATGTCTTCTCACCCTCACCGTCTCCTTTATCACCAACAATGCTCAATCAACAGCCATTAAACGTCTCTTCGAGTAGTAACAGCAGTGACAGCGGAGTAAGTAAACGTTTGTCCACACAACGGGTACAATATTTATATTTAAGTTACGTTATCCGTTATTTATAATGGACTTTCTCCCAGGAACTCAGTGAACACGACATTTATTTGGATGACTGTGATCAAAACGACCCCAACGTAACAATATTGGACGACAATTCTAATGATGAAAACGACGTGGACGACGAAACAATGTCAGGTAATGAGGAGCGGTATAAATTAAAAGAAATAATTAAACGGAAGGGAGAAAAGGGAAGCGATCTTTTTTTGCTGAGAAAGTCAGAAAGGTCAGAGTTTTACAATAAAAGGACGGCTCAATTCACTCTGTTCATCGTTTGGGTTAGGTGCAAGTTCCAATAGAGCTCCGTGTCTAAGTAATGAACATCTCCGCAAATGGGAAGAACATTCATTAAGTAAGGAAGAAAATGAAAAACCTACCAACGAAACACAGGAGGGCGAGTGCGTGAAGGAGAGTTTAATATTTGATGCTCCAAATCACTACCCAACATGTTCCTAAGAGAGAGCGGCTCGATCTAACATCCTTTCCTGAGATCCCAGACTACATCAAATTATTCTTGAAAATCGTCAAGGCCGAAATTCAATAAGAAACCGTTGATCGCATTCCCAAGTATCTTGTATAAAAATCACAACATCCTTTAAAAGTATTAGTCAATATTAAACCCACTGTGCACATTCTCGTGAAACGGAAATAAAATATCACGAGCCATCGAGCACTGTACACCGATGACTTCTGCTTGACGGTTGGGCATTTACTTCAACGAGCATTTTATCTTTTATTCTATTAGGTCACTAGAATTAATTTTGGGATCTATCGTCCATTGACAATGATTTTTATGATTATCAGGGGAAAATGATGTGGAGGTCGCAGAGGCACTGGTGCCATGGGTGCAGAGCAAGCAGCGACCGAAGTTAGAAGAAGGTCATGCAACTGTGGATCGTTGTAGGTATGTGCAGTTCACTATCGATTTCCGTAACGTCACTTGCGACGGTCAGTATCGATTATTTAATACTCAATTATTAGGACTTATTTAAGAATCTAACTTACCATGTGTCGTTAATTTAAAGGTTAATTTCACTGAGTGGCGTTTTTAATATAGCAGGGGGCGGGACAGCTTGGAAGATGAAATCGTGCTTCTTCATCTATTCAAGATGCACGATCCAAACATGTCCTGGACCCCGTTATGCTGTCCACATCACGTCAAGGAGCTACGAGACGTGCAAAACTCCTTGGGCGGTTTGCAACATTACAGCTCCAGCCCGTTGCATTGCTCCGCAACCCTGGACAGTGGCAACTCTTCTCAAGGATACTCCCAGAAGCATTTGGAGAATAACTCTCCCACTTCCACGCAGAATCTCCCAAATCGTTGCCGATCGTCCTTCGTGTCTCGACTTTGTCAATCCCAACCAACATGTGATAGTAGAATAATGCCTACCCATGCCGTTCAACCTACCGTGTGTCAGCGAGACACAATTCAGACGTCAACGCCTGCTGTGCAAAGGACGAGGTCCGAACCTACCACTCGTTCCAATTCTGTGGACTGTGACAAGGATTTTACTGATACGTCTTCCCTGTCAAAACTTGCCAACGAAGCAGACAATTCCAGGCCAAACGATCTTACAGTGCCAAATGGTAAGACAACGTGAATACTGAAAAATTGTTACAATGTGTACATCAAATTTAGTACAATTCAGTGAACAAGTGCATTTATAATTTCCTTGCAGTAGCCCTTGGTAGCAACAAAGTTGTCTCTAGACACCTGGCATCGCGACGTCTCTCGTCACCGGCTTCGTCGACCGATGTCAATGTCGACAGTTCCGACAGTAAGATAAACGAGTTCGAACAATTTTTAGGCTCGATACATCTGCCCCCTTTGCCAGAAATTAGTTGCATTGCCAAACTGCGGTATGTATTTTTCTTAAACTTGCATTCAGTAGCTTCCGCAGAGATCTGTAATTATGGGGATAATAATGAATGATTTTTAATTCGTTTCTCTTTAGGAAGAATCTCACTACCGATTACAAGAGAAATATATGTCCTGCGAATTTTCCACTTTTTACACTTTCATCCGGTCTCGATAATTCGGTAGCCTCTACTAGCTCGGCCACCGCACTCTCGGATTCCGTTTCTACACCGAACGACTTCATCTGGGCTCCACCTCTTTATTACAATAAGCACGGTAGAAATTGAATTCCTCCGATGAGGTATCTTTTTTATTCCCAAGCGATTAATAAGCGAAGTATTTTTTCCAGGTCCGAACAAAAACTCTGAATGTCCATCCGAATCTCAAGCAACTGGCAAGAGCGGAACTAGCAAGTAAGATTCAAACATATTCAAAATTAAGATTCATTAAAACACTGCCAATTAATAAGCAAATTGCATTACCGAAAAGCCATTGAAATTCAGGACTCAGGTTAAAAACTTACGAGTTAGTACTCATTATTTTTATTTTTGGAATTATAAATGCATCGTTACAAGTAATGCGAACCATATACTTTCTGGTTCCTGGTTGTTAAATAAAAAGTAACCATTACAGTGTACTCAGTTTCTCGTATATTCAGTGGGACTTGGGGTGTTCACCTATTATATATTGGACACCACATTTTGCGAAGTTCCCCGACAATTGTCTAAATATATTCCACAAATAAAATAAGAAACATGACTATTATAGATTGTGCTTCATAAACATATTTAGGTGTCACTGGAATCTCCCATAGAATGTCACTCTGCCGTAAGGAGTGAAAGGTTATAAGATACGTTGAAGCACATACGGTGTTTTGACACATAGAATCAGCTTAATCTAATAACACCATTATGTAAACGCATAGACAGAATAAGATATTAAAATTTCGACTATTCTTTCTTCTTTGGTTTTTTAGGGTTACGGGAACGTGATTTAGCTTTGCAGAGAGGACATATAGGCGCGTTTCGGTGAATCTGCTGGTGACACGATAGACAAGACTTCATCGGAGGTGGCTGTTGCCTGCAAAAAGGAATGCGGAACCTGTGACATCTGGGATGTAGGGAGTTTTAAAACTAGGGTGCATCGTGCAGCATTGTAGAATACATGCTCCATGCATTTACTATTCTTAAATCAGTATCTTTTCATTTTCACCATTATTTAAATAAATAAATGCAAATGCTCAAAGAATGGTTAATGATAACATTCACTTATTTAATCTACCAATCTCTGGTGTATATTTTCATGTAGACATACCTGAATGCCGATGTAGGTGGACCAGGAGCTGGAGGTAACGGTCTTGGTTCTGGCTTACTAGGTCCTTGAAGAGGTTGGGGTGCGAGAAAAGGTGTGGAACTACCGGGATGTCCTGGATGAGAATGCAAACCCAATGGTGGCAACAAGTCGTCGCTCCGTGCCTCTATTCTCCATTCGGCTTTCTGCACGGGGCGCTCAAAGTAACTGCAAACAAACCGTCTACACGATAAATAACCGCTCCCTCATTTTCCATTAAAAAAGCGCTACTTTTTTATACCATCTGTTTGCTATTCCATTAGAAATGAACACTTCGATACTTACTCGGGAGAAAAGAGATCAGCATCTGTTTCATATAATTCTGGCAGTCTTTCCAATCCTAAATATTCTCTACGCATTCGATCGATATCGTGTTTTAGTGGCTGATAATCATTGTTATGAATTAATTTTGCATTGTCTCGAGCTCTATTCCTTGCATCTTCCGCTTGCTTTATCACTGCCTCCATCTAAAATGGCACATTAAATCATTCATCTAAAATCCATTGGTATCAACTAGTAAACAAGTTGTTGGGCTTACGGCATTGATGTCGGCATGAATTTGCCTTAACTCCTCTACATGGGCCATTTTTTCTTGCATGAGTAACTCCATTTCTTGTTTGTACTCCGTCAAACATTTTTCCTCCTGCTCGGTTTGTTCTATTTCATGCACAATTCTTTGCCTCATTTTTTCTAACTGCACTGTTTTTGATCTATGGAAAGACGCAACATATAATACAGTATGTTGCAGTATTTTTAAAGCCTAAAAAAAGTAATGATTTTGTTTTATATTTAAAAACGCGAAACAAACCTGATATCTTTTAAAGCTTCCAGCTTTGCAAAAATTAACGTGGCTTCGGAAGACATAATTAGCCAGTTATTCTTTTGTTTTCTAATATAGAAAACCGAATAAACTTATACGTATCTTGTTTTAGGCACAAGTAAAACTGAAGTCGAGTTCGGGGGAACAATTTTCCGAGACACAACGTCGTCGATCTCCGGATACATCCAGAGAACAGATGAAAGGAATGCCACTATTAACTATCGACTACTCCTCATCTATTGTAAACAGCAAATCTATACATATTTTTTTCTACCAATTCCGAAGCTTGTTCTTTCAGCCGTGCCTCCCACTACGAGAATTGCAATCACCGTAGACTGAAAAATATCAAGAATAAGCATCATGTAATGGACATTTTGCCGATGAATTCAGGCGTGAACTAGAGGTTATTTCTCGAGGAAAAAGTGGAACAACTGGGGTCGTAGTTCCGACCCTAGTCTGTGATGGCGCCGTTTCATGATTAGGTAGGTGGTTCCAGATTTGTCACGAGGTGTGCACATCTAGTCACGTTCGAATTCATCGGCACAGCCACTTGAAAATTGGTCGTCTGGTGCACGGGTCGCCGTCGAGGGTGGCAGGTTATTGCCGTCGAGATTCGAGATCGTTGACTGTCATCGGGGACATTTAACCGGACATTAAACGTTACATCATGGCATCGGCAACGGAGCAACAGCAACAGACCACCTTGGAATTCTATCAGGCAATGGCAGATTTTAAAAACATGTTTCCACAGATGGACGACGACGTTATCGAGGTAAATTTTCAATCAATGTGTTCGGTTTAGTACATGACTTATGCACTGTCGATTTTGTTATACAGGCGGTTTTGCGATCGAACCAAGGAGCAGTAGACACGACGATCGATCAGCTACTTACGATGAGTACGGATAACGAGAACGAGAAAATTAGAGGCGAACTGGAGCAAAACGAGGAACCGCCAAAGGTGATCTCGAGACCAGGAAAGGAGGACAACAGCGATTCACTGAAAAGTATCCACAAGTGGCAACCACCGCTGTTGGGACCATTACCTGATAATTTCCTAAGGCTTCCTCAACAATTGACCGAAGAATCCGATAGCATACAAGCCTTGGTCGCTTCCGAGAATACGAGGCTCGATGACGAAAGGATCGTTATGTTTCTTCAAAATGAAGAATTCATGGCAGAGTTGCGATGGAACGAGGACTTTTTATTGACACTGGAGAATGGTAATGCACTTGTTTCTTAATTTCAGGGTTATCCGGAAGTAGAGTAAGGTGCAATAATAATCTCAAATAGAAGACTGCAAAAGTTAAAACCATCTGTGATATAATTCGGTTAGATTAGACCGAGAAGGCAATTTATCAGTATTGTCAAGACAAGAAGAAAACTACGTTTAATAATTTAATTATTATTTGCTCTGTTATATTCTGTTGACTTTGTTGATTTTTTATGTTCGGAATAAAATTCAGTACATATCCATAAAGAAAACGGTCTTTTTAAGTTGACATCTATTCTGGCTATTAAATTATTTAGCTTACGAAGTTTGTGAAAATTGTACATTTAAGAAACACGTATAAGCAGCTTCAAAGAGTATATACAATTATTCATGGAGAGGTTAAGGTAAGTTAAGGTTTTCTATTAAATGTGACGATTTTTATAAAGTCGATCTGTGATAAAAATATTATATTGAATTAAACGTTGAGAATGGAAGCTCAACCAGTACTCTACGATAAAGCGCAAATCGCCGGATGCCGAAGTACGACCGATAATCCATAATTAGGGGCAATCATTCATTCCTGCGAAAGGTCGGCTGGTAGTACACAGCTAGGCGCATTATCAGGAAAGTAAGTAAAATTCTCGCCACATACATATTTTTTTACTTTCTGTATCGCAGATGCAAAGGTGCAGCGAGCTGAACTCGAGAACGGTGGAGATTCGATCACCCACGACGACGAAGACTTGTTTAAAGAGAGATTGAAAAACATGGGGAAAGGTATTCCATAGTGGTATACGTTAACAAGAGTGCTGATAGAAGGATTGTCAGATTTTGAGTAGGGTGTAACAATTTCAGTGTCGCGCCGGAAATTTGCCCAGCTGACGAAGGTGTTCACTCGTAGTAAGAAGAAAAATGGACGTCACCTCTTGCCTCCGACAGCATCCTGCGACGACCTCTTAGATCCCGAAGACTCGACAAGATCTCAGTCTTAATTCAGTGCTGCCCCAACAAAGTCAATTTTAAACATATTCCAATGTGACTCATCGATTAACAGTTACGGGTGTTAACGACAGGAATCTGTTGCAGCTATAAACACTCTAGATTAAAGTCATTTTGTCTACGACGCAATGGAGGACAGTCGGTATGGTTTGATGTTGCCATATTTAGAAGTATTCAATCGTTAGAGCATATAAAAAGTTTTGAGAAAAATGCAATATGCTTTATATAATTTATTCTAACAAATACGTTTCCTTAGACTATTCATCATTTTTGTTAAGAGTCCAAGTTATGCTAATTTAATGTAATGAAGTACATGTTCGATTGGATTCCTTTCATGCAATCGGATAGTAAGTAATTACTTGCAGGGCTACATATATATAATTATACAATACACAGGCGTTTAGCAACTGATATTATCCAAAGTCATGTAAGAGTATCTGCATATATCAAATACTATGGCTGATACAGGCAAACCTTTCCTTCTTCAGAGCAAAGGCTCGTGGAAAAAAATAATCAGGGATAGTTTTTATAGATTTTAAATAATCGTAAAATTAAGTTGTTACAAAGAAGACTTGGGAGGTCTAACGTTTCGTTAAAAAAAAGATTATTACTTTGTAGAGCACTTGAGGGATAGAAAAGGTAACATTTGTGACGAGTCAAAGGGGACTACACATTGCAGGAAATGAATGGACATTGTTTTGAAGAGGAAACTGCAAGATAATAGTAAAACAGCTTTGTAATTTACAACGGTATAACCAACGGTCTGGAGTCTATTTTCCTTTAATAAAATAATATCTTATGTTCTTAGAATACATTGGTTAATAATTCTATTAATGCCAGTGATAATATATCGTACTCATTTTGGGTAATTAATTCCTTACTGTGATTGGTATTCCGTTATCTCGGAATCTCACTAGATTGCTAAATATGTTCAGTTAAGTTAGCATTCGGCAATGTAATTCAAGCAAGTTTAAATAAAAAGTTATATTTAGTTTTTACAGATGCCTTTGCATCCACTTCTTGAGGTCCATGAGCCATGTTCCTAGATTAGCGATAAGTTAGAGTGCATTAAAAGCCCTAAATTTCTTACGGATAAAATTAAAATTATTGTAGCTCTAAAAATTTAGCACCGCAAACGTGATGGGAGCTGCGTGTTAATTATTTGGTTGGTCATTAAGTTAGAATAAAGACCGTTAAACAAACTGGAATTTTAGGTCAACCGGTGAAGCTTGTTTAATTGTACACAGATGTTAAGAATGTTTGAAGAAGTACGGCAAAGCCAACAATTGCTCAAACGATATTGTAAATCTTGCATTAAGTGGGATCATATTATATTTTTCTCGGTGTTCCTTTCTGTACATTACACAGGAGATAATTAATGTAATAATAAATATTGCATCGCGTATTGTTCACACTAACATAGAAGTACGCAATTATAGCAACCGTAGAGGGAATACTAAAAAGGTTTTTTTCGGAGTAATGGATACACTTCCTAACCTCCATCCAAAAATATATGACCATCTAAATGGGCTCAATACAGTGCGAAGAAACTATCCTATTTTGTTCAGAAATATACACACTTCGCTCTGGTATGTCTCTCAAAATTGAACCGTCACAACTAAATTCAACAAAAATTGTGTACTAAAATACTATTAACATGACGGTTAATACGAACGGTTAATGTCCACGTTAAGCCAGTGAAGAATTGAAGGATCCGTACAAATTTTACACCGGAAATGGGTTCCCGGGAATGTTGAGTAGTATGATATTCTCATCTATTTATTTTAACGTTAGTTATTACTTCACCTCGGGTCGATAAGTAAAGTACAGCCACGTGTTACTGGTAAACTTCAAGAAGGCGATTCCGTACTTCAGCATCTTCTGGATACTCCTTGGACTTTTCTTCGTTGGGCACATAGTGAGTGCCAAGGAATTTGCAGAAGTATCTACCGATTTCATAGTGATTCACCCATGCAGGTGTTTGAGCCATTTCCAGATTTTCTGTTCAGATAGAAAAAAAAATCATTATACTCTCATCGATCACACTTACATGTCTAACTTCAATCCGGATTACTTCGTAGTCCCTGCTGTACAGACCTTGAGCAGCATAACGCGATGAACCGTCTTCAGTAAATACAGTGTAGTACGGTTGCTGGACCCCACCAGATAATTCTGCTACTGCCATTTCAGTGATCCATTCTGGAGAAGCTGCGCAGTATGGGTCCCATCCAGTTATCACACACAAGTAACCATACATCCGATGTTTCATTATCAGTCCTATAGCAAACTTCACCTCAGGAATCCTGGTTTTAGGCGTTACATCTTCCTGTGGATTGAAAATCTGTCACTACTACACACCGTTCGATCGTACATAAAGAATAATTAATTAAAAACAAATTTCTATAAAGTACTGAAAATTATTGTCCTTGTCGATACTGTTAATCATAGTACAAGAGAGCAGGCAAAGTCGTACATACTTCTTGCACAACTTTGATATGAGTGTCATAGTCTTGCAGCATTTGTAGAAGATGATTAGCTTGATTGCGTGTTCCCAAATCTTGATACTGGTAACATTAAAAATTGTATGTAGAATTAGTGATGTCTCATTTTTCACTTAGGTTTCATAAATTCGAGATTTCCACCAAAGGGTATTTGGTTTAGCATTTATCAGTACCTCCTGTATATTGTTCAGAACCTTAATTAAGTCGGTTAAGTCCATTTGATGTAGCATGTAAAAGCGTGCCAAGTCCAATATCGTATTGTTGTCTCGTGGTTTAACCAAGTGCAAAAGTTCCAAAACCGAGCGCAGCCTTGCAGCTCTGCCGTTCAAATATGTACGTTGTCGACCAGCAGCTTCTAGGTTATTCGCTATTCGTTCCACCACCTGAATTGTGCAAATCGACATTTTTACAACATTCAACATGGAGAAAAATTAACATACCTCAACAGCGGTTGCTGCTGAATGTTTCGTTGATTTCTCAACGGGACAACTAGCCGAACCGCTGATGCGTGGACAATTGTTCTTTGTTATAAATTGACCACCGTTGAACACATCGATGTAAAAGTTCTCAGACCTTTCCGATTCAGGAGGAGTGCTACAAAATTAAGCATTCTAAAATAATTCTCTGGGATCAATAGCGACAGGGAAATAAATTTTATGAAACTGTCCCCTTACTATTTTTCCTTCCATCTCAGTAAAAAGTGCGAAGGGAAGGATGTTGGCTCGCAGCGTACCCCAAGTCTTCGAGCAACACTTTCAAAGACAATTGCCAGTGTTACAGGAACTCCACGTCTGAGTTCTAATGTCTAATGTTTAGAAGAGTACTTAATAAGATTGTGAGAATTATTGATAAAAACAGGTGACTATTAATTGTACACCTTACTCGATCAATTAAGGAGTTCTCCGACGAATAATACATTTCCGTATTTCCGTAAAAGCCCAACTGTTTGAACATGACTTCACATAATGCTCTCATAATTTCCCTTGTCTCCCGAACGGACCATTGGTTATCATCAATATTCGTGGTCTTCCATAATTTCAGGACATCGGGCGGGGTTTTAAAAATAGAATGTCCAGGTACTTGTATGCGCAATAAATTCTTGGTTTGTTTTGCAATCTCATCCAACATACTCGATATACGCGGGTATGACACACGCCTCTCTGGTTGACTCCATTGAGCTACTAACGTGGCACCATATTCTAGAATTTGTTGCCTGGGAGGTAACTGAACGAATCTCAGCCATTCATCGGATAAATAATTTTGGCGCAGATATCGCACAACCTTGTATGCATAATACTTGTGCGTTAAATTACTGCTTCTGTAATGTATCCAAAAATAGTAAATTGCTTTACTCCAAATGAACTGATGCTTGATTAAAAGTGATAATTTTAACACGCTTACCTGACTGGACGCTGAATCAAAGCAATTAATTCATCCACAAGGAAGTGATACGCCAGAGGATGGGCTCCTTGTTCAGAACGGAATAGTGGATCTAAATCCTTAAATTCAGAGTGTGAAAGTTCATGCTTTTTATAATATTTAGCAGACATCATCTCCAGATGTTCCAATAGCTTTTTCCTGCTTTGTACACTGCTTTGTATCTCCTGCACCCACGATTGCACTTTCCACCCTTGCTTTTCTTCTACCTCGTAGGCTTCTTTGATATGTGGCCATCTGTATGAAATATATATATATATCACTAATTACTAAAAAATGAACAATGTAAAAATATTCATTGTCAATAATCTATTTTTCCATTTGAAATAATTTCCCATTATAAGATATCTCATAAATGTTTCGTACAATCTATACGCTTATGTGTCAACAGGTTAATTTAAAATGATTCACTTTGTACATTATCATATCTTTCACTCATACGCATATAACACGTATAAAAAGTTGAGCCATTTGCACACCATTTTTTCCGCGATTAACAAGATAGACCTCGACTACACGGAAATACCTATGATACAAGAATTACAATCACACAAAGCAACAGCACTATGCATCCGATGTTCATTGTTATGTCATAACTTCACAGATCCTGGAACTCCTACGTTTTAAGTAATTGCGTGTACTTAGACCTTTATAAATAAACCGAGATTATTATTAATGACTCAATTCGTGAGTATAAATGGTAAAAATATAATTCCGTCGTTGAATACCTTTGAAAAAACTTAATCCTCCAAAGTTTGTTGCTGCTGGATATGATCCTGTGAAATTGTTTGCAGGTCAAGGAGAAATTCAGAACGTCCGAAATATTAATACTTTTATCTTCCAAGATGTACTCGATCACTTCATTTGGTAAAAACGTTATTTGGACATCCGCTACCATTCTGACAGCTTCGACACCAAACGCACGTCACACAGTACGCCAGAATACACACTCTACTGATAATTGCCGACAATGTATTAAAATGCATTCTAGAGTTCCATTCGGATAGGTTATGTTGAAGTTTCGTGCTTTGCAGTTTGTTCGCCTAAAACCAAGATGGTGTAGTAAGATATATGGCGGGTGGCTATGAATTTGATCTTGCATCGCCAATTAAAAAAAAAAAAAATAAACCTGTTTTACTTAACGTCTAGTTTACTCAAGAATCGGTACAAAATTATTAGATTAAAATTACAAGAATTATCAATAACAGTATTTCTTGTGATATTTAAATTCTCGCGGTCGCCCAGCAGCTCGGCTTGCTGCACCGATAAAACAGTTGCCGAGATAGCTGCACAGATCCCTACAGTCCAGTTTTATTAAAAATTTAACCTCTTTTATAAAATAAAAGTAATGAAACTGTTTTCACTGAAATACAGCTTGTGCCCAAAAGGAATATTAAATATAGTTAAATATTATCGATAGCTGGTGTTTTGGCGGTAGTGCAAAACATTGCGGTAATGCGATAGTTTGACAGAATGGTACATTGTTGTGTAGTAAAATCATGCAAATCTGTTTGGATTCCGAATTCTAACATATCATTTTTTTCGTAAGTGTATTCTCGTTTTTTTTAAATGTAATTAATAGCGAGGTAAAAAATAAATCAATGTACGCTTTCTTAACCTACCGTGTTTTTGTATTTAGACTCAGAGTAAACAAACCAGCGGTATTAAAGAAATGGCTGGAAGCGATCCCAAACTTGCACAGTGTAAAATATTATCATCGAATTTGCAGCAAGCATTTTCTCCCAGAGTATATTCGGAAAGAGAATGGGCGAACGTATCTGACAGAAGATGCCGTACCCACTGTCTTCGAAAAGGAAGTAAGTGTGTATGATATATTTTGGGAATTAAATAATTGGATATGATCGACTGAATATTCACAGAATATGCCCATTGGAACTGCTACGTCACCTTCGATATTAAGAAAAGCATTAACTGGTACTACGTGTTTATCAGTGGTAAGTATGCATTCATCAATTTTTTAACAAAACTTAATTATAAAGTAGGCACATTTTTTGTGAATCATAATAGGACACTTCTTTTTTTCAAATTGAAGAGTTCTTAATTTATTTCTAGCAAAGCAAATTAAAAATGAAAGTCGACAGGGCAGTAGGAAATTCAGACTCGGAAATAGTAGAATACCCTGATAAAACGATGCACCATGTTCAAGTACAAACAACTTACACCGCAGCAACAATGTCAGCTCGAGAAAATAGATTACGAAGGAAAGTCAAAACTCTTCAAGCTAGACTACGAAGGAAGAATAAGCATATACAATATGCCAAACAATTGGTAACTTATTTAAAAAATTACAGTAAATCTATGGATAATCTTGAGCATGCTTCGTTTACAAAATTTAACATGTTGACTGCCATAAGAAATTTTAACCGTTCAAGAGTTACTCGGGTTCGGGTAACATATCGGTCAACGCATTAAGTTTCGCTTCAAATCTTTTTCTGCATGAGACAAACACAGCCAAACTTTAAAGTACAATAGGACTACCCGAAAGTTATGAAAAATTTTGTAACGATTTTATACTTTCACGTGTCTAAAATCTATAACTGTGTAACATAAAGAATTAATTTATCATATGAAAATACATAAAGAAGCATTAACGCATTAACACCTCGACTTTTCCTTTTATTACTTTTGTCAAATTCGAATGTAGACTTAAAATAAATTCTTAACAACTCGTTAAAATGTCTCAGGTGGGGTATCACATTCTTCTTCCGTAGATTACTTTATTTCAGTTGATTTCTGTAAACAGAAAAACTTGTAACAAACCTACGAGTCGTGGGGGCGCCTCGACGGTCGGTAACCCCTGGTAAGAGTTACGATATGATCGTATTCATCATATTCCACGTTCCACCCAAAATCCCACGGAGCGCATCGGATGTCACATAGAGGACGGTGTGTCAAGGCGTCAAGGATGAGGAACCAATCGGAATCGCGGCGGAAGTGACGTACGAAGTGAAGCTCGATTTCGATTGGTCGATCCTCGACGTATCGCCGCGCCGCGCCGCACTCAGTGAAACAGTTACCTCTCCGCCCCCAAAGCGGTTCGGACCAGTTTCTCTCGATTCCTCCGGTATTCCGTTGGAGCCGATTCCTCGCGCCGCGATTGGCCGGGACCCGCTGCGTTCATGTCACCCGGTTTCCGTTAGTTCGAGGCTCGTTGAATTTTGAAGGGTCGCGGAAGAGCACGCAACTGCACGCAACGGAGGCTGGCTGGCTGGCTCACTCTTGCTCCTCCGGTTCGGCGGTCTTTGGGCGGGAACCTGCGGGAAGCATCGGGGCGCCACCGTCGGCAGACGCGCTCGCTGTTTTCGCTCGTGGCTTCGAGTCGCGGTTTCCGTGTCGGTCTAGCCGAGTGGAATTTGGATTTGCTTCGCTCGGATCGTGCGATATCTCAGCGTAAGTGGCGCGAGTGCGAAAAAAGGCAGGGCGTCGGTGCGAGGCAAGCGCTCCGCCCGGGACACCCGGGACACGCGGCGGAGGGGTCGAGCTAACCAAGTCGGTCGGCGGCGGCGCGAAAGAGCCATCTTGACAAGACACGCATCGCGAGGACCGCGAGTGGCACGGCGGCGGGAGGTAGCGATGCGATCGTACGCCAGCATTCCTCGATCTCCGATCGAGTCGCTCCGCTCCTAACTCGACTCGCCCACCGGTCGACGCGCACCGGCCGAGGGTGCGGGTGCATAACCTAGCGAGTGCACGGCTCCGCTCTTGCTCCTCCCGACGGTGTCTCGATCTGCGGCCTGTGCGAAAACGCACGTCCGGCCGCTTCCCGTGAGTATACGACCCGGCACGCTGCGCAGTTTCGACGCGGTTCGGACCTTCGCCTCTGTATCTCTCGGTCTCCGACATCCGACGAGGGAATCCGCGCGTAAATATTCACGCGAACGTGCACGCGAGTCTACACGAATTTACCCGCGATTTCACACACAAATCCGCTCGACAGAGCCGCGAGTGAACGCGTCCCTCGAGATTGCGCGCGGACGCCGCGCCGGTTTCTCGCTTTTCGCACGGTTTCCCAGACACCGGCAGCGGCCTCGCGCCAGGTTCTACTGGACTTCCCGGTTAACCTCTAATTAATCGGCGCACCGCGCTCTGCCGTGTCGCTCAGAGCTATGCGATTTTTTTTTTCCTGTAGACCGTAGATTACTATTTCGTAACGATTGTTAAAGATGTGGAGTTTGGACGTGTGGATTGTTCTCGGGTCTTGCTCTGGACCCAGTGTCTCAAACTCCCCGTCGACTTAACCTATGGTTTAGGCCTCGCTGGACTGTATTCTCTATGAGTAATAAAAGGAGTATCGGTGACATCTGTTTTTCGTGACATGATCCCTATACCCAAAACGAGGTTTAACACCGAGCTGCTTAAATACTCGTTTGTTTACCCAACTGGATGTGTACTTTGGAATGGCACGTGTACTTAGAGAGTAATTCTGTATTTTCAGGGAACGGCACCATCGCAGAGGAAATCCGTCGTTACGGACGAGATGGAAGGAGACGCTCCTACGGCTGTTGGCACCAGTCCCACAGCCATTAAAAGTATTTAATGAACTACGTGTATTTTTAATTTTTATTTTTTGTGCAATCTGAGAATCACCGAAAATTAGATTTCTTGGAGTTGAAATTTTTGTTTTATTAAAGGGAGCGACGTATGGGTCGAGTTTCATTCGTTGATCGCAGTTTTTGTTACAGTGGCTCAAGAAGAAATAGGGAGATTGGATGTGTTGGTGTGCGGCCAGTGCCATTCCGTGTTTCACTTCGTCGAAGAGTTTCAAGAGCACCGCGAGAAGGAGGGTGCCTGTTCTCGGACTTCACAGTTCCGTGAGAACACCAAGGTTAGTTTGTCGCATTATTGGCTTTTTAAATCTGATAATTATAACAGCTGTGACTCTTCACTTAAATTCGTTTTTTGCAGAATGAACAGAAAGCACAAGTGTGGGCCTTCCTGTTATGGAAGGATTCACAGATTCAACAGGATGGATCGGAAAGAGATGCAGCCAACTCATGGAAGTTGTATCAAAAGTGGTGTAAAATGGACTCGTACATTAGGGATTCCTGGATAGCTGCCGGGAAAACCATTCAGACTTTCACAAAGATTAGTAACGCGAAGATGCAAGATATGCCTCGGCTTCCTCACCAAGCAAGTGCTAACATCGATGGTATGATTTCGCGCTTATATCGGCAATAATCTCTACTTTAAAATGGTGCTTCTCTTAATTTTATTTAAACTGTTTGCAGGTTCCAAATCTATAGTTGTACGAAAAGTTATAAGAAACGGGCAACCGGAGGAAGCCAGTGAACAAAATAAGGAATCAAAGCCTTCAGACATTAAGACCACAAGGAACGTCGAGTCCACGAACGTCAATCCAGAAATTAAAGACAAGCCCAAAATGAAACCATCCATCAAGCCGAAGGTATACCCTTCACATAAATACCTAGTGTTTTGTCTAATCATTTTACATCGATAATAAATTTCAGGTTAAGCCAACAAATATCATCGGCAGCGAAGCTACCGAGTCCAGTGACGAAGAGTATGTAATCGAGAAGATTTTGGCGAAACGTTTCAATCCAAAGAAGAGATGTTCCGAGTTCCTTCTAAAGTGGGAAGGCTATCCACAGTGAGTGTCCTGAGAAAAAGTGTGTAAGAATTTTTTATTAATTCGAAACACGATTTTCCTAATGAGCATGTATACCTTGCAGTGACCGCAACACTTGGGAACCGGCAGAAAGCGTCTCCGTGTTTAAAGACCTGTTGGAAGAGTTCGAAAGGAACCTCGCCAAGCAGAAAGAACTGAAGGCTGGACAACAAACGACGATCAAAGTAATAGGAAGGTCGCCGATGACTCCCCAGAAGACGGTGATGAAGAGCGAGACCAAACCTGGACCGAGCACTCCACCGCAGGCTGGGTAAAACTTAACCCCCTAGTTCCTAAGTTCCCGAAAAAATTAGATAAGAAAGAGTTAGTCGTTTAAAAACGAAATTGTCAATCCTTTCGTTTGTTTAGACGACCGATGCGTTCCAGTAAATCGAAGGCCTTGGACCAGGTGAAGCAGTGGTGTGGATCGATGAAAGACGAAGAGAACGAACGTGAGTAGGAGCCTCCCGAATTCATTACATGGTATCTAATTTTTCTACGGCGTCCTGGAGAGAAACTTTAAAAATACGTTGACTTTCTCAGTGTTGGGGAAGAGGCGAATGGATTATTCGGACAGCGAGTCCGACGACGGTTGCAGCAACGCTGCCAAGCGGGCGAAGGGCGACACGGGCAGCGACGAGGACTGGACGGCCGAATCCGAGGAGGAGAGGTTGGCCAGTCGGAGCGACGTCATCCAAAGGGCGTTCCATCGCGCCGACGTCCAGTCGAACGACTCGAACCGGACGACCATATCGGGCACCGAAATCCCGGCGAATCTGAACCTACAGTCTCCGGAGATGCAGAAGTCCTGCCAGACGCCGGTGCTGGTGGCCAACGCGAAGGGCGTCGTCAAGGTGGACCCGAAACAGATGCCCAACCTGACCTCGGGGGTCTACGTCATGTCCAGGAAGGACGGCATAATAAAGCTGGACTCGTCGCCGAGCGGGAAGATAGCCGTGAAGGGCTCGCCGACCCAGGGCATCCTGATGGTGCAGAACCGCGACAGCAACAACGTGGTGCGCAAGCAGGTGTTGTCGGGCTCGCAGGTCAACTCGATCGCCCCGGTGAAGGTGGTCTCGAAACCGGACGGCAACCAGATGGTGACCCAGATGAAGGTGATCACGAAACCGCTGCTGATGAAGAGCCCTGGTGCGACACCGATCAAGAACGAGCCCATCAAGATCCAGCCGAAGCCGGACCCGACGCAGCTGCAACAAATCCACGTGGTGACGGCGGTGTCAAACCCGGTGGCCCTGCGCCCCAGGATGACCCCAGGGGTCAGATCGAGTCCGGGATCCATTCAGCGCAACCCGGACGGACGACCTCTCCTTCCCAGACCGGCACTTCGAGCGACGACCCCCATTGGTCTGCACGAGGTCTGCTCCCCGAACCGCACCCCGGTCAGGGCCTCAATGCCGAAGCAGGTGCAGTGCCAGTCTCCGCGTCAGGTGCTCCAGAAGCGGCTGGCGGTGACGGCCGTGCAATGCGCGACCAGCAGCCCCAACGTTGTCCCCACCCAGGTCAGGTCCAAGTTCACCGTCCTGAACTCGACGGCGAAGCAGTCGCAGAAGACGGTGCCGAGCTTGGTGCAATCGAAGCAGCTGCCGAAGGTGCCGCTGGGGAAGGCGCAGTCTCTGCTTTCGCCGCAACAGAAGCTGCTGATGGCGAAGCGGAAAGCCCAGGAGGCGGTGGGCCTGATCAAGGCCGGGAACCGCGGTCTCCTGGCCGGCGCCCGCGGCGCCCCGGGTCGCAGTAAGAGCAAGTTCGCGGAAGCCGTGAACGCGGCCGCAGGGGCATCTCCTGCGCCTGGGTCCGCGGCGGCGAACAAACCGAAGGAGAGCAAGCTGGTCGAGGGCGACGGCCTTCACATGGAGTTCCACGTCGGCACCGAGGAGAGCAGCAGCGAGGGCGAGTCGGCGGACCTGCTGCCCCAAGACGCGGAGGCCGTGCAGCCGATCGAGCCGGAGAGCCCGCCGCGTCCGTTCACCCTGTGTCCCCTGACCGGACGTATCATGGGTCCCGATGGCGAGCCCATGGAGCAAACCGCTGAGCAGGAAACTCCAGCCCAGGATGCCCTGGCTGCGCCCCTGGAGCCGAGCGTCCCCCTCGCCGCCGTCGCCGTGGACAACCCCGAGGCGACCGCCGCGTCCAATGCTGCCGAGCTGGTCCTACCCTCCCTCGAGTCCCTCACCGAGACCGGGAGCATCATGAGGGTCGAGATGAGCCCCGGAGGCACCACCGGCACCATCGTTCAGACCTCCGAGCCGGCCCAGATGAGCCTGCCCGCCGTCGGCTCCTCCACCGCCGGCCTGCCCTGCCTGGACGACACCCCCGCCGCCGTCACATCTACCTCGACGCCCGCCCTCACGGAGGCCGTTGCTCCCGCTGCCGAGGCCGCCCCCTCCGTCGACGGCGCCCTGGCCGCCGCTGCCGCGGCTCAGCCCGATACCCCGGAGCTGCCCAAGACCGAGGAGAAGACCCCCGAGGACAAGAAACCCGCCGAGGACGCGTCCAGCCTCGTCACTATCACCGGGGAGGACGGAATCGTCTATCAGGTGCGCTGTTAATTTTAAAATACTTTTATATTGTATTCGATATACCCGATTTGAGGTTAAATATCTATCTTAAGGATATTCAAGGGTTGGAGGAATTTAACGTAATTGTTGATCTCTCGGTACCAGGTTGCCGGCCAGGCAGAGGACGGGCAGACCCTCCTGGTGACCCGCGGAGCGGACGGAGAGCAGCAGTGCGTATACGTCACCACGGAGCAGCAGGGCGACGAGGGCTCCGTCCTCACCCTGGACCACGCCGTCGCAGAGGCCGTCGCCCAGCTCATCCCCGACCAGGTCAATCTGACCTCGCAATTCTACGTGAAGGAGGGCGAGGCCGAGCCCGCCGAGAACCAGATGGTCATGTCCATCATGGACAACGCCGGAAACGCGGCCACCGCCACCCAGGAAGACAGCGACGGACAGGCCCAGGTCGTCGCCCAGGTGGTGCAGGCCGACGATCCGACCCCAGGTACGCCGAGGTTGCGTTCACAATTATCCCTTTATTTTCAGATCTCGTGGTTGCCTGCGGATCCACCTTGCGGATTCCTCGAAGTCGACGCGTCCGTTGGTCGCTCCAGGATGCCTAGATTTAAGGCCTAATGTCGTTTGTCGGGTGTTCGCGTAGCCACCTGTCCCCTTGAATTTTCCGCAGGTGGCACCAGAAGAGTGGTCTTGCTCCTGCCCGATGGCAACCTGATGATGACCGAGGTGGACGAGGAGCAGTACGCGGCCCTGGAGCTGGACAAATGAAGAGGTCGGCCAGGCTTCCACGCGAGCCTTGGGAGGAACGGACGATGGGTATCCTGCATCGAGTTACATTTTGACCATAAGTCGTACGGTTTAAGGATAACCATGACCATTGTATATATGTAACGACCGGGCACTTCTTGCGCGGGGACCGGACGGCGGGGACGGGAGGAAACCAGTCATGGACGCGTACGACGATGTTGTAAAGATGAGACAAAATGGACTATAACGTGTCGCTAACGGTAACGATATATAGTGGATAAGGCAATCTAGATCCTAGATTATAAAACTGTTTTTTGCAAATTCGTGTACATCGGCGGAGGAAGAGAGAGAGAGAGAGAAAAAAAAAGTGTAGCGTTTCTTCTGGTATTTTAATTTCTACGTTTACCCTGTAATGGACACGTGGCCACAACAGAGACAAGTTGCGAAAGTAACAAGGCTTACGTTTTTCTCGGACACTACCTTACACTATCCGGGGATCCGATGTACGGTCGTTGAGTTTTGTCAAAATTTGTAGGTATTGGGTCGAGGGGGGCTTTATTTTATTTCGACGGTTCCGAGGGCCTGAAGTAGCTGAAATTAGACGGCTGGGGTTGATCGCTCTTTTATTATTCGTGCAAAATGTCACGTTTGGTTGTCATCGATACACATTAATTATTTCCTTAGCCCTGGAGATGTTCGTGGAGTCTAGGTCCTCTGAATGTAGTCATGCCTTCGGGTGACGAGAATAATGGCTCAATAACTCATAATTTAGAGTTTAGTTCTCTGTGGATGTAAATTTCATTTGTCAACGAAGTGTATAACACAATTCATTAATGGCTCTTCGGGACGTGTAGGTTTTTAGTTCACTGTTATCGAAATATAGACGATTAAAGGATTGCCTTCGGACTGTCGAGTGTTTCCCCCTCTTTGACATCGGTTTACCTTTAACACCCCACGAGGAATTAAGATTTAACTGTACAATATTGGCTTAAGTTGTCGACAGGCATGTTTTTACTTTATATGAATTGTTTACAAATAGTGTCGTAAAAATATAAGACACCTGAAAATCTCACATTATTTATTTATTCGCTGAGATGCTTCGTAGAAATTATTTCACCGTAACGCAGTCTTGTCAGGTTCTTCGAGTAGCTCGGTGTCCACTGAACGTTGCGAACAGGTTTGTGCTCCTTATGACAGCGATACTGGGAGCTCGTTTAAGAGATTTTTCTTTGAATAATAGCTAAGCTTTGAAATTCTAGATGTTTTTCTCTTATGTTTAAAGGTTAATTAATAGGAGAGCTGAAGATGTAGCGATAGTATTCAATAAAAAGGAAAGCTCTTTCCCTTTTAAGTCAATTGTTACTTACATTTACCTCAAAGTGGTGCCAATGTTTTCTTTATTCATTCGTTTTGGTACACGAGTCTGTCGATTCAAAATTTATGTATACGTACAGTGACACGAATCGCTTAACTTTTCACTTTTGGCTTCTCACCTTCGGCTGTGTCGTGAAGCCGCCTTTTTTTGCGAAGGAGCCAAATTTCTTTCGCCCTTTTCTCTCGACCCTGCATCATGCTCTTGTACAAATTTCTGTGCTTCTTCTTAATCATTTTCTCTCTCAGTCGATACTCCTGTCTCTCTTTTCTTTGAGCGTCCCATTGAGGCTCGACTGTTATTTCACCTGCTTTGACTTTCATCTCCTGTAAAGTTATGACTCGATTATATTTTGTGGATCATTGTGAAATGGTTCTTCGATGCATCGAAGCATATTAAAGAAAAAGCGAAAACTAACCTTATTCAACTTCTCGAGTTTCTTTTTAATTTTCTTTGTTTTCTTCTTCTTGTGACTTGACATCTCGTCCCCTGTGTCCTCAGTTTCTTCTGCAATATTTTCCTCAACCTCTTCTTCTTCTTCCTCTTCGTCATGGACTATCCCCTCACCGTGATCATCTAAAGGAGTAAATAAACAGTACCAAATAAATAAGTTGACTTCTTTTTCACTAATAAAAATAAAATTATTAAATATAATTAATCTGACTTTTGTTCTGTACTCCAATTTCAACAGATGGACGAGCTTCTGGAGGAATGTACACCTGGTCATGTTGGTCATCCGTGAAAGGAGACAAATGTGGAGGAAGCGTAACACCCATAAGGTACTTTTCCACAGGTAACCTCTCTCTTGCGTTGACTGAATCAAACACCCATTGCGGTTGCACGTAGTATCTTAAAACGAATAAATATGTATGCAACCATATACATCAACATTTAAAAATATTTATAATATACCTTGAAATATATTGCTTATCGATGCTGGGTCGATCAATGATTTGATGAGTGATGGTTTCATCATTTTCATCAAAAGTGGCGCCGATAAATAAAGTTTTATCCCACGATACTTCTGCACCAAAGCAGCGAAGGACGAAGACCAAGGGCTCCCTTGGTACTTCACGGTTGATAAAAAATTTCAAGCCTTTGAAGAGAATTTTCAGTTTATCAATTTTCGCTGCTTCAACTTTGGTAGCCTCCAATTGATCAGTCTCCCCAGTCTGAAACAAAAACCAAGAGAAAAAAATAATATTATACTTTGATAATGCGGATCAAATACGTACATTTGAAAATTGGTCTATTTGACACTCCTCTTCTTCCACCGTCCTGTCCGAGTTACTACTAATCAGTGGTGCAGTCAAAGCTGCTATTCTTTCCGATACAAATGCTTCTTCGTCAACAAGCTCCTTATCATGACAACCTGGGGAAATTACAGTGTATTACTGATACTCTTAAAATTAAAATTGTAAATTAAAATTTTTTCTTACCAATGTCATTTAATTTTGGAGGGTAGTAGAGATTCAAAGAATGGTACAGCTTAAAGTTGACAAAACCCAACAGCACGGTATAAAACTCTACAAACGTAGACATGACTATAAAGTCAATTTCACTTTTCTTCTGAGGCTCGAAACAGAAATTATGTGGCACGATCCATGTAATTGTCTGCCCTTTGATCTCTGCTTGGTAATAGTATCCTTTAATGGATATAAACACTTTGCGAAGTGCTTTTGCTGCTATCACAGCGTGCATAAATTCTACCACCAGTCTTCTGCACAATAAAGTCTGGTCTCTGGGAATGTGAGCCAAAGATGGGAACGTGCCGAAGAGAAAACATAATGTGAGGCAATCGTCTAAATCCCTTAATGCATCTATGAACGTTGGATAGCGCTCCTTAACTATGTGGTCAAGTTTTATCGACACGTGATTACTGAGATACCATTTTATTTTACTGTGGTCGTTAAGAGATTTTGCCTTGTTGAGTTTTTTATTAAAAATCTAGAAAGGGGATTAAAAAATCATATCATTACTCTCAAGTACATACCATACATACCATGATATTTTTAAATGCAATTTGAAAATACCTTATAGTCCCTCAACTTCCATATAATAGGCTCATGCAGCAAGAATTGAATGTCCTTCTTGTGATATAAGATTTTGATACCAGTTTTACCCTGCTGGGCTCTCTTGCGATTGCGAGGTTCTCGTGGATAAATTCCTTTCAGTATGCATAGTCTTCGGAATGAATTTAGCGATAACTGCAACTTTTTGAGGACTGCCTTCCTTGACATAAACTGAGCTCCCTCACCTGACTCGTACTGAAATATTAATATAAGAAAATTAATGGTACAGATTACTGGTCCCCATTGAATCATAATTTAAATACTAATAAATTCCCCATACCTTCTTCTTTCGTTGACCGACCATTTTCCCCTTCTCGTAGTAACTTATTTTAATTACAAATACTTGGTAGAATAATAAACGCTTTCTGTAAAATATTATAAATTACATTGCATGTGCAACCAAAGTGCAACGCTAAATTCGTAATTATTCGCGACTACACAGTTGTATTTACACGTGCATTTTCATACATTTTGAGGTTAAGTTTTTAATTTCAAAAGTTCTCTCAAAGATGTCACCACGATCACCTGAATACCATATTTTTGTATAGACTTCCCCTTCCTGGGCGACTAAGAGATCATGCTATCTCTCTCGCACTCCTTCCGACTATGAGTGCGAGAAAGACACACTTATACGGATAAGGTACACGGTCTCCCAGCTAGTCTCCCGTCATGCGTCCCCCGAAGGTGTAATAGGTCACCCGGTATCCGTGATTTCATTATTCCCATGTTTTTCCTAAACTCGATAGTTCTCTCAGCTTTCCGACGTCTTCAGTTGGCGTGCATGTTCCGTAATGACCTTGCTATTGGCGCGTTGCTCGTGAGTGATTTAAAGCGCTCGGATTAGGACAAGATATACGGTTAAGCCCTCGTATTGTTTAACCAGGTGCAACAACAGAGGATAAAGAATGGCAAACGACGATTTTTTGCCACTCTCCTTGCCGGACACTCAAAATGCCGACGCTGTTTTGACACAATCTCAGGATTTAGTGAATTCCCAGGAATTACTTTATTCATGGGGCAGACTTTTTTCAAACAATGATTACTTCCAAACGATTGGTAAGTTCTGTTTGGATTCCCATCGATCTATTCATAATATTTCCTATCCGCGGCGTAAATACACTTTACCGCTTGTCCGGCACAACAGATAAATTGAACATTAAATACTTTGTCCATTAAACGTTTTGAATTTAATTGAAACCTAGCACTGTTGTTTTTAGTTTTTATTCTCATCGTAAAAACATGACTTATTAGACGCTTTACAGTAGATTGAAAAATTAATTAGTTTAATCTCTTGTCTTCCAGAAATGTCAAAAGGGGAATACACATTGGGACGATCTCCTAGCTGTGATATTCATGTGGCACAGGACTCCAAATTAAAGTGGACCAGTACCGTTAGCAAAGTTCATTTTCGAATCATTAAAGAATCCATCAGTGACACCAACGATATGGTGGTATACTTGGAAGATCTAAGTCATAACGGAACTTTTGTTAACAAAATTCTAGTCGGGCAAAAAAAAAGGGTAGTCCTGGAAAATAACGATATGATATCGATTACTCAAGCAAAGTTTGTTGGTAAAATGTTTTACTTCGGCTCAGAGGCAGCTACATTTTATTGAGAATGTATAAGTATCGGAAGATAAAGATATTTTACTACCCTTTTCAGTTTACATATTCATGAATATTATCGGTGTCAATGGCAGCGGCTTGCCACCCGAGTTAAGATGTAAATATGCCGTTTCTAGGACATTAGGATCCGGAGTTTGCGGAGAAGTTAAAATGGTATTCATGAAAATCGGTGGCAAGCGATTCGCTATGAAGACAATATCAAAGACGAGTCTTACGATGAATGGGAATAGAAATTCTTTCAATGATCCAGAAAAAATAATGAACGAAGTCAGGATACTGAAAGAGCTCAAGCATGTACGTGGATATAGTTTGTATACAAATTGGTCTTTCTCTCGTTGAATATTGTTATATTCATAGCTTGTTTCACTTTCAGCCATGTATTATTCGCATGGAAGAAATCATCGACACACCGTCAAATGTTTACATTGTACTTGAATTAATGGAAGGCGGTGAACTATTTGAGAGGATTCTAAAAAAAAACGGGTTGTCAGAGAAAAACGCGAAGCTAATATTTTATCAAGTTGTCCTCGCTGTCGATTATCTTCACACCCGAGGAATTACGCATCGGGATTTAAAGGTAATCTTTTTAATGTCAATTTGATAACGGTAATATTAATCTGTACATTGTTTCTTTCCATAGCCGGAGAATATTCTATTGGCAAGCGACGCTGATGTGACTCTGGTGAAGGTGACTGACTTTGGATTGTCAAAATTAATTAAAGCTGAAACATTGATGAGAACTTTTTGTGGGACCCCAATGTATGTTGCTCCAGAGATACTCATCACAGGTGGACGTGGTACATACACTAAACAGGTAAGTGAAATCAAAGGAGATCAAATGACATAACCTGCGTCCCTTGAGAAATATATAAATGTTTACAGGTAGATGTGTGGAGTTTGGGAGTGATTTTATATTGTTGTCTGAGTGGGTTGGTACCGTTTAATGTTAACAACAGGCGGTACAGTCTGCAGGAGCAGATCATTAAAGGCATCTATACATTCCCACAGACAAGGTTTCACCACGTATCTCCAGAAGCCATAAGTTTGGTATGATTTTTTGACGTCGTCATAACTAACAATCGATGCAACATGTGGTAGTAATAAATACACAGATGTGAAATATTAATTTATTTCTTCGGCCCAGATAAAGCAAATGATGACCGTAGATCCCATGAAGCGTATTACCACTCGGCAAGTGTTACTGCATCCGTGGCTACGTGACAAAGAAATGCGAGAAACTGTGCGCTTTCTGATGACGAGACAAAGTGACGAAGAGAACTGTAGTCCAGCATTGCTCCCGGAGTCCACCGATGGAAGGATCAACAATGTCACGACATCTTTAAAGAGGGCTCGAGTAGAATAGAATATCTCTGAGTCTTGTTCTAGCTATACCTGTAACATATCGACTTGATGTACCTTGGTTGATTCGAGGAAGACAAACGTCCTAGAACGTCTAACGACACGATAACGACGTGACGACTCAGGAACATTTGTTTGTTCCATTAAGTACAATATGCACATGTGATGATACGATTATTTTCCCAGACGCGCGAAACGAGATATCATATATTCGGTATCGAGGAGGAAATTCTTTCCCTCCAAAGGAATTCACCGAGGGGATTAATCACCGCTGTATAAAATTTAATTGGATCATGGAATTCTCTTCGTTCCAAATATATTTTTAAGTCGGCCATGATTAACGGCCATCTCGTTGACTTATTTGGATGAAAAGAATTTTCCATTCGTTCGTTTTAGCGGAAGCTGGTTCTCACTCATGAGACGTAACCTAATTATGTAGGTATAATTGCAGTTATATGTAATCTAAGGAGTTCCAATACGTTTATCTAAGTCATAAGTTAATACAGTATTTTTCTACTATAAAAAAAATGAATACGCACTCGTAAGAGTTGGGATACATCTAGCAATGAATTGATATATATGTTATTATTTAACGTGATGTATCGTTTAAATAATCCGTAACTGTCACGTACTTTATTTTGTATGCGTACCACTAAAAAGTTTTGTATCGCTGTCGTACTCCCTTCCTCAGGATTACAATTAATATTTACGTATTAGAAGGATTTTGTTATGTGATGAAATTCGTGGCATATTAAAGTTATATTTTCGTATTACGTTTCCATGCAGTCGTTGATAATAAATATTTTAATTTGTCCGGGGAGAAGACGATAACTATTTCGTTTATCGTATTTTCAATTTTGTTTGCATGGAAATACATCTTCTCCCGTGCAAGCATCTGGAATCGGAGTTTCCATGTCAGGATTTTTCTTGCTGGCCAGACCCACAAGTAATCGTTTGATTTCGGCAATTGCTCTTCCTGGATTTAAACCCTAAAAATAAAAGATTAGAATATGCTGTTCAACGTAAATCTAGTCAAGATCTAAATAATGGACCAACCTTTGGACATGTTTTTGTACAGTTAAAAATAGTGTGGCATCGAAACACTGAGTAAAAATCACGAAGTGCGGCAAGCCTTTCCTTGGATCCAGTGTCCCTGGAATCTATAATCCATCTGTATGCCTTTAGAAAAATATTAGACATTAAATTCTGCTGAAATTCCGATTCCGGTAAATTCCATTAATCGCATAAATTAATTTGTTTTAATTCTTACTTGCATAAGAACTGCGGGTCCCAAATATTTGTCACCTGTCCACCAATACGGTGGACAAGCGAACGAACAACATCCACAAAGAATGCACTCGTACAGTCCATCCAATTTGTTGCGATCTCTTTCGCTCTGTAAAAGCTGCCTTTGGCCTATGATGCCATCTTCGTCAACGCGTTTTAACCAAGGATCAATTTTTTTATACTGCTCCAAGAAGTGTCCCATATCCGGAACCAGATCTCGAATTATATACATATGTGGCAGCGGATAAATAATCAAAGGCTTCTTGTCTCTCATAACTTTCCTAATATGAACATGAGCATTAATCTTTGGAGCACCACATTTCATAAACACCTTTTACTTTTATCGGATTGTTTTGTATGTGATCTGTGCATTGCGTGATACACCGATCTCATAATGCATCGTGGATGTTGTTTAAAAAATACGTTTAACGCTCGAGTTGTCATTTAGAGGTCTTTACGTGATGCAGGCCAATGTGTTGACACCGTTTATGTTCATTGCGCAACTTCCACAGATTCCTTCGCGACAGGATCTGCGAAATGACAGAGACGCGTCGTGTTGTGCCTTGACCAGATGTAGCACGTCCAGCACCATTAAGCCACACTTGTTCAGGTCCACTGTGTATTGTTGCAAGTATGGTTTAATGGTTGGAGCCTCGGGATTCCATCGATACACTTTTACCGTCTTGAGAATGGGCTCCAGTTTCTTCTTCTAAAATAATACATGCAAAGTTTACATTGTATCAAGATCCAGACACTTTTTACAAAATAATGAGCAAAATCGAAAAAGCGACTAACGGGAGCCGTAGAAGGTTCGTGACAGACTTTCCTAGTCTCTTGGTCTTTGACAAGCTTCGGATGTTCCTCATCAATTATAGGCTTCGGTTTCTGAGTTTTCCAACGTTTGTCAAAAGCCACATCTTTTCGTACTCTTGATAGTAGTCTCCTCGCCGGCAAATAACAAATCGTTGACATTATTCCTGATGGTTTGAAATCGGTAGAATTGACACACGCCTTTATACAGCCTCCTCAAATGAGCGCGTTCTGACCTCACTGAACATCGCACGTTTCGATAAGAAGTTTTCGTAACAAGAACAACCAATTAATTCCTGTCAGTGTGTGGATCTCGATAAGCCCGTATTATTACTTCACTCGGCAGACTATTTTCCATGTTCAGTGTAGAAAATAAAGTCGAGGTGACGTCGGTGACCCACGATTGCGATTAAGCAACGGGCTCAAAAAGAGATCTGTCCCCTTTCTCCCAGATTCGCGGGAAGATAACTTTGAAAATAACAAAAAAAATATATGAGAAATGGTTAAAGACTCTGCACAGAGTGAAATTAAATCCCGCGAAGTCGAGACAATATATTGTTTTGAATATCAGTGCGTTGCAGCTATTCAAACAGGTCATGAGAGTTATCGGTGGATGATAAATCTTACGAAATTTTAAGCTCCCCTGCCAAGAATACATCCGATACGTTGCTCGCTTCTGATTGGTCGACGCGCGACCTCGTGACCTCGCGTCGACCAATCAGGTGGCTGCGATTCTGTAGAAGCGCACGTTGCGGTGGGTTTTCCAGCATTCACGCACCCGCGCGCTTGTCGTTGACGCACGTGGTATTCTCACCTGTTGAGTTCCTTTAAGTCATTGGAGGTAACCGGTTCTTTTGACACCTGTAAATCCACTGGATTGATTAAATATCCATAAAGTTAATTTTCTATGACATAATTCGATAAGACGGTGAGAAATCCTCAATTATAGTGTCAGGATTAATGAGTGTGATATCTTTATAATAGCGAGAAGATATTTAAATAATCACTAATGTTTTGTATATTTGCGGTTAATAGTAATTATCTATGGTTTCCAATTTTGTTTTGTTATCGCAGTTATATCAAGAATGGAAGGACACATCATTTTAGTCATCGGAGGTGGAGGCAGAGAGCATGCGATATGTTGGAAACTGTCGGAGTCTGAAAAAGCAAGTATTCTCCGCTTGCATAAGAGAAATATTGGTTTTATAATTTTTTGATATGATAATTTGATGATTAATTTATCCATTAGGTACACAAAATTTTTGTTTCTCCTGGAAACTGTGGGATAGCACGAGTTGATAAGGTTTCTTTGGTACAGTTGAACATCAAAGATAATAAGGTACAATTTATTACCTCCGATGCATCATTCTTGAGTAAAAGTAGCAATGTTATTAATATCTTCTTTTTATTTAATGCAGGAAATCGTGAAGTGGAGCAAAGAAAATAATGTGAGTTTAGTGGTAGTGGGACCCGAGGATTATCTGGCTAGTGGATTGGCAGATGAGATGGCAAAAAATGGTATTTCGTGTTTTGGCCCTCGGACAGATGCAGCTAGAATTGAAACGAACAAGGATTGGGCGAAACGTTTCATGGATCGACATAATATTCCGACTGCAAGGTGGAAAGGTTTCACCAATGCGGATGATGCAAAAAAATTTGTGAAAGAGTACAGACTTCAAATTTTATTTTTCTTCATTTTTTTTTTAAACATAAAATCTAATTATGCATTTTTCAGATCTCAATTTGATGCCCTAGTAGTAAAGGCGTCAGGACTAGCTGCAGGGAAAGGCGTAGTGGTTGCTGCGAATAAGAGTGAAGCATGCCAGGCAATCGACGAGGTATTAACTCACAAGAAATTTGGTTCCGCTGGAGAAGTAGTCATCGTCGAAGAACTTCTGGAGGGTGAAGAAGTGTCCGTACTGGCGTTCACAGACGGTACTGTAATTAATTAGCAAGTCAATACACAATGTGATATTAAATAATAACGATCGATTCTCTTAGGTCATACCGTTGTGCACATGATACCAGCACAGGATCACAAAAGAATATTTGACGGGGACACTGGACCTAATACTGGAGGAATGGGAGCTTATTGTCCTTGTCCTTTATTAACCGAAGAAGAATGTCAACTAGTCAAGTCCAACATCTTGCAGAAAGCAGTTGATGGATTAAGAAACGAGAATATTCCTTTTGTGGGTCAGTTGCATATGTGAAAAATATCTTAACACGTTACACTTAGAGTAATTATTTTTTTTTTTATTTTGGCAGGAGTATTGTATGCTGGTTTAATGCTAACTCGCGACGGCCCTAAAGTGTTGGAATTCAACTGCAGATTTGGAGATCCAGAGACACAAGTCATTTTACCACTTCTTCAGTCTGATCTTTTTGTTGTTATGCAGGTGGATATATTGTCTAGTGCTTTTTAAAAAAATTGTGTGTATTTTAAAAGTGTTTTAATTGCAGTCGTGTTGCAATGGTACTCTGACTGAGTCTCAAGTAGGATGGAAAAAGGGTGTCTTTGCAGCAGGAGTTATTATAGCCTCTCGTAATTATCCTGAATCTTCTTCGAAAGGACAGCCGATAAAAGGTATTGATGAAGTAAGTCACTGGCAGAATCATTACGTCTTCCACAGTGGCACGTCACTATCATCCAGTGGAGAATTTGTAACGAATGGTGGAAGAGTTCTGATCACTGTGTGTCTGGCACCTTCGTTGGCTGCCGCAGCAGGTAAAGCTACGGCAGCAGCCAAATATATTTCATTTGAAGGAATGCAATTTAGAAAAGACATCGCACATAAGGGGATCTGTAGGTAAGAATGACAATAGCTTTAGACCTTTCTTTGACTAAAATTTTTTATTTGTCATATTTTAGGTCGATCTTACAGAGTGGCTCATTGACGTATAAGTGCAGTGGAGTTGACATCGAAGCTGGTGATTCTGTGGTGTCTTTTATTAAACCAGCAGTTGCTTTGACTAAACGTCCTGGCTCGGTGGGTAGCATTGGAGGTTTCGGTGGGTTATTTGACATTAAAGCTGCTGGATACACTGATCCATTTATGGTGTCTGGAACGGATGGCGTTGGCACTAAGTTAAAGGTAAAAATATATTCTCACGTGTGGAAATAATACAAACCTGGACATTATTTTAAAGTAATTTTTTTTTTAGATTGCAATAGAATGTAATTCCCATGACTCCGTGGGCATCGACTTGGTTGCAATGTGTGTCAATGATGTCTTGGCACACGGAGCTGAACCATTATTCTTCCTTGACTATTTTGCTTGTGGAAGACTCGATGTTAGAGTAGCTGTCAAAGTGATCGAAGGTGTATCGGAGGGCTGCCGAAGAGCAGGTTGTGCTCTGGTATGTAGACTCACGTGTATAATGCAATATGTTGAAAATGTTCGATTGACATTGCACGAAAAAGAATTCAGAAGAAAAAAAAAATAATTGTATCCACAGGTTGGTGGAGAAACTGCAGAGATGCCAGACATGTACCCCGATGGAGAGTACGACTTGGCTGGTTTTGCCGTCGGAGCAGTCGAGAGGAAAGATTTACTTCCTCTTATTTCTGACATAACTGTAGGAGACGTTGTCATTGGAATTCCATCTAGTGGAATTCACAGCAATGGATTTAGTTTGGTTCGAAAAATCTTGAAGATGGCCAACAAATCATACTCAGACATCGCACCATTCGATTTGGAAGGAAGGACTATAGGTGTGAATATTTAAAATGTTTACATAAAATGTAAATTAATTTAAAAACGTTTATTTTACGTTGATATCCAATTTCAGGAAAGGTCTTGTTGGAGCCTACAAAAATCTACACCAAAGCAGTGCTTCCGGTGTTGAAGTCTCATCTAGTGAAAGCATTCGCACATATCACAGGTGGGGGTCTCGTTGAAAATATTCCTAGGGTTTTGCCAAAAGGGGTCGGAGTTGTTCTCGATGCAACCAAGTGGAACATTCTCCCAGTCTTCAGTTGGTTAGCTACTCTCGGTTAGTGTAATTAAAAAAAATTATTTAACAATATCCGTTACATGTTATAAAAACTAATACATTTTTAGGTGGTGTAAGTGAATCTGAAATGTTACGAACATTTAACTGTGGCATCGGTGCTGTCGTCATATGTTCTCCAGAACACCAAAAAGAGGTTCTCGATAAACTTCGTTGCGAAAATGCCGTTCTTATGGGATCAGTGAGGCCTTTAGAAGGTAAATTATATTATTTATTAAAACATGTTGAATAAAGTGTGTGAAGCTAATTGATACTTTTGAACAGGTGACAAGCAAATTGTTAAAGTGCAGCATTTTGAAAAAGCGGTCGAATCCGAAATGCGCAGGCACGTGCCATCTCTGGTATCGAATCTGTCAAAACCTCTGAAGAAGGTGGGTGTTTTAATATCAGGGAGTGGAACCAATCTCCAAGCATTAATTAATGCTACGCAAGATCCGACCCAGCACATCGGAGCTGAAATTGTTTTAGTTATCTCGAATAAACCCAAAGTAAAAGGGTTGACGAGAGCTGAAACAGCTGGCATCAGAACAAAGGTATGATTTTTTAATGTCATACTGTACCAGATTGAATTTTTTACATTGATTTGTATTGAAGATGATTATTTTACCCGTTTCGTCGAAACGTAGGTAATGAAGCACACTGATTATTCAAGCAGAGAATCTTTCGATTTAGCAATGGATGCTGAATTAAGATCTGCCGGGGTAGAAATAGTGTGTCTCGCAGGTTTTATGCGTTTGCTTTCCGTGGAGTTTGTTAAACGATGGAAAGGAGCTTTACTGAATATACATCCATCTTTATTACCATCCTTTAAAGGAAGTCATGCACACAATGACGTCTTGGCTTCCGGTGTTCGAATAACAGGCTGTACAGTACACTTTGTCGAGGTAAAAAAAAAAATCTTTAACGCATACATTTAAGAACTACATTGGGACGAATGGTACCAAATGTTCTCACTTCAGGTCGAGATGGATTCTGGAGCGATCGTAGAACAACAATCCGTTCCTGTGCTGCCAAATGATACCGTTGAAACATTGCAAGAACGAGTCAAGTCGGTTGAACACCTGGCGTTTCCAAAAGCACTGAAATTGTTAGCTACGGGTAAAATACGGCTAAACGAAAGTGGTTCGATCGAATGGAATATTTAGGTTGATTATTTCACTTCGAAGAGAATATACTTACATGGTATTCCTTACACTCAAACCTATTCTGATCCTCTAAGGATGGCACCGACCCGCGAATAGGATAGAATACAATAGAATCCCTTCCAGCCGTTAAATTGTAATTTCGTCCTAGTAAACAGATTTTTAAAAAGCCAGATCTAGCGGAAAATACGCTAAATTGGCAAAATTGTATCTCGAACCTTAAGAATTTTTCCTAGTCCTCTACTTTGTTCCTAGTTAAATGAACCGCCACTGATCTTGCTCGGCGGTAAAAAAGTGTGAGCGGCATCTGCGCATTGTCTCGGAAGTGTTGAACTAAAATTCAGCATGGACGACGAACGCATGCGCACTGCGGATCATATACGATGCGACCCTGCTCAAGTCGCTGGAAGACGCCATCTTTACAGATTGTTGTCCTTTGACAGGTTGTCTCGCGCAAGCTTTATTCGTGATATTTTATATATTCCAGTAAACTAGTGAAGTGAAAAATACAGGGGATCGTTTCAACGATGTCGGACAACGCGGATCTGTACAGACTGGAAGGAACCAGCGACAAACAGGAAGGAGGTTTGGTTATACGTAAGAAAACGTCGGACCATACCTTTAAGAAGCCACAGTCGTCACTTTTCGGCTTGGACAAATTGGCAGAGAGCAAGAGAAGAAAAGCCTCGCAGGAAGCTAGCAAGGGGACGGTACCCGAGTGTTCCTCGAGTGAATTAGATTACAAGGACAGGAAGTACCGTGCCCATGCAGAGGAAACTCCAACGTACACCGGGGGTGTAAATAAGGAGGCACAAAATCGTATGGAATCACGATTAAAGAGGCAGAGGCTAGATGCCCGGGACAAGCAAGCCAAAGACGCTCGGAGCAAGAATGATAGACACCGAGAATGGAATAGTGACCGAGACCGTAGTTGGAGAGACAGCGGTAAACAGACTCCATACAGATTCAAGGACGAACCACAAACACCGAAGTTCCGCATGAAGGTAATTCTCAGAGAGTGCTTGTGTTTGCTTATTTTGAGGTGTACATTTGTCGAGTGTTTAAACTAATAATCATAAAAAAAAGAATCACCAATTAAGGTTAAAATTATATCCTTAGGATCCTACGTCAAAAAGCAACTGGGACGACGACGAGGATGAGGAACCTAGACGATCTAGTTGGGACCATCCAACACCGAAAATATATGGTTCTAGAGAGCCAAGGGACAGCATCAGAAGTGAATTTACACCGTCGTACAAGTACAACCCTTGGCATAAGGAACACAAACCTTCTGGAACTACTCCTCAAATAGATGGCGAGGACAAGGAGCTGTGGGAAGAAGAGCAACAGAGGTTATATTCTGCCTTTATTAAATTTTTTGTATGTACCTTATTATCATCGTTAATTTCCTCATTATCTCATTTTAGGCTCGACCGTGAATGGTACGCATTGGGTGACGGCGAAAATCGTCCCTTCTCTGACGTGTCAGAGGAGTACACAAAAAAGAAAGAAATGGAATTGGAGGCACGTCGCGAGAGACGCGTATCTGCCCAACAGCGGCAGATAAACAAGGACAACGAGCTGTGGGAGCGAAATAGGATGCTCACGTCGGGTGTCGTAAGTTCCATCGACCATGACGACGACCCGGATGATGAGGGGGAAGCTAGAGTTCATCTTTTGGTGCACAATGTAGTTCCACCCTTTCTGGATGGTGAGTAAATGTGTCATCTTAAGGTACCTCGCTAATCATGCAGGAGTCATCTAATTAATTTAAATTTAATCAGGACGAATCGTCTTCACAAAGCAGCCAGAACCAGTGGTGCCGGTGCGAGACCCGAGCTCTGACATGGCCCTAGTTGCAAGGAAAGGTTCAGCATTGGTTCGGTTTTATCGTGAGCAAAAGGAGCGACGTAGAGCTCAAAGGAAGCACTGGGAATTAGCTGGAACTCATATAGGAAACATCATGGGAGTTCGAAAGGATGGACAGAAAGGAGCCGATGGAGAACAATTCGAACAAGACACGGATTTTAAAGCGGGTCAAAAATATGCTAAGCACATCGGAGCTGGTGAGGTAACCGGAGAAGCTCGCCACCGATCGATTCAGCAACAAAGAAGGAGTTTGCCAGTGTTTGCAGTGCGGCAAGAACTACTTAACGTTATCAGAGAAAACAGTGTTGTAGTGATCGTGGGGGAAACGGGTAGCGGAAAAACAACCCAGTTATCGCAATACCTTCACGAGGATGGCTACAGTCGATACGGCATCGTTGGTTGCAGCCAGCCGCGACGTGTAGCTGCAATGTCTGTGGCCAAAAGGGTCTCCGACGAGATGGCTACGACTCTTGGAGACAAAGTTGGCTACGCCATACGTTTCGAGGACTGCACATCTAAGGAGGTGAGTGATTACGTTCCATTATTATTCTCATACATCTACTCCACGCTTAAATTAAGCTCGTTAACTTTTTTAACCTCTTAACCATTTTGTTCTTCTATTCGATAGACTGTCATCAAGTACATGACCGATGGTATCTTGCTGCGAGAGAGTCTTCGAGAGGGTGACTTGGATCGCTACAGCGTAATCATCATGGACGAAGCTCACGAACGTTCTCTATCCACCGACGTGCTGTTTGGCTTGCTTCGTGAGGTTAGATTTAAAAAATAATTACGTAGTATAAAATATTTAGGAATGTAAGAAACGTTAAGTCGACCGTTACATTTTACTACGAAATTGTAGGTGGTGGCAAGGAGGCACGACCTGAAGTTGATTGTCACGTCCGCTACAATGGACTCGAGTAAATTCTCGGCATTCTTCGGCAATGCGGCGACCTTCGAGATCCCGGGCAGGACCTTCCCGGTGGAGATTTTACACGCAAAGAACCCGGTCGAGGATTACGTGGACGCGGCGGTGAAGCAGGTTCTCCAGATCCACCTGCAACCGAGGAGCGGCGACGTTCTCGTCTTTATGCCTGGCCAGGAGGACATCGAGGTGACCTGCGAGGCCCTGAAGGAGCGTCTGGCGGAGATCGAGTCGGCGCCGCCTTTGTCGATCCTCCCGATTTACTCCCAGCTCCCGTCGGACCTCCAAGCGAAGATCTTCCAGCGGGCGGAGGGCGGGTACAGGAAGTGCGTCGTGGCCACCAACATTGCGGAGACCTCGCTCACCGTCGACGGTATCGTCTTCGTGGTCGACTCGGGGTACTGCAAGCTCAAGGTGTACAATCCGAGAATCGGCATGGACGCGCTGCAGGTGTACCCCGTGTCCAAGGCCAACGCCGACCAGGTAGAGTATCGAAGCCGAACAGAAAGTAATCGAATTAATATATAAAATATTCAAAATCATACTTATGGATATCGTATTTTTTTTTTTTTTAAGCGAGCCGGAAGAGCTGGCAGAACCGGGCCAGGACACTGCTACCGACTTTACACCAGGAGGCAGTACCTGGACGAGCTCCTCTCAACGGGCGTTCCGGAAATCCAGCGGACGAACCTGGCCAACACGGTCCTCCTTCTGAAATCTCTCGGCGTCCAGGACCTCCTCGCTTTCCACTTCATGGACCCGCCGCCACAGGACAACATCTTGAACTCCCTGTATCAGCTTTGGATCCTGGGCGCCCTCGACAACACCGGACGACTCACTCCTCTCGGTCGACAAATGGCGGAATTCCCGTTGGACCCTCCACAGTGTCAGATGTTGATCGTCGCCTCTCAGCTCGGCTGCACGGCGGACATCCTCATTATAGGTAAGTACCCACCTCCCTGTAGAAATCAGGAAGTCCCCGGAAAAATTCTATATTTTTGTCTCTTTCCACGGTTCCAAGCGATTCCATAAAAACGTACGAAGTTAAGGATGAACTTTTTTTTTTTTTATTCAGTGTCCATGCTTTCCGTGCCTTCTATCTTCTACCGGCCGAAGGGTCGCGAGGAGGACTCCGACTCGGCGAGGGAGAAGTTCCAGGTGCCGGAGTCCGACCATCTCACCTACCTCAACGTCTACAACCAGTGGAAGTCGAACGGATATTCGAGTTCCTGGTGCAACGAGCACTTCATTCACGCAAAGGCGATGCGCAAGGTCAGAGAGGTGCGCCAGCAGCTGGAGGAGATCTTGAAGCAGCAGAAGATGGAGGTGATCAGCTGCGGCACCGACTGGGACGTTGTCAGGAAGTGCATCTGCTCGGCGTACTTCCACCAGGCCGCCAGGTTGAAAGGCATCGGGGAGTACGTGAATTGTCGCACAGGAATGCCTTGCCACCTGCACCCGACCTCGGCTCTCTTCGGCATGGGCTTCACTCCGGATTACGTGGTCTACCACGAGCTGGTGATGACCGCCAAGGAGTACATGCAGTGCGTAACCGCCGTGGATGGCCATTGGTTGGCGGAACTGGGACCCATGTTCTTCAGCGTTAAGGAGACCGGTCGCAGCGGTCGAGCTAAAAGGCAGCAAGCGATGCAGCATCTCCACGAGATGGAGGGCCAGATGAAGGAGGCGGAGGAGGAGATGAAGGCCAGGGCACAGGAACAGCTGGAACGGGAGCTGGCCTCCGTCAAGAAGTACGTTTCCTCGCCAGTTTGACTTGACTCGATACCGCGAAATTTATTTTATTGTACTTCAAATTAGAGCGGTACTATTTATTTTTGTTTTATTTAAAATCGATGTCAGGTCGACGTCCGTGTTAAGATGACTCGAGGATAACTTAGGGTTAGAAACTTATTGATGTGGATTTAATCCAGGTGTTTTTCTCTGTATTGCAGAAAAGAAATCCTGACACCTGGTGTCAGGGAGCCTGGGACTCCAGCACCTTATCGGAAGACCCCAGGTCGACTTGGTCTGTGAAGGCTGTCGATGCAACTGTGATATAATGGACTTAGGGTACTCCGTCTTCCATGAGCCAGGAGTACCTGAATTGTAAATAAATGCCAATCGCATTTTTAATTAATACTTCGGTAAAACGGAAATCAAATGTCATTTCGTTACACATGTATGCGCGTATGTATTTGACATTGTATTCCAGCCGATGACAAGTTCCTAACGATACTTACTTATTAACTGATTAATTTATTAATTTATTTATTTATATAGACGTGGAGTCTTCGGAATCCGAATCGTCGAAGAACCCAGTGTAGCTCTCCTTCGTGTCGACGAAGGCCTCGACTTTCCTGTCGACGCTCTTCAAGGACTCGGTGGCGACGTAAGTGGTTTCCGAAGAGTCGCGGGGTGTCTTCGAGTGAGGGACTAGTTTCACCTCGGCAGTATGCAAATGACTTTCCTTGGAGATGCCATTCCGCAAGTTCGCGAGTACTCGCCTCGGATCCTCCGGTGCCCCGTTGACTTTGATCTCCTCCTCGATGGCGGCGTCCTTCCTGGAGTTCTCGTTCTCCAGGCACTTCTTCATCCACTTGGGCATGTCGTTGGCCGAGTACACTCGGGTCCTCTTCGTGTACTTGGGACTGCTCAGGATCATCGGGATCTCGGTCTCGAGAACCGTGGTGACGATCTGCTCGTTCTTGTCGAAGTTGCTCTCGAGGTACTTCTTCCTGGACAGCAGGGAGAAGTTGAACTTGCTGGAGAGCGGGACGTTGTGGCTGTCCACGACGTCGTAGGTGTAGGAGTAGTGTCGTTGAATGTGTCTGGGTTCGTCCTGAGCCTCCGGAGGGTCGGAGGTCGTCCTCGGCGGTTCCTTTTCTCCGGGGACCGACATCTTCTCCAGGACGTTCTTCGTGGATTTTCCGGAAATGACCTCGGGCAGCTCAATCGTGGGCAGCAACGCCTGCCTCGGGATCCCGGCGAGGCTGTGCCTCTGTTTTATGGGCGAGTCCAGGAGGCGACGGAGACTGGAGTTCCTGATTTCCGGAACGGACATCCTCTCTCTGTTCGCCGGCAGGCCCGTCTTCGTGGTCGGGGGCAAGGAAGGGACGAGCTTCTCTCGCTTGAGTTCCCCAACCCCCAGAACGGGGCCGGCGCTCGTCCTGATGATGTTCTCGAAGGTGTCCACGGGAAGCCTGACCTTGTCCGAGGGCTTGACCTGCTGTTGCTGTTCCGAGATGGGGGAGCTGGCGATCGGCAGCAGCCTCGACCTCGCCGCGTCCGAGTTCAGGGAACTGTCCAGGCTAAACCTCTGCTTCGGCGTCCCAGCGATGAGCCGCAGGTCGTTTGAGGTCTCCAGCTCTGGGATGGAGAACCTGTCCCGGTTGAATTTGTTCGACGTCGCCGGGAAGTCCTTCAGGGTCCTATACCGACTGATGCCGAAATCCAGCTGGATGAGCCGGTCCCTCTGCTTCGTCTTCACCGCGGGGGAGCCGAACCTCTTCTGCTGGATCGGCGACCTGAGGACCTGGACCGGCTCTCTACCCACGGTTAGGCAGGGCTGAGAATACCTCTGCTGGCTGCGGCCAGGGTAGTGGTCCCCAATGGCGAGCGTTGGCTGCGAGAGCCTCTCCCTCCTGGTGGGAGTGCACTCCTGGCGCATCCAGAAATTCCTCGCAGGGTCGTTCGCGACGATGGAGCCTCTCTCCCCGGCCCCGTCATTGGCCAGGGTGTACACGTTCGGGGTCGACAGGATCTCCTCCTTGATCTGGAGGTTGATGCTGGTGTCCCCGGAGTTCCGTAGGCTGGAATACGAGAGTCTACCCCGGTTGACGCCCGCGAAGTTGATGCCGCTGAAGCTGGAGTTCAAGGTCGGCTGCGACATCCTGATGCGGCGATCCGGGGAGCCGCCCAGGGACCTCCGGTCGCTGACGGAGAGGAGGAGCGTGGGCAGATTCGGCTGGGAGTATCGACTCCTTTGACTAGGGGAATAGCTCGGACAGGGTGGCGTCGACCTGGAGCCATCGGTCACCACCGAGTCCTGGGACTCGACGCTAGACTGCGAGGGCGGACCCTTCGGAGGCGCCACATGGAGGTCCGGGTGAGAGAGCCGGGTCTTCCTCCCGTGGCCGGCGAATCTCTTCGTCAGGTGGTCGATCAGGTTCGGCTGCGAGAGGCGGATACAGGGGGTCGGCCGCCGATTCAGGTACCACAGGTCTCGCCGAGAGTACGGCTCGCATCAGAGCGTGCCCTCCTCGCGAAGGCGACGCATGAAAACCGGTCGAACGTCCTCGAAGGAAGTCGGCATGTCTAGGTCGTTCATGCCGATGATTCCTCCTTCCTTGCTGATCAGCCAGTGGGTCTCCAGGAACCCCTTACCCTGAGGATCAAAACAGGTAATATCGAATTTTTGGGTTCTATTTTCAAATTTCTCGAAATCTGTCTGACAATCACCATTACGTCCACCAGGCCTCGCCGCTCCGTGTTGAACCCTCCCACGGAGTCCAGGATCTTCTTCGTGTCCTGGCTGATGTGGATCCTTAAGGCTGAAACGAGGAGGCCCAAGGCATGCTTTAGAAGTCAACTCAGCGATTGGAAATTAAATTCAAGGTAAATATCGATCACCTTCGCCGGTGGTCTCCATGAAACTAGCGGTGCTCACGGTGTCCCCCAGGAGACAGTACCTTGGAATTTTCGTTCCAACTATTCCAGCTACCACTGGACCAGTGTGTACCCCACTGCGCAGTTGAATGTGCACGCCAGGCCTTTTCGGTATTTGGAAGAACGACGACGCCGATAGCAAGTCCAGAGCCAACGTGGCAATTTCCGAGGCGTGCTTGTCCCCTGCGATGAGCAAAAAGAAATCCATACAAGATCAACGTGCTTCCTCGCTCGTGTGAATATATTTTATTGTTAAGTCGGCGTAATTGTATTTAGATTCGCTAAGTATTACCGTTCCTGATTGGAGCACCAGATGCAACCATGTACGAGCACCCGACGGTTTCCACCTTGTAGACATCGTAACAGTCAATTCGTGAATCGAACAGCTTGTAGATCGAGTTGAGAAGCGTTACTGCCTGGAATAAATCTAATCATAAGATGGAATTGCTAAATGGAATACGGCTTATCGACCGGAATGATTTTTTACCTCGAAGGGCGAAACTTCGGCAGTAATGCTTCCGAAACCTATGATGTCGCTGAAGTACACGGTGGCAGCTTCGTAGTACTCGGCAGGGGCCTTTAACGAGAGTGAAACAATAAAATAAACTCATTACCGATTAATATTTAATATCTGTGATTAGGAGAGATCGATACACACTTGCTGGATTTGTTTTAACTGTTGCGCTACGCTCTGTGGAAGCATTTGAAAGAGCAACGTGTCGCTTTTTTTCTTCTCTCGTTTAAGTTCTCGAGACTTCTGGGCCAGGTTGGCTGCGTGCATCTACGCAATGCCATTTAAATGTTTACATGTTTATGTTTCATTTATCAATTTAAGAAATGTAACTTATGAAGTTACCTTAATCGTTTCGACGGCATTGCGGACGAGAATGACGGTAACGGGTGCTACTATAAGCAGTAAGACGACTATAGCAATGTTGGTGCCTTCCTTACTGCTCACTTCTTTAAGTATCGCGTTCACGTACGTTCTGTAGAAATGTAAATCATGCGCTAGAAATGACGCAAGTGTTACGATAATTAGCGTAAGGTGCTTCGACTAATGGGGCGTCAATTACGTGACACGTTAAATAGAAGACTACGGTGATGGCCTTTAATGTAATTGCTATTTCAGTTACCTTACATTATGATGTAACTCCAGCTGAAGCTTGCGAAGTTCGTCAGTGTATGTTGCCAGTGTCTCAAAGTACGCCACCGTATCGTCCACACTTGGCTGTCGATTCTTGTTGCGAAGGATTTCGTCTCTCCTGGTAAGCGCAAACTAGCTATTGCTAACTGTGGCAATTTTCATTTGGCAATTAATTACCTCATTTTCAGTCTGCCGTAGTTGAGCATCGTACGAGTGAGTTCAACGTAGAGCGGCTTCAGGGATGGCACGACGGTCAGGGACAGGGTCAGAAGATCACGACTCAGGGTATCGTATCGAACATAATGGACGTGCAGGTCTCTCGCAAGGACACCATTTGCAAAATAATTGATACCATCCACCGATGCTATTCCCAGGTACTCCAAACTCCACAGCAATTTCTTCAGTGCCACCAAGTACCTGGAACGTGACGGATGACCAATGACTTTGAATTAACGATTGCGAAAATGGTCCCACGGTAAGTCACGTATAAATGAAAAAATAGAAGTTAAATTATTCATGCCTCCATACTCCCGTGTTATCCGTCTCTTTGATTTGCTTCGTAAGGTAATTCAACATGTCCGCGATTATCCCGTTGTAACATTCCGTCACGTCGGGCATGTTGATCCTCGTGGTCTCGAGTTTCTCTCTGCGGTAGTATTAATAAACATTATTGAAATCCTATTCGTACAATCGAGAAAATACGCGGTAAAGATGTATGACCTGCAATTGTCGAGTCGTGCTTCCAGGACAATTTTATCGGGCGCTTTTAAGATCTGATTTTCTTCCTTGTAATCGGTTACGGTGATCATGGACCACGTTGGTAAGTTCTCGAGAACCTTGTTGGTGGCCCTGAATCGCTGCGTTAAATTAGACCTAAATTCCCAACGGAGTAGAAAATTTTAATTAGGGATAGCAAATTAATATTTATACTTGCGTTTCAGTTTTGCCGCAGTCCCGGTTTCAAGAGACACCACGAGCCCTAATTAAGCGACTGAGAATAAAATCAGAGAAAGGTATACCTATTAAATTAATACCTGAAAGAGTTACCGTTGATGTAAATCAAAAGCGCAACTTCCAATCGTTCCAGCTGTATCCTGGTGATCAACATGTCCAGCTGGGCCGCTCTCGTTATCTGAATCGTTCGAGAAACTCGTCAAGCGAACCCGTCCAACAAAAGTAGCGGGTTCAGGAACGAGAGAAGTAGGAGGCGCCTTACCTGAGTTTCCAAATCGGTCATCTCCTGCTTGTAGGCGAGGATGTCGCAGAACGTGCCGCACGTCTGAATGCTCAGCACCAGAATCGGAATGAAAATTAATACCAACATCTGCGGTAGCTGTATACGACGGCCGTAAAGACTGGCAGGATCCGCACCTCGAGACAAAGTCGACTTCGCTCTGACTCCCTCCACCGTGGAGACTTCATCCGGCGACAAGTCTTTTCCGGAATTTATATCCGCGACGAACTGTCCGTTCCGAGTCGACATTCTGCAACCGAAGACCTTTCTTTCGTTGCTACTAATATTTTCCTAACAAAGAGACGTACGACAAATCTATCTATGCAACGACCGGGAATGAACTCGACGATTGTCCACTGTCTCGAACTCGTGGTCTAACAAATCCGAATTATTAAACGGATTATTACGGGGTGTTATTGGGAAACTGCCGTCCGGTTATTATTGGAGGCTGAACGGATTTGCGTGGTCGAAGTGACCAGTCTTCAGGAAGAAGGTGCGACGATGTACTGGTGCTTTGGTGGAGGAGAATTTCCAACGGTCCACCGCGCAATTACCACAACCCCCGTGCCGAGCCTCTCCCTTGCTCTTCCTCTCTTTCCCTCGGAATCCAATCTCCTTTGAGCTACTGGGACGACCTGATAAAAACAAACAATTGAATTTGATGAAAGGGAAAACGATTTGAAATCGATATCGGGTCAATCGCGATGCCCTCGACGCGTTGGAAATATCAATCCGGCGAATGCAGTCGGGTTCGTTCGAGCGTCATTCACGGCGTTACGTGCACTTTGATTTTTAATATCCACCGAGAGCGGTGAATCTTTAAAGTCAAAGTATTTTTCCCCTCGCAAGAATCTTGTAACGTAGCATCCTAGTCGAGAAAGGACAAAATGTCCCGGTTTAATTTTTTAAACGCATTTCTTTGCACGTATCGTACTCTCCTTGTTGGGTGGTATTAAGCAGCGAGTCTCTCCATATCCTGTAAATATAACAAATTAGCTCCACAACCAATATATACATATATTCTATTTTTTTTCTTGAACAGTCGATAAGCGTTTATTTTTAAATGCATAATCAATACGTTCGATTATACTTGGGGATACCCTTGATCGGTCCGTAGACAAATGTGGCTCGAGGCTTAGTTGATGTGCACCCTGAACGTTTGGTGTAATTAATCAATGTGATTTAAAAAAAAAAGAGTTACAAAATACAAAAATGATATATTTGACCGAGGGAAAAGATGATCAGGAAGCAGGTCACCAGAAATATCAGCCTTCGGCGCATGTCATCGTCATCCGTGCCCTTCACCTAATTAAGCATCTTTTAACCTGGCCATTGGTTCGGTTTAGTTTAGTACCTTATGTATCGGTAAGAACATCATTTATTCTCACAATTTAGAACTTTACAGTTTAGCATGTTGAGCGTAGAAAAGGTCGATAAAATGATATGTAATCAAAATATTTATTGCTGCAATAATAGCGCAGTCATTTTTTAAATCTACCGGAATTAACACTAGGGGAACGATAAATGTTAAATTATGAATTAATGATGAATACTGAGCGCATCACTTTGAACTTCGTGGCTTAACTGCATTTGTAAGTTAGATAATTTATTCTTTAAAGCTGCTATGCCCATCATTACTATATTTTCGGGTTTCAGTGCTCCGCTGCTTTCGACGTTGAAATAGTATTTGTTTGGCTTGGCTTCCCAATTAAAAGGTGCTTCATCTGAAACAAATTTGGGGAATAAGATAAATATCTCATTCCTAGGCAAAGGGCTCGGTTTTGACAACTTGAAATTACCGTTTGAACAAAATACTTACACTGATCTTCTTCTAACTCGCTGTACTCAGACTTTGGCCATTCGTCAGGCTTTGGAAACAAGGTGTGACGCATAGAATTATCTGGATCGTACTCAAAACTCACGCCTGCTGTAGGATTCCATTTTGCGTGCTCTTTGCCGAACCCTTTTTTAGCATATGCCCTGAGCTTTAACTCCTGGCCTTTCCGTAATTTTACAATTAGTATTTCTGAAAAAAATATGAATAGTAGTCCATTACAGTCCTGACTACATCGAGGCCAAGGAAATTAATAAAAGTTTTAATACCATCCGTTTCCCCATACTCGCTGGCATCGTCTTCTCGATGTCGGGATGTAACAGGCAATACTCTGGCATCGCTTGACTTAAAATCTGCCGTTGTGACATTTCTTGTATGATCGTCGGTACACTTTACATCGAGGGTAAATTCGACACTGCATTCTGGACAGAAATCCATACACTGGCAATCTCTGGTATACTGAATTCTATCTACTACCTAGCAAAAAAATAAGATACAACATTTTCATTAAAGATTTAAATATTTTAAATGCAACCTCGAAGAGCTTTGCCAAGAAACACATGTATTTATACATACATCGTCACTAATTAACGGTATCATTCCAATTCTATGCGCTAAAAACTCATCGCTTAGCACCGTCGAGTTGGCTTCTAGTTGTATCCAGTCAATAGCCATGGTCGGTGTCTCAGCAATAAAAACCCTTCTCATGCTATTCGCCACACTGAAATAATATAAACTCAGTAAAATTACAATTCGATGAACACTCTCTTAACTGAAAGCCTATAAATCGTTCTAACCTCAATTCGGTGTCTTCCACTTGAAATTTGACGTTCTCTTCGGTGAGGTCGGAAATGTGTACAGACGGTTGATTAGCGTAAGGCATGTTTCGCTCTAATTAAAATCTTTTCGCTTGAATAATTGATGTGTTGATTTCGATTAAATCTTCTGCTTCTAGGAATATCGTTGAATATCGTCCACCACTACCCTTAGCCCTGTCAGGTTCGTTTTAAATCGCGGATAAATTATTGTTCGAGATTCATTTACGGCAAAAATTTTAAAGGATCAGGAATAGGCGATTAGAGGGTTCTCTAGACGTGCTCGTCTAATTAAACGTACTCATTGTTACTATTTAACTTAATATGCTTTATTACACTAATTATTTAACAGTCTATAATACAACTAGCGCAGGTACATAAGTTCTCGAACTCGTTTAAAAGAATATTAACTAATTGTACAGTCCAGTGCGCATCCTCCACCTGGGGGCAGCACAGAATGCGAACACGCAGTCCTGTCCGTGAGCAATCTCCCAACTCATCTCTCTGTGGTGACTTCGATGTAAACCTGCGTTTACACAGTAAAAAACATTGTAAGATAGCATGTGTAAACTTACTATTAATTAATGTAGTTTTGTTTGGTGTTTGAAATTATGACACCGAGAGAGTTAGGCTCGTATATAAAATTAAGTTTTAATGAGTATAGATATGGCAGAACCAGTATTGGTCGAAGAAAGCGTGCCTTCAAAACTTTCAACTGTCCTGAAAGAGTTTATCGAATGTTTACCAAAGAATATAATTCATCATGACTATTTGATGGCTCTGGTTATCGTGCTCCTCTCCGAAGTGGGGTTTCGTGTCGACATGCCGCAAGAGGAAGTCGAGGAATCCAGGTATATACGGAATGACACTGCAGAAAGATGGAAAAATATTCATCGGCAGCGAATTTAGGAAACTGTACGTCGCGATTCCATGTCCCCAAGAAACATGAATATCCAATGCATATTATTAAGTGATTTGTACCTTTGCACTTTTTTTCAGATGGTGTCAATATTCTAGCCGGCTCCTGAGAGACTGGAAATCCCAGGAATCCGGAACTTATCGCATTAACTTTCATCTGCATTCCATTCCCACGTTGCGCTGTAGATTCGTGGCCACCCCCAATGGCGACGTTTTGATCTTGAACTTCCTTCCATCTGAAACATCGAATATTGGTCGCAGCATGGCTGTGCAAACTCTTAAATATGTAAATCCATATTCCAGTGATATAAACGACAGGTTTTTGAACCTTAAGGAGTTCTCGCAAAGGTTTCGTGCTCATTTCTTGTACATATTTAATGTTAATATTAATGACTATAGTTCAGCTTTTTTTTTGCATCCTCCAGATTAAAAAATCAGCTGGCTACTCCGATTCTAGTGTATTTATTAACCGAAGTAGGATTGCCATCGCCGAGTCTTTTGGGCCTTCCAGTGGAGTTGAAGTTACGGATTTTGAGTTTTCTGGACAAACGCAGTATCGGCAGACTAGCACGAACATGTAAAGAATTTCGTGACTTGTCTCAGAATCATGCCGTACGATGACAATCGTTAAGTTACGAATATCCAATGCAGACGGTTAATTATTACGCCGCAAGTATTTTGAAATCGTTTGTAATATTTCGTTCATCGATGCCTGGTATTAAATAAAGTACAGTATCATATTGAACTATATAGAATTCTATTTTGACCGTAGACTACAGACTCGTCACCGTCGCCAAAAGATGTCCAATGAGCAAGACCGGATTGCCACTCAAGAACGGGATCGAGAGCGAAATTAAAAGATGTAAGCCGCCAATAAAATTAAATGTCCTCACTGTGTATATATATAATATATATGTAAGTATATCCTCCCATTCTCGCTGGAACCTTAATAGTCTTAATTATATTATGTACAACCATCCACTTGTACTTGTGACCATAGATCGATTTGTTTTGCGTTCGGTGGACATATAACGTCATTCTTCTTTAACTTGCAAACATAATGAAAAATAATCCATTTCGTGGCAAGTGATAACTTTGAAGTACGCTCTTTAGACATAATAACGAAGATCCCTAGTCCGTACCAAAACAGTGAATTTTGCTCTCCTCAAATGATTTCCAACGCATCGTTCAGATCATGTACAAGACTAGATTTGAAGGCAGCCGCGATAATCCGGTATTGCCATTAACAAACTTTTGCGCCCAGTACGCATATGTGACAAAGAATTGAGAACGTTTCGATAGTCCGTTGAAATCTAGAATCCTGAGCTATAATATAAAAAAGCCGATCCCTCGAGAGACAGTCGCCTCCGAGGAACAGAGTTCCATTACGATCCGTAAACTAATTCCCGTTCTCGAGAAGAGCTCCCACACGTAATTCTGGCACACACGCTATGCACACTTAACCTTAAACTCGCTCGCGAAGATTCGGCCGAACCTCGGCAATTTTGCGGGGAATCGTTCCGAATTCCCTGAGCGGTTTGCCAGGATCACATTTACAAAAGCGTCCCTATATCCATTAAGGGAGTCGGGTCGGTGAAGTGCAATTTAAGCCGAGCTCAAAAGAGAATGAAAAGACATAGGAAACGTTTGGATGTAGCTTTTCGATTTCTCATAACCTCACTTTGATCGAGGCACCTCACAACGGACCGACTCCCTTAAGATTCGCGGATCGCTCCACGCTATTGCCACGTATTTTCCCTGGCGAGGTCGAAAATACGACTTTATACACATATGTATATTCCAGCAGAGCCGGGGCCTTCGACAATTTGCGACAATTGCGACCGTTGCAAATAATACTCGTCCGAGCAGGAGGCGAACTTTTCGTCGCCGTTCAAAATGATAAAGGGATCCTCATTCGCCCCTCAATTTCCCCACAAGGGGAAGCCGGGTGTTTCTTTCTCTCTTTCTCATTGCAACACCATGCAATCGCCGTTCATAGACATACTACTCCCTTTAATCTCTATTATATACAAAAGCAAATCGCGCTCTCCCTCGTCCACCGCGCGGTACCTCGATTTCTCTCTCTGCTTTGTGCCTTAAACTCTAACATCATATGTCTCGTGTATAAACAATTTCATAGAAAATTTATGTGATTAAAACAACGTAAGTAATGATAATTACTTCTGAGCACGATAAACAAGTTTGTACAATTTATTATGCGCGTCCTAAATAGTCTTACAGCTATGCGTGACACGGAACGCTTTTGTCGGATCCGGAGATATATGTAGGTTTACGGATTGTAATTCTTACGTTGTCGCCCCTCGGCGCGAACAACCGCAACACTCGCCTACTTTCTTCCCTCCATTCGCGAAGTCTCCCCCAGACTTGTTATCGCCTTCCTTAGTTGCGTGCTCGACAGCCGATAACTAATTACAGAGACTCGTCGAGAACCGAAACGCCGGATGGCTCTTGGCCATCGTTTTAAGGGGGTGAATAGATTATGAGATAAATTTTAATCAATCGGTTTAAATTAAAAAAAAAAAAAAATTAAAAGGTACAGGGAACAGTTCCTTACGAGGCTGATTTACTTCACGTTCTATGGAGAATTTAAGATAGAAGTTTCGATGCGATTCAAAATGGCGGACGCGGGGCTGGAAAATTCTGATATATATTTTTTTTCTCTCCACGGTGTATCTACTGACCCCCTTAAGCTATCGAGCATCGCCAATCGCACACATCAATCCATACAAGCCTCTCGTTATACGCTTATGTATGTACGCACTCATATATACATATATATTTATTTATAAATGGTAGCGCCGGGTGAAAACAGTTTTTAGGAATCCCAAACCGTCCAGCTCCACGGGAAGTCATACGACGTTTCTACCCTGCGGCTTCCTCTTCAATGTACAATTAAATGGTACAGATAGTTCTCGATTTACTAAATCAATCGTCCAGAGGGACCGATTAGTTCGCAAAGGCGAGAATTAACTGAACTTGCGGTTATCGTACAGTACGGAATTATCCAAATCGGATGTACATGGAAGAATCGCTCGCGGAAGCTTCAAAGTTCCCACGTTTATACAAACTTTGATAAGCTTTCCACCGGATCCCTCGCAAAAGAAACGTTATTCTCCAATGTGCGTCTGACCTCGTCAGCTGACAAGTGACATTTTGCCAGCATCGAAGAGCGCGTCAACCAAAACACATGGCACCGGAAAAAGAAAAAAAAAAAAAATACGTAAACGAGTGCAGTCCCTTTTAGAAGAGAAAAAGTATAACCAAGTCAATGATAATCGACATTCGGAGCATAATGTTCGCCAAGAGAATTTAAGCTACCACGCATAAATAAATTGCCGCGCTTAAGAATCGAAATTCCGAGCGCCTGGAAAAGTGCACTATCGAACTTTACTTCCCTATCATGGCTTAAAAAAAAAAAATGGCTACAAGGACCAGGACAGAGATCGGTAGAACGAAACGCTCGCGCGAGGACGTCGTTATTAAGCGGTGATAATTCGATGGGTGGATCGAGAAAGTGCGTAGCCTCGGCATAATATAAAATGTATACCCAGGGTACGAATTTCTCATCCCACCGTGGTACATTGGAAACAAAATAGTTCCCACGGCAATATCGACTCGGCGGCGAAACCCGCCGAACTGGTCGAGTAGGCTCTGATTTAGTTCGCGAAGGACGAAGTGATAAACGCCTTTTTAACCCTTTGATCCGACAGCAGGTACGATCGAGTCGTAAAATTGTCTCTTAGATGCCGAACTCTCCTCCGTTCTCCGCGGGCTTCCCCGGAGTTAATTTCCACGTTTAACTCTCGCCCTACGGAATACTTACGGATTAACCGAGAACGAGATATATATACACAGCTCTAATAAATAATTAATCTGTACGTATTACACCGCTATGTATACTTTGTGTTTCCGTGAGTGCGAGTTACGGTCACCTGCGGAGGGACCGGGTCGCGTTCCGTTCGCTTAGCACACCACCACCCGTCGTGAGGGTTTCAATTTCCGTTTCCTCGCTTCACCGGCATACGCGGTAAGAGCGTTCGTCGCACTTCGAAGGGGCTCATTTCCCCTCCGAGAACTTTTCCCTTAGACTCTTGATCTTGTGGACGAAGTAGGTCTCGAGGGACTCGGCGCACTTGAAGAACGGGGACTCCTTGGGGTTGTAGTACCGACAGTTGTCGAATATCTTCGTCATGTCGCCGATGAACTCGCTCAGTTTCTTATAAGACCTGTCGTTTATCCTGAGCTCTATCGTCTGGAGATCTGCAATTTTATAAGGACATCGTTCCTCCTTATTTTCTACCCATAGAAATTCATGATCGTCAAGGTGGCACGCTAGGTCGGAGCCCATTTTTTTTTTATCCATACACGTTTCCCATTACTTAAAAAAACGCATAACTTACCCATCGGTTCCTTAATTACTTTGTAATAATCCGGGGCTTCGTTGGGATCCACTGGTTCCATAAACGGCCAAGCACTCTTGTGCGCCTGAAATAAAATAAAAAAAAATAATCAATGACCTATTTGAAATAAAGCTACAAAAAAACTGTTCTACCCCCTGTAATATACTGTAACCAAACAACGGATTTCGGCGTACCTGTATTTGTTTGATCAGTTTCTTTAAGAGGTCCAAATCCTTGGCGTTAAGATTTTTCATGTTCGCGAAATTAACCGACGAGTTTCGCTGGCAATTAGGACAGACGTACTCGTCGATGTTATCAGCTTCCGATTGAAGAATTCCGACGCAGCGTCCATGGAACCAGTCCTGACACTTGTCGCAACAGATATAAAATCTGAAAAGAAATTTAATATTTTTTTTTATTTGTTTGTTTAACGATTACAGTCCAAGTGTGATATTAAATATCACAGTGAAATAACAATACTAACTGAGATTCGTCGTACGGTTGCTTGCAAAGACAGTACAGTTCTTGGGTGTCTCGTGCGTGTCGACACTCGGTGCAGACAAATTCCGACAATGTCTTGCTCATCTCCTCGGTGATACCGACGCAGTCTCCGTGGAACCAGTTGTTGCATAAATCGCAGCCCACGTAAAATCTGTTACGAGAGAAGTTACATGAGAATTCCAAAGAAAAATCGTAAATACCCATTTTTCATGGAAGATCCCTTGAACTGTACAGAGAGAAGAGTCTCCACTCACTTGGTTTCGTCGTAAGGTGTTCTACACAGGCAATAAAGCTTCTCCTTCTTGATACGATTAGCCGCAGCGGTCGAAGACCCTCCGGTAGGAGTGGTGCTGTTACTTTGCGACTTGTGCTTCTTCGGTTTCCCGCTGCGAGACGGAGGGCTGACTTGCTGAGCAGCTTGGGCATTGGCCTTCCGTTTCGCGCTTCCGACCTTAACCTCATCCTGTTTGTGTCTCTCGGCTTTCGTCCTGGTAGCCAACTCGGCCGACAGGTCCTTCTATCGGATAAAGGCATATAGAATGTATTAAAAATTAAATTCAAGGCATTACCCTCGCCACCTTGCGCAAAACGTGATCAACGATCGGAGGACGAAGGGGAAATTTTTTCCCACGATTCCGCCACGGTTTACCTGAATGTCGATCTGCAGCTCTTTCTCGAGAAGGGCTCTCTTCTTCAGGATGTCCTTCTTCAGCAGCTCTTTGTGCCTGAAGAGAAGAACCTGCATTCTCGAGTACACCTGCTGCTTCCGCCTCTGCTCCTGAGAGTCCTTCGGCTTAACCGATCGACTCTTCGGCGTTGACTCGTTGTCCACGGGTTCGGTTTTTGGTACCCTAAAGGAATTAAATCTCGTTAGTTCCCGCCGTCCCTTATTTACGGTAAATACATGCGAAATCGATAAGCAAGGAGCCAAGAGAAACTAAAGAAAAAAATAGTACGGAGAACCGCAACTTACTTGGGTGTTTCCCGATGTTCCTGTTTAATAACCGGCTTCTTCTTGGGCGTTTCAACCCAGTCGGTGTCTTTGTCGTTGGAAGGTAAATGCTGGTTGATCGGGGTCGCAGGGGTGGGAATGTGACTGGGCACTGGCCTCTTGCGAGACGGTGCTTTAGGTGTCGTGGATATAGCGGCGCCATGACTCGTGTTACTCGCCACGGACGTTTCCACGCCACCCTTCATCTGTTTCTCCTGATACCGTTGCAGCTGCAGCAGTTTCTCCTCTATTTCAGGATTCAGGTTCTCCTGCTTCAGCGCGTTCTTTATTGCTGCAACAATTTTCATACACACGTGGCGTTAGACAGGTAGCGTACTTTATGTGCGTTTTCTTGGAGGAAAAAAAAAACTAAGAATGCATTTCATAGTGAACGTTAATACTAACTCTGTTGTATGTAATCAGGCGTCAAGATGAACTTGTTAGGCGACTGCTGATTTTCTTTGGACGTCTGCGACGAGAGCTGTTGGCCATTGGCCATATTCACTCTCTGAGGCTCATCCTCGCCAGCGGTGCCGCTTCGTCGCACTTGCTGAACCACTACTTTCGGCTTCCCCGGTGAACTCGGCGTTACACGAGGAACTTCTGAAGTGGCATCTGCTGCCGCTTGAGTCTCCGGGTCTGAATTGTGAAAAGAAACGCAATAAACGCGTAAAAATTCGAAACAGCCGTACGAGATAATTAAATGATATATTAAATGAATTGAAGTTAATTAGAAATAAATGTACCAGCTGTCGACTGAGCCGACACCGTCGACGATTCCACCGGCTGTTGGACTTTTATCGGAGTCGCCGCAGGAGCAGGGGGAACGGTCTGAGTCGCCTGAGGTTGAGTCTGAGGCACGAAGGTTCCCGGAGCAGGTTGGACTGCCAAGTATATTTTCGTAGGCCCTAGAACACCTTGCTTCCCAGTCGTCGCTTGGGCTGTAAATAAAAATTAACGATAACGTCGCTGCTGTAAAGATCCATGACATACAGGATCAGGGTGATACCAACGACGCGGACCTTTCAGTAACTGCTGTTTGACCTGCTGCTGAACCATGGCGAGCTGTTGCGGTGTGAAGTCGGCACCTTGCAGGCCTTGCAAGACTATGCGAGGGCCCTGGGTCGTCTGAATGACTTGAGCGGTCACGCATTTTATGATCGTACCCGGGGGTTGGCCAGCGAGTAAAGAAGCTTCGACGCTTCCTGGGGCTGGAGCCGGAGGCATCTGATTCGCAACGGTGGTTGTGGCCGGAGAGGTCGGAGCGGTTACAGGGGCCGCTGCAGTGGTCGTCACCGGCTCTACCGACTGAGCTTGCAGAGTGGGAGCCTGTGTCGCCTGGGTCTGCTGATTCGCTGTAACTGGACGTTTAAATAATTATTAATAAATATTAATACTAAAACACCAAAACACGAGTAATCGGGAGTCCACTCTCACCTGGCTGAGTCTTATTGGGGGTGACCGTATTTTTCACGATGATGCCGCTGTTCGTCGAGTTCAGGTGGACGATCTGGTTCCCGGTGGGGGTGCTTCGTATCACGACCTGGTGGCCGCCGATCGTCGCCAGTTGAGCCTTCCCAGACGCCAATTGTTGGGCGAGATTCGCGTTGTTCACCACGATCTGATTTGCGTTGATCACCTGGCCGCCCGTTGTCACCACCTAAAAATTAAGGAAGGCATCACGCCATCGAGTCGACCGTACCCCACCTTGCGATAAAATTAATGACAAACCTGAGTCCCCTGGACGATTTGTCCCGTGTTAGCAACCATGATGGTATTTTTCTGCGGCGTGGATGTAGCGGCATTAATCGCGGCATTCGCCGCGCCTACCTTTGGACGTACGTTCGTAGGAGTAGTCTGATTCGGTTGTACCTGCGCCGGGGTATTTTGTGACTGTTGACTTGCCACCGCCTTAGGACTAGCCTTGACCGGTGTCCCAGAAGGAGCCGACACCGTCTTTGTAGGGCTGGAGGTGGCGTTTCCTTTGGCTCCAGCCTAGGAAAATAAATGTAATTACGTTTGTTTATTTCCGAGAAATTTTTTTTTTTTCAGCATCCTTAGATTAATGTTTCCTAGATATCGATATTCTTACCTGAGTGGTAGCTGTCGGAGCAGTGGCAGCAGTGGATGTCTGCTGTTGCGGGGTCGTCGCTATAGCTTGACCCGTATTCAAGACGTGGAGTTTCCCATCCGGCATCTGTACCAACTGCTGACCAGGCATGAGGCCGCGTACTTGCAGCTTCCCATCCGGTCCCCTTAAAATCTGCACTCTCTGCTGCACGTGTTGAACGGGAGTAGCTTGCGAAGCTGAAGGAAAAAAAAAAAAAAAAATACGTAACGCTCAAATATTGCGTTGAGGTACGTCGAGCATCCCTAACTTGTATAAAAACCACCTACCGGTCTGAGAACCTTTGATCAACGACTGCTGAGTTTGCTGCTGATTGGTATTCTGCATCTGCTGCGTCGTTTTCGGGAGGATACTCGTAGGACCGGAGATGACTCTCGTGGTCCCATCGGATGCTGTAAGATCCAAGAAACGGATGAATCAAAGAACGCCATCCTTCGATTTCCTAGAACTAATGGTAAAATAATATTTGTAAATAATAATTACACTTTGTCATGTAGATGCGCCTTGTACCCAGGAAGGTTTTGCCCTGCGACGGCGTTGTCAGCAACGAAGTCAGCTGAGACTTCACCTGACCGGAGTTGGGGTTAGCTGGAATAGCTATTTTAGAAACCACCTTCCCTGGAACATCTAATGAAAATATTGAAATTATTTTTTAAATCAACCAGTCTCCAATTTTTCCATGGAGCAACCATCGCAGGAGCCGAAAGCGAGGACGATCGTCTACCTTGATTCGAATTGGAAACCTTGACGAGCTGACTCGAGGAGGTCGCAGGGTTGGCGGGATTTTTCAGCGTTTCCAGCGCCCGTTTCTGCTGATGAGCAGCCCTCTGCATGCGTAACTGTTGCTCCATCTTTTCTTTGATCTCCTCCGGAGTGGCCTTCCCACTGACCAGGTGATCGGCCAATCCGGCATTCGAGCCAATTCCTCTGTTAGAACTCACCACCACCGATTGCGGAACGCCAGAACGGCTCCTAGTAATAATCTGGGCATTAGCCTTCTCTAACCTGGAGGGGACACACACATCAACAGGAGGGTTAGTAATGAACGGTGTTAAGTGAGGACGGGAGAACGATCAGATGATCGGTCAAGGAGCAATGCACAATTCCTTCGAACACTAAGCGATAGGTAAAATTGCCATCGATGACATTTACCTTCGAACCGAACAGAATTTTTATCGAAACATAATTTCCATTAATACTTTAATGTTTCGCTTATATATATAAGGTGCACCAAGAACGACGCGTTACATTGAATTCTCCCTAGAATATGTTAATTCAATGTACAGTCCAAGTTAGTAAAAAAAAAAAAAGCACTTTTATAATTTTTTTTTTTTTACTTACCTGTCTCCATATTGCTTAATCTCCCAGAGTTCCAATTTATCTTCGTCGACCCATTCCTCGGTGACCTGAGGCTCGGTGCTCTGCGGCGACTCGGGGCGTTTCCTTTTTCTCAGCCCGCTGCGAATAGAGGTGACTTCTGCAAGGGATTTAAATAATTCGTAGGTGAATTGTGGCAAGGTGATAAATCATAGTAACCTGTTGGACCCCTTTTTACCGACCTCTAATTTGTTTGGGAAGTTCCAGGGGTATGACGACCTTTCTACGAAGGTACTGAGTACGGTCCATGAATTGTCCAACGTGTCGATGTTTCAGGATCTCTAGGGACATGATCTCGGTGTCGGTGGTGATCTGGTGTTTGCCATCGGTGGACAGTGGTTTAGCTGCCATATCGTCCCACCTCAAGCAGGCCCACAAGATTCTCAGCTGTATCGCAGCAGCCGCCAGCGATCTCAAGCCAACGGTCCGGTACAGCCAGCAAGTTTTGAACAACGGTCTCGGACAAGGATACGGCCATACCGACGTATTCGCCTACCGAAAAAAAAAAGTGAAAAATTTAGTCAATTGATTAAAATGTTAAGTCTGGATCGTGCGCATTTTTCGCGACGGTAGCGCCAGCGAGGACGAGCTCGAACGGTAGAAAAAAAATGAATACGGCATTGCATATGCAACGAACCTTAGCCATGTGATGAAATCCATGAACGGGAGTACGACCGCCGAGTCTGGCAAGCTTGCGTAACTCGTGTTGCGGCAACAAAAGTATGCTGCGATGCTTGTTCTTCGTGGAGAAGGTCGAGCAAAGTGGGTACTTGACCGGCGTCCGCTTCTTCTTCCTGTCGGCGAAGGATATGGAAACCTTTTTCAGGTAGACCTTTCCCTCGGTCGAGAGTGCCGAATAAACTCTTTCGGTCCCATCGGCGTTCAACTCCTTGGCCATTGTACTTCGTTGCACGGTTCTGCCTCGCCGATTGACTATCATGGTAGTGGATATCGCATTATTTGAGCTACAGAGGATAAAAAAATTTTACCGTTAAAATTTTCATCTATAATCTTGAGAAAAAAAAAAATTTAATAACATTACCTGATTTTCCCATCGGTAAGAGTTCCAACGGCATTTTCTTGCGAACTTCGGATCGTTCCATCGGTCGTCCTCGATCGTGCCGTAGCGTCCTCGACCTTGTTCCCATCTTCCGCGTTCTACAAAGTCATGCGGTGAATTAAAACCACCAGGACATCGAGAACCGAGATCGCGATTAGACGAGCGAGAACTTCCAGGATCTAGAATCGACCAACCCACCTCGACAGTTTCCATCTTGATCATCTTGGCGGGCTTCGGCTGGTCAGGGTCCGCCTTCTCCAGGGCGACGTTGGTGTGCTGCACCTCCTCGGAACAGTGCGTTGCCAAAGCCACGGCGGACTCTAAGTCCCTCCTGATGGCGTCCTTGGCCTCGTCGGCTTCCTCGCCCTTGACGCTAGCCGCCTGTTGGTTCTGCACCGCTGGAGTCGTACCCTGGGCCAGCTGGTTGTTGTTCAAGGTGTTGGCCTTCCTCAGCAACGCGATGAGGTCCCTCTTGAGCCGCGCTTTCTGAAGGCACATCGGCGAGTAGCAGGTCGAGGTCAGGCTCTGGGCGGCGTTGCTCGTCTTTCCGGGCGTTGGAGTCATGTTGCAGTAGCGGGAATAGCAGGTCCCGTTCTTGCCGAGCCGCATCAGAGTGGCGTAATGGGTCCGGACCTGCTGAATGCGTTTACCTATGGCGGCGAGCATCTCCCTGGCCGACGGGGAGATGGCCTTGGTCTGCTTGCCAGAGAGGATGCTCTGCAAAGTCCCGTCGCCGCCGTCAACGTCGCTCTCCTCGTGGTGTTCGGTGTCCACCTCGGCGGCGTCGACCTCGGACGTCTTCGACGTGCCTGACTGGTTGGCCAGCTCCTTAGACTTCTCCTGAAACCCGATCAAGCCAGAGTTCAAGGACGATCTAAATGAGTCATTTGGAAACCAGGACGATCGCCCACACTTACGGATTGCAGGATGCGTCTTTCCTCGAGGACCTTAAGATGGGTCCTTCTAGCGAGGAACTCGTCGATCCGCGTCTTCTTGGCTATCTTGGGGTAGTGCAAACGACCCGGTGTGGTGAGGGCCTTCGTAATGTCGATCTCCTCGAACTCCCTGATGGGGGTGAACACCTTCTCGATTTTCATGCCAGCCAAGACTGTAAACAAGAATTACCCAGGAGTGAAGAGCCAACGCTTATTGCTTTGAAATCTTAAAAGATTGTAATAAAAATCCACTAACATGGGAAATTGATCTTGTTCTCCACCTTGGACTCGGTCTTCGGGGCGACGGCGTCATCGGCAACGTCCCTCTTGACGTCCGCCTCGTTCTCCAGCTTGACGTCCTCGGCGTCGACCTCTTTCTTAACCTCCACGGTCCCGTCCTCCTGGGTCGGCTCCTCCTCCTCCTTGATCTCCTGCTTCACCTTGACATCCTTGAGGTCCCTCGAGTCAGTCGCGTCGCCGGTCTGCAGTTGGCAGTACTCCTTTACGAGGAACTCGTAGGTCGGGGGGTCGAGCGCCAGAATCTTGATGCCGCCCTGATCCCTGATCTGGACCATGATCTTTTGAGGGCCGCCCCTGAGTCCCATCCTGCTCGCATCGGTCATCTTGTACCTTCTGCTGGCGGAAATCCAGAGCCAACCCCATTGGCCATGAACCCGATACTCCTCGCCTTTCTGCTTCCACACCTGGTGCTTCAGTCCGAGGGTGTACTTGACGAAGTTGTAGGTAAGCCGATTGCGCTCTTCTTCGTCCTCCTTTTCCTTCTTCTCCTTCTTGTCCAGTCGCTTCTTCTCCTCCCTTTCGAGGGCGGTCACCCGCTGCAGCTTTACGTGGCCCAGCTGGTCGTGCCACACGCTGGCGAAGACAACCGACTTGATGCACGCCTGCAGTACGATCAACGCCCTGGCGAAGTCCCTGGGGTTGACACACGCCCCCACCGCCGTGGTCCACGGTTTTCGGAGAAGGGGCCAATTGGTGTGCATGAACGGCGCCTGGATGCTGCTCTCCAGCTGGAGGATGGTCTGTCGCAGTGTGCTGACCAGCAGAGCTCTCGTCCCGGTCAAGCTCCCGACCCACTTGAATTCGGAGGCCTGCGTCAACGAGAACTTGTGGGAGAGGTGCCTCTTCTTGTCCCGTTCCTCGTTCCGCTGCAGCTTGTTTAGGGCGATGGGGTTCGTGCTGTACTGGTTCACGTAGGACTTGAAGTTGTTGTCCATACCGAGCTTGAAGAGGTGCGTGCCCGAGGCTATCTGGTGAGCCTTTTGTCTGGTCAGCCTGGTGTTGTCGTTGTCGTCCTTGGAGGACCTGTCGAGCTTGTCGGCTTCTTCCTTGTTCAAGGCAGCGGTGGTCCGGCGCTTCAGGTCGTCCATGTTGAAGGTGCGAGGCTGAAGCGATCCCGTCTTCGATCTCGTCAGGATGGTGTGTTTTTTCCCTAACGTAACGGCACGGATTAGAGTTTTGGACTTTTTGTCGAATTTTATAAAGTATTTACCATCTTTTAAAACTCCTTCCTCGTCCATCGCCTCCTCGTCCAGTTCTTCCGACGACGACCCGGAGATACTGGCCTTAGCCTTGCCCGCGTGTTCGGCATTGGAAACGGACGAGTCCGGATCGCCGCCGTCGGTTTCGTTTTCTTGCGAAGTCTCCATGGGATTTCGTTGTTCCATGGTATTGTCCTTTACCTTTTCCTCGTTTTGGCCTGAAACCACCGCCAGACGTTCCTCGAGAGAGTCGGTGCCTTCGTGCATCCTGCGCACCATCTCCTCGGCCTGTTGCCTCTCCTTTTCCTTTCTCTCCTCTTCTTCTCTTTCGCGCCTCTCCTGTCGTTCCTTTTGCACTTTTTGGATCAGAGCTGAAATTTTTAAATACACGTAAATGTTGTCACGTGATGATACCCTGGCGAAAAAAATAAAGGGTCAAACCATTCTCGACTTCCAAGTAGGACTTCTTGTTTCCTTTGTACTGGTTGGTGATCGTTTCAGTGAGCTCCATTTGTCGCACTATTTCATCCTTGTAGTCTGACAATTCTCGATACAGAGCAACCTCCATATCGTTATAGTCTAAACTGTTCATTAACTCTTCAAATTGCAGCGGAGTACTGTAATACCAGACATCCCCGTCTTCGCTTTCTCTGTAACACGAAAGGTAATTAATCAGACCGTACACTGTAAAGGTGTATTTAGAGTCTGGTGGAATTTTACTTACACGAACACCCTTCTAGCGAGGAACCAGTATTTTCGCCCGTGCCGATCAAATCCCAAATGTTCTTGTCGACACAATAAACCATTCTTCTCAACGTCTGGTATGCAGTCAACCACACCAGTAACCTTGTGTGCTTTACAAGTACTGCACTGCCAATCTTCTGTTGGAACATCGACGAGTGGTGGCTCAACGCATTCCAAATGGAAAACCGCGGGACAAGTTTCGCAGCACAGTAAATCGCCAAGGCGATGGCATACTCTGCAGTGGTCGTCGTAATGCATATTCCCTAAAGGAATAAATAATAATTTATATAGCACATTCAATCGTTTGCATTTAATACCTTAGTCCTTACACATTCAAATTAATTACAAACATACCTTCGTGCAACAGGTCTTCTCGTACTGGATTTGTAATCAGAAACTGATCGGTTAAAAACTGTAAAACCTTGATACGCTCCTCAATAAGTGTAAAAGGATATTCCGTATTGGACAGAATGTGCAGAATACTCTGATCGAAGCACTTGTCGCTCTCCACATAGGAGCGCAAAGCCTCAGGCCAGGTCATAGAGTCCACAAAGTATAAACTAACATTCACGGAGTCCTTTTGGTCCAAGGGACCAAAGTGCGTCTGCTGGGAGTCCTCCTCCCTAAGCAACGCCTTGATGAGCATAATATGGATCTCGGTAAGTAAATTAGTCTGATCCTCGCAGGTCAGGGCCGCGCAGAAGTCCTCGAACCGGAAGGACGAGAGTCTCACGAGAGTACGAAAGTGCCTGAGGACCTCGTATATCGACAAGGATGGCATTACCAGTTCCTTGGGTACGAGCAGATCGTCCGAGGACTTAGGGAGAACGAGAGAGGGCAACTCCCGGTTCTGGAGCCATAGCGGCTCCGGACTCGGCGGTCTTTGCTGACCGAGCGGAGTTTTCCTGGGCGTTCCACTGGTGGTGCTATAGCTTGAAAGAGAAAAATCGCTGTCGCTGGAGGGATCCGGTTCCTCTATACTCTCGGAGGACTCGACGTCGCTCTGCAGAGGGTCCTCCTCCGCGTCGCTCTTTTCACTGGATTCATCCCCAAAGTCCGAGCCATAATGGTACTCGGAGTCATGGTAGTCCACGTTGGGATTGTAACCTCTCCTCTGGTACGGGCCCGAGCCAGAGTGAGCCCCTTTTCTGGGATGCTTGTCCCTGGCACCGCGGGACTTGCGACTGCGTGTGCTGCGCTTGCTCTCCTCGCTCTCAACTGGCGACGAGGCCCTCGAGGCAGTAGGCGTGCTTGGCTGTGAGTTCGGCGTCTCGGAGCCCTTGTGTTGCAAGTACTTGGGCTTCTTCATCAGGTGGTACTGGAACTTTTTGGGCCTCTCCATGACGACGGACTTAGGGGGCCGCCCGCGTCGCTTCGCCCCGCGACCCGTCATCGTGGCGACCGGTTGTCAACGGAATGCGGAGCTTACTTAACCTTACTTACAGGCTCGTGGGGGCGAGCGGCCGTGTAAACAAATACGAGGGACACCGCGGTAGCGAAATGGATCGCATGTTTGTACCCTGATCTTTCCGCCATTTTTCGGCTGGGGGTCACGTGACCAAACACGGCTTGCCCATGGCAAGGGCGCCGCGGCGTCGCCGCCGCCGACGAGAGTCTTCGCGGCGACTGATCCTGCGCTAGCCGGGGACGACGCGACTCGGCACCAGCCCACGAAGGGACCCGCGGAGGGTATTTCTGACACTGACGCGCAGGGGGGGTCCGCGATTTCGCAGCCTCTCGAGGCGCTCTTCCGATTGGCTCACGGTGCGGCCGCCATCTTGCTTCTCCGGGGCCTCCGATCTCTGGCACGCGATGCCTTGTGTTGCGTCGAGTCGCGGCCGCGCGCAACCGATCCTTGCTCACCCGCTGGATCCTTAACACCGTCTCCCGGTTTTCCTTCCTTGGCGAGTCGCCCCTCGAATCGCCTGCCCTGGTCGAGTCCCGCACTGCTTTCGATCGCGCTCACCCTAACTCCCGGAATTCCTGACACATCGGTGCTAGATGGCGACACCGCTGCCCGAGACACGCAATTCTCTGCGTGCTCGCCGGCAACCTCCTCCTTTTCTTTCCCGTCTCGAGGCGTCGTTCTCCGAATTCTTCGGAGTTCTTCGGATTTCCGGAAAGCCGCTACCGTCCAGAACACGCGGCAACTTCTTACCCACGAAAGTAATGCGAACCTAACCTTAGTTCGGCCGAAGCTTCGACAGAGGACACCACCTGCGCCGCGCTTCGCGACGTCGCGGACGTATCTCGGAAACGTTTGATCACTACCCACCACTGGACTGCTTTAAATTTCCAAAATGAATTTCATTCGAGGGAAAACTCGATTATCGAGACCCCACTCGGGTTTTCGCCCGTGATTTTTCCCACAGCGAACGACCTGCCATCTGCACGCCCCCAGATCGAACGAGCGCTTCGAAGATGGACCTCCGCTGGGACTGCGTGGAGATAAAATGGCCGCCAATAATGAGGATCTCGACGGCGAAGATAAAGACGAGGTCGAAACTCCGTCTCTTTGAGTTTTCACTAGGACACTTTACACTTGAGACGAATTGTCGCGCCCACGCAAGGGACTCGCTATCGTCGGGTCGAAAATCGCGTTTTACCCGTTTCGACACGCACCGTGACAGCAGTCGCATCCGCCATATTGAATCTCAACGGAAAGTGCCTCTTCGACATCTCGCGGAACTACCTTTCGTTATTGTCAAATATACTGAACCGTGGAAAAAAAATACTACCGATGTTTTAACGGTATGTATGCTTCGAATCGCTCTTCTATTGCGAAGACGAATTATTTGACTCTGGACTTGACTTACTCATTTCCGTGACGACGTTTCCCGCGAAAAGCGAGCAGACGCCAAAATGGCGGCCATTCGTATTCAATTGGCTGCTCATAAAATACAACAGTATTTTATTCCTGGACGAGCGCCGCGTTATTAGAAATTATGAAAAACTACTATTGTTACCTGCATTACAATGTGCTTTTGTGTCCGGCTTATTTTCACTTCTTTTTTCTTTTTTAGTAAGCATTCGATTAACGCGGTATTAAATACTTAGGCTACCGGATGTTCTCGTTGATATTAAAATTCACATCGCTTGTATGTTGATTAATTGAGCAAACTCAAATTAGAATTAGACCATACATTTTGTTTCATGCTCTCTTGTTAACACAACCCATTATTTTGACTCATTTCGACCGGATATCCGGTCGAGCACATAACGTGCTATTGCTAACGGCTGATATTAACAAATTCATTTCTAATAGAAATTTATAATTGCCACTCGCCTGAACAAAATTTGAATTCGTTCATATCTCGTGTATTAGGAATATGTGACAAATAACAGCGAGAATCTTCCGTCTCCATTTAGTGGTATTTACTGCAATGTGATGAAGAAGGACACCTCTCGAAATCGATTTATGCGGTGCTCCGATTGGCTGGCCGAGTGACGGGCGCGGAAGCGCGCGCATCCGGACCGGAGGCCGTCATGGCGCCACTGGTCGCGCCGAATACAAAATGGCGGCGCGAAAAGAAACGCGAGTCTCAAGGGAGAGGTGGCAGCAATCGAGGTGCGAAAATCGAGCCTTGAGATCTCACACGGCCACGAAATCGAGAGGAAAATGAGCGGAGTAACGACGATGTACTCGGTCAAGCCGATATTCTCTCTGTCGGAGCCGATGGTCCGGTCCCCGTGCATGTACACCGTACGCAATATTCACTTGCAGCCGGAGCAGGCCAGCCATGCGGATCCCGAAAGCAGGATAGTGTCGAGTATCACTCAGCAGGTTGTCAGCTTTCTGCAGGTTTCCGATCATTCTTATTACACCGGGTAGTCGCGCGAACGTTTTACCCGTTTTTGGCCTCACAGGTGCCATCGCGCTCGTGCGTCGAATTCGCGTCATCTCGCTCGGAAGCGAATGGCGACGTGGCTTCCGAAAACCCTCGAGAGAACTGATCACGATCGAGCCTGGAATACGGTTCCACGCGGACTTGATCGATGTCTCTGCCCCCCACGAATTTTTCCGATTAACTCGTTTCGCGTCGCGACGAGCGCAAGCTCCGAGGCGAGCTATTCGCTCCCCGATTTTCTTGCGACGAACGGAAGCCCGACTCGAAAATTGGAACATTCGGGAAAAGAAAACAATGTTGTATAACCGATGTGTATGGAAAATTAACCCAACCTGTGAAGAAATCATTATGGAAGCGTACTGTTTGAGAAGAGAGTGCTTGCAGCTCGTGATGAAGATTTTGCAAAACCATATGGAATCGTCACCAAAAAAGGATCGGTTAAATTGAAGTATCGGTGACTTTTTTATTCTATATAATTGTATATTCTTCAATGTATTTTGCAGAGTCCTCTTCCCGAAGTATCGATGTTGGAAGCGAGGCAAGAAAAGATCTTGAAGCAACTGGCGCAGCTGAAGGAGCAAGTGTCCGTCCTTCACAATGTTTTGAAACATTCCAGCAAAGAAAAGGAATCTTTGACGCCAGTGTCCGATGTTAAAGTGGTATATATATTTGAGTCTTAGAAACTGAGTTTAATTTTGCAAGGTGTTGTATGTCAGGGATTAAAAATAAGTATTATAATTAGCAGGTGCCAGTTCACGTGGATCTTATTATAAATGCAAATCTGTCGAGACCTCCGTTCTGTTTGCTGGGTCTGCAGTCCATCTGGAAAGACACCACTTTCAAATTGTCTTCCTACGTTCACTCCTCATTTGCTGGGATTATCCCTGATTTTCTATTAGTCGAAAAGGAGGTGTCACTTGGGAACACTGTAAACGTGTCCTTGATATGGAAGGAAGGTAAGAAGTCTACTATTTTTTTTTTTTTAATGTATTAAGTTCAGCGATATTCAGTGGACATTATCTTTACAGTCAACGATTTAGAGGTATTACCTTCAGGATTGCCGATTCATTTGTTCCTGGGTGAAGTGAATGCGCTGAGGTTTTTGTGCAGAAGTTTCACAGCGCATAATTACGAAGCATTATTAAATCCAGTAGAGTCGAGCAGGATCGATTCCATTTTAGACTCGTGCAGTAGTCTTGTCCATAGTGAATCTACAACGGATATGCAAGTAATATTAGCGAAGCTAAACGACGAATTGAAGAAAAATCAATGGTTATCCGGTAAAAAAGAACCCAACGTCGCAGACGTGGCAGTCTGGTCAGTGATAAAACAGACTTCTCTAAAGAAGTTGCCATCCAATCTGACCGCTTGGCACAAAAGATGTGACAAAACATTTATGTTTACTTGAATGTTATTATTCTTGTAATTTTATATGAATAGAATATGTAGGAAAGGAGATATTTATTTTTATTTTATAAAATTGAGATGTAACGTAGCCAAAAAGAAGAAATAACTGCGCCTAGTTTAAGTCAGAATTGTAGATTTTAATTTACAAGCATAACTCGCACTCTCGTAGAAACAGATAGTATAAATGGATAAGAATTCTCAATGACACTTCGTTACGCTATTATATTCCAGACGCTAGTCTAATGTAAATCACTCAAAAATTGATCTAAAACAAGTATTGGCAGTGCTCCTCGAAAGAGAAGTGAAACCATCTCGCGCAGTCGTTCACCGTAATCAATTAATGCAGTTCGGGACGTAATTAATTTTGCCCTCGACTATTACATAGTCAAAAGTTATTCCTTCATTTTACTACACCGGTCGCCAACGGCGGAGTGTTTAAGCTCCCGGCAACATCCTTTGCGGCTAGAAAGTCGAGAACGAAAGGCCGATGAGAGATGCAATTTAAAAATTACGAAGTAGATACACAAAACGCGACTCTTCGGTTCTCGACTTTCGGGAGCTCGAGCTCTGGCGCGCCTTTAGCGCGGTGAAATCGTTAAATATAAATACTTAAACATCAGCCTTTTTTTCTATTATCTTAGACGCGTCCTAGAGAGTACATGTGGAGTATAAAATCGTATCGACGTTAATAACAGCTGTGCCGTTCGCGTCGAAAGGCAAAGCGACATGAATTTCGTACAGCGGAAGTGATTACTTGATTGGCTTGCCTTACAATTGCAGAAATCGCAATCACAGCCCTCGTCACTTATTACAATTCGCGTGACAACAGAGGCAACGCGACTTATGGAAAATAGGAGGAATGACGTTGCGGGATCTTCTTTTTTTTTTTTGCCTGGTCTAGCTGCGAATGACAAAACGTAAATTGACAATTAGCTCCTCAGTGTACGCGATTTTCGATTCACCGAGAGTTGCGCACCGAGTATCTATACGGCAATGGCCACCTTAAAAAGGAAACGCTCTTCCTTTTTACATACCTATAACTGGGCGCGAGAGAAGTCGAAGAGCTTATTTCTAAAATCTAGTTAATTGATAATGTAAATACAATCTGTAGCTAGAAGGCAAAGCGGTACTCATTTTCTAGTTATTCCTAAGAATTATTTCGCTGGATTGAAAAACATGCTTTCGATGGATCTGTAATTAATCTATATCGAGGTCAGGAAAACCCAGATTTCATTTTTGGAGGTTTCGTGCCTGAAATTTAAACTTTTACTATTTAACAAAACGTGGGTGAAGCTCAATGCTGTGTGTATGTATATATTTTTTAAGATGAGAGCGGGTGATGTATCGAGATGAAATGGTCATTAATTGTATAACGTTCTTGAATTACTCCCTTATTGCACATTGCGTTAAGATATTATTTATATTTAAATTGTAATGACTCAGAACGGGAACGTAGTTAATTTAATTTAGTATTTAAATATCAAACGTTTGGTGGGCATATATATTCGCGGTATCACTGAATGCAAGAAAGTTATTGCCGACTTAAAATTGAATATTTTGTACCCTGCATACTTAACTAGCTTAATCCTCAACGTAATTCGGTAGATCATTAAGGCCACCATTTTAACTAGGCTTTTGACACGAGACATTAATTATTGTGACGTAACGTATAAACGGTTCAACAACGCGTCCCTTTCTTTAAATACAGTTCTCCGATTTACTTCATGCGGTGGCATGACTCTTCGTTCTCAATAGTCGATTCGAAATTTTAACACGCCTTCGGTCGAGAAATTAATAGTAAAAGGCACTAGGAGTTCCATCTCTAGAATTATACATCAACGTGATTTTAATATACTGGACGACTATCGAGTTACGACGTAACAGCTCCACGTTTGATCCTAATGTTAATAGAATTTATTAGGCCGAGGCTGAACGAACGATCTACGTCAAATCGACCGATCGGAATTTTTAAAAAAATTAATTTTCCCTCCTACGGTAGGACCGCCATTTTGCCACGTCCAACTTCAACTCCTTCCCTTTTGATTTTGGCATGCGATTAATTTAATTCACCCGTCAACACGTTTCAGTTCCCCAGCGGAAGAGAGGATAAAAAGGATAATTTAGATCGCCTTCCTATTTTTAACCCTTCGCCGATCTTCCATTCATTTCGACCACTTAAAAAGCTCCTTTCGCGTCATTCGTGGATCGTGTCATAATGTAAATAATACTACTAAAGATATGTCATTACTTGACAATAAATGCATGCTACCTAGGGATTTGTAAAATGTGTAGTGGCCCGACGCCTGCCTAGGATGTCGTAGCATAAACACGATATGTACATAAATGCAGAATTTGCACGATAAAATTCATTCTCCGCAATCGAACGTCCATTCGCCAAGTTAAAAGGATCAGCTCGAGGCCGAATGGACGCTTAAATAGAATCAGACCCGAATGGCTTAACTTAATTCACTCCTTACAGGCAGTTAACTAACGCTTCGTCGCTATCATCCGCGATTCTGCTATGATTTAGCGAATCGCGACAAACACTATGTATACGCAATACGATATATCACAATGCTGGAGACGGTGTAAAAAATCTACCCGACAAAAACGGCGCTTAGTGGACATTTCGTTTCTCGCAAAGAAGTCGCTTTATGTACAGATGTATCACCGGACCGAAGGGTATATTTTCTCGCTCGAACGCCTTGGTAAAAATGTCCCGACACCTCGAACATTTTCTTCTTTGGAGTAGATAAGATCGAACGTAGGAATGATTTTCCGGCGAAGGAGCCGAACGCCCTCCGATGGAAAGGTTGAAAATGCTTTCCAAACTGGCACTTCGGTATTGTCTAGGTTTTCAGAGGCGTCTAAGCTTTAACGTAGTGATATAAAACGTGCGATAACACTTTGATGAAGTTCAATCGCCCACGTCGCGTTTAGCGTGGTCGGTGTGTAAATTATGAGAAAATTCATGGCAACCATTTCGTCGTGGTCTGTTCGGCTCCTCCACCTAGCAAGAGTATTGTCAATTTACCATACTTCGAGATGGGGAAGGCGCGCACATGTTACAATATATAAAATTATAACTCAACGCTTATCGCCAAACTTCGGTGAAGTTCAACGTGGAATAGACTCGACGATCTTGTGATTTTAGAGCTCGGACTTGGCACGACCGATGCTTCTTTTTCTTTCTTCTGATATGTCATATATCTTTCCTTTCGCATCTTACGATTTACATAAAAAATAAACTCACCGGGAATATTGCAATCTCCAGAAGTCCCGGAAAGAACTTCGATTTTACGTGGCCATCCCCATGTAGTGACGTCACCAAGTCCATGGGTCACTTCTTTAGAGCTTGCAATACCGAATGTTCAAATCTCTAATCGCGTCGGATATTTAGCAAGATATCTAAACTTAAGCTCGTTATTCTGCAAGTTCTAATACGTACTACGTACATACAGGCACACCGAGGATTTAATGAATCCTCGTTTAACGTGTGACAAGTCAGCTTCGTCGAAGCTTAGAGATCGATCGTCGGATAGACAGGAAGTCAACGCCACATCTCCGACCACTCCAAGGCCACGTGATAACACTTTGGGTATCACTAAAGCACACTTCCGGTTTTACACATTCACCGTGCACGAGTTTCATCCCTGGAAACGGAGTTCGATCGTCGGAGGAAGATGCATTTCACCCATCGAGCAAAAAGTTGACGTACTTCCAAGGCGTTGGTAGGATTAATCCTACGATTCCATCGGGACGAAGAGGATCACGAGGAGTCACTTTCGCTGGGAACGTCGAACTGGATCATACGAAGGACGAGAAGCCTGGCAGCGGAGCTCGCGATCTGGCCATATTGTTCATTATGATCTGGCCCCCGTTCAGACTGACCACTGCGCTTCCTTCCGGCTCCGAGTCGGTGTAGGAGGAATAATTTCTCACGGGCTTCTGCCTCTTCCAGGATTGCCTCAACGAGTCGTTTACGTTCGCGTAGTGGTTCACGAACGAGTGGGGATCCGACTGGACGCTTTCGTTTTCACTCTCGGAGCCCTGCAACCAAATACGTAATGAGCAAAAAATTAATTTTCTAGAAATAAAAAAAAAATGAGATCCCTGTGCCGAATAGATTTTTACTCGCCAGATCTTCTGAGCAAATGAACGTTTGTCTAATTTTGAGAAAAATAGGAAGAGGAAGAAAACAAAGGGCTTGGAATGGAATAGAGAAAAATACATGTATGGCTGCCATCGGAGTACCTGAGAATCCGTCGAGCTGATCTCCGAGGGTTTCTCGGTGACGCTACTGTCGTCCGGATTTTCATCGTAGCCCTTGAGACTCTCCTCGTCGCTGTGATAAGCCACGGAAGCGGGCGAAGGTCTAGGAGGGGATTTCCCCATCATCGCCGGAGGTGGTGGATGCATGGATTTGCGAGCCAGGGTGCTACGCTTGCCCAGAGTCCCGCAAGAATTAGCTATGCTCATCGTCCCTCCGCCGCCATTTTGTCGAGACCTGTACAACTCCAGATCGGACTCTTGCCGGTCGTCGATGTCCATGGCCATCGACTCTTCTAGAGTTTTTTGCGCCTCCTCTGTAAAATGCATGCCAGTAGAATTTTAATCGATGCTCGAAAGCCCCGAAGCTTGAGATTTCGACGAGAAAGAAAAGCCATCGAACTCACGTTTATATTTGTAACTTTTGCTTTTCACGCAAAGTATGGCTATCACCATAATGATGATTATTATCGACGTGGCTGCCAAGGTCACCATGAACCACGTCTGACGATAGAAGGGCCTGTGCTGCAAGTAGCCATATTCCAAGTACAACTTTGATGGCGTCAAAATCTGTTAACAGGGAAAGACACGGTGAGGTGTAAATTTTCACCGAGGTTGGATATCACGATCTTATGGGAGTGAAATAACAATACTTACGGTGTCGGTCGAATAAGCTGGATAACTTATACCATAGCGGTTGTAGGATATCACTCGGAAGAGGTACGACGTAGACGGGAGTAAATTCTGGTAGGATACCGTGTACTCGACCAAGGGCCCGTTACTGGTTCGGACAATGGTTTGCCACCTGGCATCGTCTGCGGGACAAAGAAAAAATATAATTAGTTATTCGTCTAAGTCTCGTCAACGTTTCTTCGAAGACACGACCCATTGTCTACGGACGAGGTGTATGTACAAACGATGCTTCGGGGAGGTGAAAAATCTTGTGTCTATGTATACCAATTTTTAGACCTGATTTCAGAAAAAGAAGAACAAGCCAATTCCCTTTTGCCTAAATCTATTCGTAGTGAAAGGAACGACCTATTAAATATTAACAGAGAGTCCATTCTGAAATAGGAACTAGTCTAGCAAAGATGACTAGCTAATCGTATAAATGTGCTGAGACTTACAATGCTGCCAATCTTCCATAGCTGCTTCATTTTATGAAAAAATTAAATATAATAAACATTACGAGTCCATGGCTACAGTTGTTTCTAACTCATTCCCTCATCGGTAATCTCGCCGAGTTACCTTTCCAATTTTTAGCATTTGTTCAGATTATAATCGGCTAACTTGTAAAACGTTACAGGATTTAATTCTAAGGACTAATCGGTGTTCAAACGACGGGACTACTTTAATTGGTACCAACCTTTGCGTCTGGTTTCAACGTAGTATCCCAAAATAGGGCCTTTCCCTGAAGCTCCGTTTACCCAGTGAAGATCCACGCTGGAGACACTTTTAGCAATGGTGAGGTCAGTCGGAGGCATCGGTGAACCTTCTTGAGGTCCTGTCGTCACATTGCCTGTTATCGGAGGTCCAAGGTCAATGGTTTGTGCTCGCACTGTAAATGTATACGTCACTTCCTCCTCCAATGGCTGTACCAGTAAATTCGTCTCCGATACTTTCTGCTTAACCTGCTTGCTGAAACCTTAAACAATTTTTTTTTTTTTATTTTACAGTTCAACAGATCCGCTTAACCTTTTCAGGCATTTATAATTCGGTCATAAATTAATGATTAATGACGTACGGTCGTTTTGCTCGGCAGTTTCATAAGCGACTATGTATCCCACTATTTTGCCATTCCTCATTTTTGGCGGATCCCAGGAAACTCGCATGCTCGTCATCGTAATTTCCGTAAATTGTAAATTGGAGGGAGGCCCAGGTAAGTCCTGTAATATTCTTATGAATTAAATAACCGAAACACTTTGGATCCTAAACTTGTTCAACAATCGAGCGAGGGGGATAAATATTGCAGGTATGTATAAAATTTTATTTTTCGTGTGAAGATGAAGTTCTTACCTGTTTGGTTCTAACAGTGATCGGAGGAGATCGCGGTCCATCTCCAGCTGGGTTAAATGCTAAAACTTGTATTCGGTATTCCGTGTATTTATCAAGAAATACCAGACTGTGTGTCAAGTAGGAGGCTGGAACCACCTCGATCTCCTCCTCTTGCTTGATTTCCAGGTCTTGCGGAGAATTAGTGACCAAGTAGAATATCTGAAAATTTCCCGTATTTAGCTAACTCCAAACTCTCATTCCCCATTCACTTGAATTTTTAGTAACCATTGTATCGGTCGTACCTTGTAGCCCAGAAGGTCGCCATTCTGCATGTTAGGCTGTGGTGGTTTCCACTTGACGTGGACCTCGGTAGAAGAAATTGGTTCCGCCTTAACGTGCTGTGGTTCTCCGGTAGGTACAGCTTCCCCGACGTAAACCGTAACCGGAGGAGACGGTGGACCGTCACCCTCTGAATTGAACGGCACCACTACGATCTCGTAGTTCCTATCCTCGGTCAGATCACCGAGGACCATTTTGGTTTGCTAAAATCAATGGACGGGTTTGAATTAGAATTTTATCAATAATTAATATTTAATACAGGTCGAGATACATACCTTGATCCCCAATATTTCTTCCTTAGGTGTCGCTTGTAAAGCAGTAGGAAAGTCGGATACAGGCTGATAGACGACACGATATCCTCCGGTCTCATGGTCTCCGCTCCAATACATCTCATCTATCATGTTCCAATGAACTTCAACGCTTGATGTCGTGATCGGCACAACTTTCAACCCGGTGACTGCGCGGGACGGAGCTAAAACAAATAGACGTAGGAAAAAATCCTAATCTAAATCGTTCACTAGAAAACAATGATCAGTGTACATACCGGCGGGCAAAGTTTGAACTTGGACGGATTCCAAGCTCCAAGCCGAAGGGCCAATGTCGTTGGTCGCTTGAATGCGAAATTGATAAAATGTGAATGGCTTCAAATTATTTGCCGTGTACGAGGTCACCGAAGGATCAACTCGCTCAGGGATAGTCTGAAACGGTCCTGAATTTTCAGACTGCTGTACGGTGTAGTATCTGCAACGATGCAACATTGACTAAATGTAGACCGGTACATTTTAGCTGTATTCAAATAATATACGATAGGATTTCTTTCAAACTGGTGAATACAAAAAAAAAATATATACCTTAACGGAGCAAATCCATCTCGTCCTGGAGTCCAACTAAAAGTGATTTGTCTGCTCTGTACTTGCGATCTACTGACTTGTGGCACCGATGGAGGCTGAGGGCGTTCCCTATTATTTGTTGTTAAAACAAGAGCATATGCGGTTTTACCCCACCCTAATCTCGTCTGAGCGGTAACGGAGAACATGTAATACATCTCCGGTTCCAATCCGGTTGCCCTACGAAAGAAGGTACAAAATAATTACTCTTGATTCTTGACTCTTGATAGATATTCTCTGAAATAATAATTACCGAAAAGTCCTGTCGGACGCTGGAAATTCTTTCGAAAACTGATGGTCCTGGCTACTGTTTAGATGGAACATAACTTTATACGCAAGAATCTCTCCATTCGGATCTTCCGGGGTGTCCCAAATAATTCGAGCCGTGGAGAAACTCACATCCGGAAAGGACACGTTTGACGGTGGGCCAGGTGCTGAAGAATTAAACAAATTAAAAATACATACAGCTAAAGGGGCATGCAAATTACGATTATAAAATTAATTATACCGTCTTCGAAGGTTCGTACTCTCACAGGTGGGGTACTTAGTGCTCCATCCCCGAGTCTGGTGTAAGCCAACACTTGTACGTGATATTGCACAAATTTCCTCAACTCCGTTAACGTCGTTGTAAATGTACTATTGCTTGGGATATTTTTGTACTGAAACGGCGATCTAGTGTTCGATCCATAATAGACCTTGAAACCCTCAATTTGGCCATTCTGATGTTCAATAGGTACATCACCCCATTTCACGACTATCGTTGTCGAGGAGGTAGCGTTCGCCACTACACCTACGGGTCCTGACGAAGGGACTGAAAATAGAGAATTCAAGTTAAAACTAAATATATATAAAAAAAAACCTATTTTCTAACAATAGTTTACCTGATTCTCGAGTCCTCTCAACTGCTTTCGGGCTCAGGGTCGAAAACCCGACGTCGTTGTAAGACTGCATTGCTATTTCGTAAAGTGCATACTCTTCCATATTTTCCAAGACGTACGAATTTGCAGTGTGGTCTTCGATAGTAATGCTCTTGGTCGTATTGGTACGTAATTCCTTATACGTAATGTTGTAGCCTCTAGGATTACCGTACCATTCGATCTGCTGCAAAGGCTGTAAGGAAAAAAAAAACGGATATTATTAATTTACCAATTAGAGTGTATCGAAAAGGGAAACATATTTTTTATGCACGGTAAAAATCAGACAGCCGTAAGAAAAAGTAAACATTAGATCTTACTATCCATCGAACTCTAAGTTCCGTAGCACTCATTGCTCGAACTGTCACGTTTCTGGGAGGATGAGACGGAGGAGCTTGAATGGTCTGAAATTCTTTGGTGGGTTCAGATGGTTCGGAAGGACCAACGACATTATTTGCTATGAGACGGAGTTTATATTGCATGAAAGGTATCAATCCCTCGACGGTAATCGTGCTGGCGTCCGGATCCGAGACTTCGTATATCGTGTACCAAGTTGCGTTGCGAGTTGTTTGAGCCTACAAATTAAATTAAATTAACACAAAACTCATTCTTCCAGATGTATGCAATACGCAGTCTAAATGATACCGACCTGAATGGTCCACTTGGTAATGGAGGAGTTCCCGTCAAATCCTGGGGTAAATTGTAGAACGACAGAAAAAGCGTCAATATTTGATAACGCGAGTTTTGTCGGAGGTCTCGGTAACACCGGTTCCACCCCGGATTGAATCGTAGCCACTCGTGATTTTCCTGGTCCTTTCGACGTCCAAGCTATTACTTCAAATCTGTAATGCGTTGTTGCCTATAAGATAAAAAATATTTATAAGTCCCCCCGAAACTCCAAGGTACGTCGATCATAAATCCATGTATTCAACGCAAGATTTTTATCACTTACCTGAAGATGTTCCACTTTGGTAGACAATATGTCGGCCGTAAAATTCTCAGCTTTCAAAGACTCCGGCAGGTCTTTGATCATATATTTCAATTGGTAACAGACGAGGACCCCGTTAATCTCTTTAGGTGGATTCCATCTTACGGTCAGTGCCCGATCGCTGATGTCGTCAAATTGAAGATTCTCCACTTCACTCGGGACTGGAAAAATTATAAATACTCCTGAGAACTATATTAAATCAAGTTACGGGATATTTGAATATTTCAACTCACCGTCCTCGCTCGTGCGAATTTCCGCGTGTTCGCTGCGCTCGCCGTCTCCCGGATCCGTGAAGCACAACACGGTTATGTTGTACAGCGTGTATTTTTTAAGGCCCGTAATAATGGCACTCTGTTCGGCAAGAGGATCCAACAAGCTCGGGGGAACGGTCATGGACTTGTACTCGTTAGCTTCGGTGAAATTACCACCGGTCCATGCTTGCAGTTTGTAGCCCTGATTGATTCCGTTAATTTTTTGAGGGTTGGGCGGTTTCCACCAAACCTTCACCGCCGTCGAGTTCAGCGCTTTCGCCCTAATCTTTGTCGGCGGCGCTTCGGGAACTGCAAGTACAATATTATACATTACATCGACCTACCCTCCTTCGAGGCGTTATTGTCAAATGAAAATTCTTAGACGCCGTAACAGGGCAAAGGTAGTAAAAGGAATCCCTACCTCCTTCTTTCGTTTTAATTTTCAGACCTTCGGTGTACACCCCGACTCCTTTGTCATTATACGCAGCAATTTGTATGACGTAGTCCTTCCACGTGATCAGATCCGAAATGAGGTAATTCCTTTGAGCCTCGTTGGTAATGTTCTGTACCGTCCAAGGACTGTCATTGTACCCGTACAGTCTGTACCTCAAAACGTACCCTAAGATGTGACCATTTCGATGTTCTTCAGTTGGTAGCTGCCACTGGGTGATAATTTCCGACGACGATCTGGCCGACCCGACGAAGCCCAAAGGTGGGCCAGAGGGAGCTAAAATCGACGTCAACGATAAATACACGACACTGACGGAAAAAAAAAAACTAAGTACACACTTAAAAAAAAAATTCATTTGCGTATAAAAATATAGACTTTAATAAATAATTAAATAACATACGCTCCTGTGGCAGGACGACGACGTTACTAGGATCGGAAGGTGATCCTTCGCCTACGCTGTTGACGGCGCTCACTCGAAATTGATACGCCGCGGCGGCTTTTAAATTGTTTAACAGAATCCAACGACTCCGTGCGGACACGTTGCTGCGCTCGGTCACCCAGTTTAACAAAGGGTCAGGTATTGGACCTATTAAAGATACGAAAATATTTTACAAACCTTGGTGGTATCGTCTAATATACGATAAATAGAAGAGCCTCGTATTATTTTGGAAGCTTAGAAGCTACTCACCGAGTTCGGGGACTTCCCTCCTTTGAACAATGAATTTTTTCGTCGGGCTGTTGCCGTCAAACCCAGGAACCCAAGTGACATTTATCGTCCTAGGGGAAATCTTCTCCATCCGGGTGGCCACGACATTTATCGGAGCAAACGGAAGCTCGATAACGCTAAGCCTCGCATTTCGAGTTTCGTTACCACCCGGAGAAACAACCGAACAGGTGTACTCCCCGACATCAGAAGCTCGTACAGCCGTAATTTCCAGAGCGCCATCCTCCCTCATTTTCACTCTTGGACTAGCTCTTGTATTGATCACCCTGTCGCGAGGAAAAATTCGAAACCGATGTTTTATATTTAAAAAAAAAATATTTTGTATCGATAAGAAAAAGAAAAAAACGTACTGCGCATTGTGGAACCAGGCGATGTCAAAAGGCACCGTCGGGTCGCTGGACACTTTGCACTGTAATTCCGCGGTGTGGCCCAGAAGAACGGAAGTGTCCACAGGCGGTTGAATTATTTGCGTTCGCACTGGAATTAAACAGACATATAAGTGACAAATACCACTAAAAATTGGCGCAAAGGATTTTAATGGACCAGCGCGGCAGCGCCTCGGTATTCCTGAATCGGCAGCAACAAAAGAAAAATATGAACCGCGTCTTACCGAGAACCGCGAGGTAAGCGGATCCATTAACCGAGCCGGCTTCGTTTGCCCGAATGCAAGTGTATTTTCCAGCATCGCCAGGCTTGACAGCGGCAACGAGAAGGTCTCCTTTTTCCAGAAGTTGTACTCTGCCGGCGACTTCAACCGGCACGGTGTCTGAAACGAGGAATTGAAACGATTAGAGACATTTTTTTAAACGTTCTTTGCAACGATTGGTCTTTATTAATTTTTTTTTCAGGCATCTTTGCGGGTACTCTACGGTCGGGACAACTTACCATTGTAATACCAAGTGACATTCGGAACTGGAGCAGCGACGGCTCGACAGGACATTGTTGCGTCTTTGCCGTCCAAGACGGTGAGATTTTGAGGTGCGACCTCCATCATCGGAACCGACGCTGGAAAATATCATAACGGTTGGGCACATTTCTTACAGACGCGTTTTACTTCATGCAGTGACCAAATGATAAAAAACAACTACGTCTAATTGTAAAATCTCCTTCGTGTACATACACCCATCTCCGCATTTCAGTGCCTGGCAATAACGTGCTCGACTATGGCGCTCCGTATCTACATTCAACGTTGCATTCAACAAAACTTATCTAAACAATGTTGAAATCCTATTTGAACATTAGTTCAGTCATGGATAACGAGTTTATCTGACCGGATGTTATTTCAAAGATAGCATTGATCACCATCAAATAAAGAGGAAAAACTCGCGGGGCATCGACTCATTTTTTTTTTTTCCTTGATTTCTTCAAACTGACATTAAATTCTTCTTTCTTTTTTTTTTTAATGTCGACGAGATTTGGTCAGGAATTACTGGGGACTTACCGGGGACCATTTTAAAACAGGTGAAGGGATAAATCTTAACGCGATTTTTTAATCGCTAGACTACGGACGTCTAAAACGTAGTCCGATCGTTAATCTACCGCTTTACGTGATCTACGCAATCCTAGTTACTCTTTCTAGGTAGGAAAAATTCACAGGGAGAAATTAAACTAAAAAAAAAAAATACACCCCGAGTAAACGTGCTGAAATATCATCGCAAAAATTAAAAGCCCGATCGAGTAAAACAAAGACAAAAAGGGCCGAACACAAGCAGAGGGTAGGAGCGCCGGCAGAAATCCCCTCGACGTGTCAAACGATAAAATCTAGAATTATGATATGGCATCTACTAGTTTTTTAATTTTTTTTTTTTTTCTGGGATCTGCAACGACGCAACGCGTATTCCACTTCTTCGTGTTTACCCGGGATTAAGCAGTTATTAAACGAAAGCGACTTAAATCGCATTGGAATTTTAGATTCCGCTCGTCCGAGTTTTTCTGCCCAGTGAACGGAAAATTAAATGGACTTTCGCCGGCGCCCAGGAAGGATCGTAATAACGTGAGTTACGTTGCATTTATCAAGCGTGTGACCGACGTGTGGCTAAAAGGGTGATAAAAAACGTCCATCTCTAAACTATATGGTGTAAACTGTTGGCGCCGTTACGGCTAGGTGGTCTCTTACTGTCAGGATACTGAGTGAATTTAAAGCGGCGGTCAGACTGGCGAACTCTAACCACGTTATACCCGGCCGTCCATCGGACCACTCTCTTCCTGATTCCGGTAACCTCTCTCTCTGTCCCGATAAAAAGATATCAAACAACATTCATTTAACAGTCTCACCGATTCGTTGATTCGCCAACGCACCTTCGGCTCTATATATTCTCTACCGAGGTCAACGAACGTATATTCAGACTTTTCTCAATAATCGTTCAATTATAATAAACGATGCCAAGATACAAACAATATGTTATTTCAAAGGAAATCCATAATTGACCTCGGTGTTGCTAGTCCGTTTCGTAATCCTCAACTCGGTGGTAAATAAATGAGCTTACTTTTAGCTTTTAACCACGTGTAGCTGGAAGATTCTCCTGCTTCGTTCAACGCAAGGCACTGAAACATCCCGGAGTCGTCCATTGTCAGCTTTTTTATCTTCAGCGTCCCATCTTCCTCCAATTCGTACCTGGGGACAGAGGAGGAAAACGTAGGATAATTTTAATTGGCAGACCTTGCGGTTCGCAAACCTACGATCCATATATCGGCTTTTACCTCGTCCCCAGTAAATGATCCACCGGTTCGGCATTATGGAACCAGCTGATTTTCGGCTGAGGTACGCCAACGACGTCACAGGGTAAGGAGACCGTTGAACCATAATCGCTCAACGTCTCCCGTTTAAGTTCCGTAATGAACGTCGGTTTTTCTGTGCAATAGAATGCATATTAATTTTCACAATTAAGAATAAGACCCGATTATCCCTAGGGGGTCTAGATCTTACCATGTACCACCACTTTAGCACTGGCATTGATGGTAGGGTAACCACCGCTTCGTAAATCCACCTGACACGTATAAACCCCGGTGTAGGTCAGATTAGCCGAAATTAGTTCCAGAGTCCGATTCCACGGATCCTTGAAGATGTACTGAATCCTGGCATTGCTAATCGGTATTCCGTCCTTCAGCCATATCGTTCTCAGTTCGTGAAGCGACCTATAAAAAAGACAAAACCAAACTCATGGCATCGAGGATTGACTTACAATGAAGAACGAGTCATTAATTTTTTTTTAACAATTATACAGGTGTTCGCTATTCACCTGGCATTAGCTATGCAATACAAGTACGTCAGGGCTTGATCCTTGATTATTTGCGTGTCTTGAGGTTTGACGACGATACTTGGCGTAACTTCCACGTTTGGGTCGCCCACTACGCGTACCTTGAAGAAAGGGCTGTTTTCCTCTTTCCCGAGCTGCGTGTTGATGGCTTTCGCTCTGTAGACCCACAGATAAAGATATTAAAAATACTTCTTGTTACGCCGTTAACGTCCTTTCGTTTTGCGTAGCGTTGACGCGAATAAAATGATACGCACCTGTAGGAGCCTTGATCGTTTTCCGAGGCGTTAAGGATCAGGAGCATGTGATGCGACGTCGCGTATTTGATCTCGTAAGACAGAGGTCTGTCCGAGGTGAACCAAATCACTTCCGGACTCGGATGACTATCGATCGGCGGAAGTTCCAATACCGCCGCGTTTCCTGACTGTACGGTCAATTCCCGTTCGGTCAGGTCGTCGAAAACTCCCATATCTGTAAACGAGATCAAACGAATTACCATACTTATTCCTGCATCCTCAATTATTAATTAATTAACCTCTTCCCCAGTTTATATGTCGCGCTCTCGACTCGCGGAGGAAATTGAGAGACTCACAGGCAACGGAGAAAGAAATCCTCTCGCTGAAGATCGAGCCGACGTCGTTGGTGGCGACGCAATAGTAGACGCCGGTGTCGCTCCTCTGGGTGCTCTGAATGCGAAAATAAGGCTCGGAGATGAGCTCGTTGCTCAAGGGTCGTCCATTCCTGAACCACCTGTACTTCGGTTGGGGGTACCCTGCAATTAATTAGGCTTTAATTATTTTTTTTTTCTTGTTTTTTCTTCAGGAAGCAATGCGTCATTAGAAAGGCTCTCGGTTCGATGAAACGGTACGCTCCATACGGGGTAGATTTTCCGAGAAGCTCGCAAAGGCCGAGATACGTTAAACGTTAAAAACGTGGGAAGACGCGGCTAATGGCGTACAAGGAAGGGCACGCAACTAAGTCCTGGTTTCTCGAGGACGAGGTGCGCGTACTCCTCGGGATCTAATGCCATTATACTACAGGGTCACGGTATCGAGTTGCAGGGTACCAGGTGGCTACTGCGAGGCTTCATCTGGTCACCGCTTCGTCCGTTATTCGATATTTTCCACGGCCACCGGCGGCCATCTTCTCTTCCCTTTCCTCGAGGTCCGTTTTCAGGAATCCCTCGACTCCGAGAGGCCCCTCGGCCCTCCTCGAGTCTCGTGATTCGTCGAACTCGAGTCGAGGCGACCCGTTTCTCCCCGTAACTCGAGTTATCGAGGGCAGGACCGACCCCATAAACAATTTTAACGACTCAAGGACGAGGGGACGTCGCAGCGCTCGACGCCACTTATCGCTGCAGTGTTTTTGATCCTCTATCGAATATATACGAGACTCGTGGTCGTCGTGCCCATCTTGGAAGACCCAATTTCTGGACGGTTCGAGTAAAATGCCTAAACTGACCTCCCGCTTGACATTGGAGAATTTTCGTCCTCCCCTCGCTGAGAATGTTGCCGCTGCTCGAAGGTTGAGTAATGAAGCGAGGTGCTTGAAGGGATTCTGAAACCAAAAAAGAGATTGCATAAGCGACGCACGCCCACGGCGATCGGGCCAAGATACGAACCGTTCGATTTATTCCAATGCTACCTGATTTCCTCTGGCCTTTTCTCTTATCGTGTACAAATTGAAAAAGCGACGCGACGCCCCGATCGAGCGGCGGCACGACTACCAACGCGATATCAGTGGTTCCCAAGAGTAATCTTTGCAGCGGTAAAAATATTTCGAATACTTCGAATTCTCGTAATTTCGACTTTTCATTTTAATTTTTCGCAATTTCGACTTTTCGCATTTTCGCATTTTCGAATTTTCGCATTTTCGAATTTTCGACTTTTCGCATCTTCGAATATTCGCCATCTCGATTTTTCGTATTTTCGTATTTTCGCCATTTCGAATGTTCACGATTTAGATATTTCGTAATTTCGATTTTTCGCTATTCCGAGGACATACGTACCCCGAAATCAGAAAATGTCGGCACCAAAAACGAAGTCCCGAGAAACGCATACATTTCGAGGAGACATTTGCAACGAGGATAAGGAAAGGGAGACGAGGAAGTCGGACCTCGAGGTCGGAGGTTGACCACCTGCAAACTGCGGAGACAGACTCTACATTGTATAGGCTCTAACTGGCTGCGTTCCATGAGACGCAGTGCGCAACGTTTTGCGGACATTGCCATGTCTACCCTTTACGACTTTACGGCCTCGGAGAGTTCTCCAATTCAAATGGCTCGTCTCCGGGATGCTCGCCTTCCCCCCAAGAACCTCTAATGTCCTGTCTCGTACGAAAGAGAGAAAACTTCCAATTCGGGTTTCCAAATCGAACGGGGTCATAAGGAAGGAGTTGCTCTCTCTCTCTCCGGCCGGTGGCCGAAACGAGGCAGAACCCATGAAGCGGTTATACAAAGGCTGGAATCCAGTGAGTAAGTCCACTGGCACGCGAGTCGCTGCATACGGACGCGAATGGACAGGTAGTACGCGCGACTACCTGCCGAGTACCTGTCCGGAGTACCCGACCCGGTTACGACATCCTACGCGATGAAACGTCGCGCCGCCCTCCGGAATCGATCGCGAAGCGAACAAAAAGATCACTTTCTCGAAAAGATGAAATTCCCGCGTAGAGAAAAAAAAATGTTCGTAAATAAATTAGGACCAAAAAAAAAATTGAAATTTCACGAGGGACAAAACTGTCGCACGGGAGAGCTCGAAACGATTCGGTACCCCCAGCTGGAATAAAGGATACGTAAACGAGACTTCTTTGACGCGATTTTCAACCCATTGACCGTGGAAGGCGCAGATATACGTCGAACGTTAGGTCGATTATCGCCTGCCCGTGTTCGGGAATTTCGCCCATACGTCGAAAGGACTCCGGCGGGCAAAGGGTTAACGATTGACCCCTCGGGCGCCGCTTTAACGCCTTACTTAACCGCCTTAATTAAATGAGCGAATCCGCGGCGGCGCCGTGGTCTTCGTCTTCTTTTTAGGAAGGGTTCGTTGGAATCCCCCGTAAATTCGGGCGAATCCCCGGTCATTAGAGATAAGGCTCGCCCGTTCCGGAAGAATCCCATGCGCCGTGTCGTTACTCGAGGCAGGAGGCGAGCGCGACCAAGTGGCTGGTAAAACGAGTGGAAGGCTGAATAGGATACGGTGGAGTGGAGTCGGGGCCAATAGAAGGGAACTACTCGAAGAACCGGCAGAAGGCCCTTGTCCTCCATTGTGCCCCGTTCGAGCTGACGTCGGGGATAGATACCTTTTCTGGCGCCGGGAGCAAACGTACCTCTCCGCCTCCCACGAAATACCGAACATCTTATATCACGTTCCAACAACCGGGTTAATTCACATTCCAAATTTAACCTAACCCTCCGCTCGTCGTTCCTGCCATGTATACCTTGAAGATATATTTTCAAAGTTAGGCGTAAGTGTAATTGTAATATTAATGTAAATTTGACCAGGTGCCGATCCATATAGAATTTTTTCTTTCTTTCGATTTAGTGAAGTACGCGACGAGATGCCGTCGTTTCTTAGTCGCCTTAAGTCGGTGAAACGTAGCGCGTAGATCGGCATCCGGTCTCACGTGGAGGTTAAGTACGTGGGAGGAAAACTTACCGGGTGCGCAGGCGCACGTGGCGAGGCACGCGAAGAACGCGCCGAGGAGCGCGTTGGCGGTGGACGCGCGGCGCCGCGGCCGCTTCATCTCGAACTCGCGGGGCCGCGTTACGCGCGAGGACTCCGGCGCATTCCTCGCATCCTGGACCAAGGTCGGTCGATCGAGGATATCCAGGTTCCCCTGTTATACCTTTCCAGGCGCTCGTCCGTTAGCGCCAGGATCGCGCGGTCGACGGCATTGCCGGTTTCCCCTCCGTTCCCTCGGCGTGATTTATTTACGCGCACGTAACATGGCCCGGGGTAATTTTGAAGGTTTCGGGGAGCTCCTCGGAGCATGTAGCGTTAGTCGATTCACTCGGGTCGGGACGAACGACACCCAAGGTCGCGGGAGCAAGGACCGGACCGGACGCTCGAGCGCGCGCCGGCCTCGGGTAACGTCGAACGCGAGGGGTGAAAACGTTCACCTGGAGTCGGCCGCTCCAAACTGGCAACGCCGCGATCCAGCGAGTCGCGCTTCTCGCCAGCGGCGACCGAGCGATCCATTCGCCGCCGTGGACGCCTCGTCCGGGCCACGCGATCGCTGTTTCCTTTTCATTTCCCCATTAAGGAGATCGGCCGGCGGGAGGATCGAGGAAACTCTTTTCCCCTAGATGCGTCGATGCGCTCAACGCGCGGAGTTCGTTTCACGCTCGTGGGCGTTCACTCTCGTTAGCGTTCTTCCTGGTTCCCCGGGAGAATGTCGGTTGACTTTTCCTCGGTAATTCCTGCCGCTACGAAACCGTACGCAAAGGTGTACGCGATTCGTTTCCCGGCGTCGTATTTCGCCCGGAATATCGGGAGGGCGAGAGATCGGCGAGCGAAGTCGCGCTACCAAGGGGAGTTTCTTCGACGCGGTCGAAGGAATACACTTTCGAGCGCACTTGGGAATGTCACTTTTTCACTCGATGCGAGTAAACTCCTCTTTGGATCGACTTTCGCGCGCGCCAGCGTTGCTCCTTTCGAGCGCAGGTAACGCTTCTGCTCACCTGGGGGTACGACCTGGCAACCTTGTCGCGTCACCCGCTCTCGTCGACTCGAAGAATCGAAAGTTCTCGGGAAGAACCGCACGGTATTTGTTTTAAACCTGACACGTGACGATTGCGTCGCGACGCGGCACTTGCCCGACGAGAACTGACGCGCGATCGACGGCTTCGTCGACTGGTCGTCGAACGCGGTCAAACGCTGCCCGGTTCACAGAACGGAGCGTTACCCGAAATCGCGTCTGCGCGCATGACCGAGCGTCGCTTGGGCCGCGGTCCTACTGAGCGCGTCGCGGGTCTTCCTCGCTACGCGCTGCTGGCGCCGCCTCCCGGCGAGTGGACGTACATGGTTCACTCGTTAACATCTAATCCGACAATCGATAAAAACACGGTTGATCGACCGAAAGTTCTCGCAGAGTGCTCAATTTCTACAATTAAATAATGGTACGCCGCACGTAGGAAATGTTAATTAATTATGAGCATGCAAATGTTGGAAGATAAAAATTAAGGTGTTTACATTAACGTTGATCCGCAGTATATTACATATTGCATATCACCGTTAGTGCAATGAAATACAAATGTAAAACTAGATTAGAAGAAAAATCCAAGTATTTTTCCTCCAAGATGTTTCCTCCTAGCCTCCTCGTGATCCATAATACCACCGCTCGTAGTAAGGACGACGTATCTGTAACATAAAAATAGATGTGATATTTTTAATCGATCGATACTATGACGTTACGACGTTAATATGCTACAAGTTGTCAGTGATTTAAACTTACCCAAACTGTCGAGAAGGTAATAGGTTGTTGGTCCACTTCTCAATGTCTGTAATCGGGACATCAAACCTCGGAGAGATGACGCCACATTTGTTCAATCTTCCGGTAAGATTGACAACCACCTTTCCACTTCGATGATCGTCGACGATTTCAAATTCCCCGATGTAACCTTTGCAAAGATGAAAGTAATTATTTTAAATCGCTTTGCAATCCTATTAACCGTGGTAAACTCAAAACTAATAATTTTATGATAAGTGATAAATAATATACTCCAGGACACGATTGTACTTACCATGTTTCATCATGACTGTGAGAAATTTAACTATGACTTTGGAGCATGGTCGCAGCAGCACCTGTCGTTTACCACGTTTCTCGGCATTGTTGATGGATTTCAGAGCATCGCTCAGTACGTTCATTCGCACCATGACTGTAAAAAAATTAACAACTATTTGAAGACTAAATTCATGGAATAAATAAGTGTTTTATATAACATTTATTCATAAACTAATCACTTTTAAAGTCCACATAAACAGGTGCAAGTTACTTTGACTTCGTAAACATAACCAATTGTGTCAATGTTTGTCAAACCAACGTTATGTTACATTTTAAAATTTAATATAACTGGCAATTTCTGGACATTAGAAAGAGCCTGAACAAATGTAGAATTGCACAGAAATATGTGGGATAAATAATGTTACAATATTCCCTAGTTGGCTCTGCCAACCGCTTCAGTAGAATCGAAACATTCGTGACAAAACATTTGATTCAAAGTAAAATAATACTATTACTATGTATTTGATGACATTTTATTCCTTATTATCAAAATGATAAGATCGGATGGATTATCAAATCAGAAATTACCTGCGATTATAACACTGCTCTTGACAGGATCATACACGCTGCGCGCCGGATCAACGAAAAAGGCTTCGCCTGTGTTAAATAAAATATGAGAAGTCGATGTACATTTTGAAATCCGCTATACTGCAGCACCATCTGGTGGCTTTACTATAGATAGAGAAGATGAGTTGAGAAACTATTCACGAGTGTGGCCGGAGTTTCAATTACCGATACTTTCCCCAGTCGCCAGATGGACTACGTTTACAAATGGAAGTATTTTGTTCGTAATTCATTGCGAAAATGCAAGAGCAGAAATGAGTTTGCATCTCTGGTTCATATACCTCTTTAATCATGTCTGAATTTGTTGGTAAAGATGTTGCCGATTTGATCGCTATCCTTAATTAATAAATGTCAGATGTAAACTGACAGAATCCTCGTAGTTTATTTAATGAAAGTATATTAAAATATAATTATTATTAAACTCATGGGGAATTAATTTATTAATAAGGAATTTGAATGATCGTACATTTCGCGCCAAATGACGATGCTATCGACATGACATTGCGCGACATTTTAAAGTGTACTGTTTTGTTGAATAACTACAGGTCGAAGAGATTGTTAAAAAATGGTACGTAATGTTTCAACATTTGCAATTTAACCATTAAAAAAAATACAGAATTGTGAGGTAATTGTTATTTTTTTTTAGTTACCCCTTTCGCTGTTGAGAACAGCTCAGAATCATCCTATGGTAAGATCTAACCTCAAAACAACTGCGTTGTTAATCGTATTTAAATATAGTAAGGAATTAAAATAAAATGTATGTCTTTTTTCCAGTTGGTAGAATTAAAAAATGGCGAAACATATAATGGACATTTAGTTAGCTGTGACAATTGGATGAATATAAATCTTAGAGAGGTTATATGCACATCTCGGGTAAGAATGAACATTGATTAATTTTCGGGTTGTTAGAATAAATAAATTTAGCAGTCTTCAGTTGTCATTTCAACATAATATTCACTGTTAATTTTACTTAGGATGGTGATAAATTTTGGAGGATGCCAGAGTGTTATATACGAGGTAGCACGATTAAGTACCTTCGAATTCCGGATGAAGTCATCGACATGGTTAAGGAAGATGTACAGATGAAATCAAGAGGTCGTGGAGAAATGAAGGGTCGTGGTGGCCAAAATCAACGAGGAGGGCGAGGTGGTGGTAGAGGTTAGTTTAAATTTATTACCATTTTGTCAAAACTGATGGAATTTGCATTACGAATAAAAAATGCCATTCGTTTTCTTAGGTACTTTTGGTGGCCGAGGCTCTAGAGGACCTGCACCTTTGAGTAGAGGTGGATTAAATCCTGGAGCCAACAAAGTTCTAAATAAACCAAGGACGAAATAGAATAAGTTTAGTCATAATTCTACTCTTAAAATACTATTTTCATTTCCAAATAAATTTTCCTTCCACTAGCTGGTTAATTTTGACAAGAACTATTAGTTTCTGCTAGTGCAAGTGTGATTCAGTTAGAAGAAAGTACCTATTCGCTATTAGGAATTTAATCTGAAAGATTTATGTTAGAAAAAAAACAGTAATCAAACTTATTTTGTATCACAGAATTATACCCATTGGGCAAGTATCGATCAATACATGCTTTATTTATAAACATTCAATACTTAATATCATAGTACAGAAGGGTGATAATATTTTTATAGCAAAGAAATTCATTTATTCTTCCCCCACTGTTTACACAAGTACACTGTCGCACCCATTATCTTTGTTGCTCATCTAATCACACAAGTTATCGTTTGCAATACAGTTCTTGGAATAAAATATAAGTAGTATTTGTACAGTAATCAGTTGACGTTTATTACCGACATCGAAACAATGCATTTTTAGCATGGGATGCCATGGCTAGCCTTTCCTCTCTACAGGTTACTAAACTGCATCATGATATGAGTTCCAGCCGGTGTAACAAACGTAGAAGAGTCTTCGGTCGATTGGCATATAAACAAAAGTGAATGTAAGTCCGAAGCACTCCGTAATTGTACAATCTGCTTGTCACAGTAGTTAAATACTGTTAAATGCTGTCAACTGGTAGTAACTAGAAAAATAATCACCACCATTAATTTTCCACTAAATAAAAAATACATACACTATCTCAACATTTTACTTACTTTACTCACATATAAAATTAAAGCTGCAAAAGTTCGCAATAATGCAGCTTCGTCAAGTTCATCTTATCGGCCCTCGACTACAAGATTAAAGGAATTAGTGAATATTCCACGATAAAGTAATGGTTTCATGTACTAATTGAATTAAAACTCACTGTACGAGGCGAGGTCAATTTCGTCTGGCAATTCAGTGATGTTCACGTCGAACCTCTCTTGAACATCATTTAATATTTTAGCATCGCTCTCATCGCTCACCAAAGTAATGGCAAGACCCTGTAAATATGTTCAAAAATAAAGTTAGAATCTCTTATGATACAGCGTAAACTGCTCAAATAAAATTATCATTACCTTGGTACCAAATCGACCAGCTCGGGCTACTCTGTGCAGGTAAGTATCAGAATCCTCAGGCATATCATAGTTGAAAACAATGTTTACCCTCTCAATGTCCATGCCTCTTCCAAACAGATTCGTTGCTACCAGTATACGCTGTAAGGCAAAATGTAAATTTTCATAACATTGTTTACCATTATAACAAGGTTCTGCATTTTTTTTTTTTTAACAAATTGTCAGAAAGAGAGTTCAAGAGTAAAAACTATCATTCGTCACGGAATAATCAGACGATAGAATCATCATGTAAGATTAAATTGTATTTTTACGAGTTTCTAAAATATATTTTGACAACTAAATTCACTCTACGTACTTTCTGAAAATCTTTGAACTGCTGATATCTCGAAAGACGTTCTTCCTGTGTCATCCCTCTGTGAATTCCAATGGCAGGGAAATTTTGCTCGGTCAAAAGTTGTGCCAGAGCCATACACCTTTGCACCGATTTGACAAAGATGACAACCTGAAATAACAATAAGATATTAATTTCAGAATGGACAGTTGCATGATCACTTTTTACAATGAAACATTTTTGAAGCATACCTGGTTGAACTCGAGCACATCAAGCAACTCAAAGAGTTTCTTATTTTTCTCATTTTCTTTGAGCTTGACATAATGTTGCTGCAGACCATGTAACGTGAGTTTCGCTTCGTCATCCACGTAGACTTCCATGGGCTGCGCAAACAATGATGTAATAAGACAATCTACATTACCCTAATTAATCGTTGCCTCGCCTCATCATCACCGTTTTCAAACTCAGTACCCGACATCGTTAGAAATTAAAAGAAAGACATAAGATCCTAATTGTTCGTTCGTTATAGCTTACGATAGATACACGGGTCAACGTAGAATTTGTCTCATTTATACAACGACCGGAGGTCGTTGCCAAGATACATCGCAGGGTTGGCATTTTAAACTAGATTTTCAGTTAAGGATCCCAATCTAAACGAATTCTTTTTAAATAGAATAATTAAAATTTGTTATAAAATCTCGAATCAACGTGTTAAAGTCTCCTTTTCCTTTTCAAGAAATAAATTGTTAAAAACCGAGGCAGCTTAGGACGAAACCACAAGTGCTAAGACCCGATCGTTCGCGACGAAAAACCTGCGCACAAATCATCGTCTGGACTAGTCACACTGTTTACATACGGTACGGCGACTTCCACCTCTCGGCGGTGCCAAAGAATGATCACTGCGAGTGCAGCTTTCGTGGAAAATCCGAAACGAAAGGCTGTTGCGCACCCAGGAGGAACTTGGGTGCCACTTGCGAAGCAGTGACCACTTTTTCTCTCCGTAGGCAATGACCACTCTCTCTCCACCTGGTCAAATCATTCCGGGTTTGGCGTTCCGATATTCCGACTCGATTAATCCCTGGCCACTCTCTCTTTCTCGATGGACAGGGTCACACCGTGACCTTCCGAGGCCACGGTGTGCATTAATACAAGGCCACCACTGCAATTCCGAGCAGCGAATTCTAAAGAAGTCCAGTAGTGCCCGTAACCAGCACCCCGAAGAGGAGCCTGGTTTTGTCAACGAGGACTTCCTGGCTCCCGCAGGCATCCTTCGGTGTCTAGGCCCGATGCAAAGCCTTTTCGATGGTCTACCACCATCTGACAGGTTCTCCCACTTTCATAGTGGCATTAGTTAACAACAATTTAAATCTTTAACACGTTTCCGGCTACGATCTCCACCCACCCGCCCCTCACTAAACCGCGTTCTTCCTCTTGAATCTTCTTTCTTGCGTGGTCTTCGGTCTTGAGGTCTTCGAGTCCTTGCTCCGGACCCACCCGCTCCGACCCGATTAATTATTTACTGGATTTAGAGATTATTTATCGATCGATCCCACCCCCGACATGGTTTATCCTTCCTCCCTCAATTAAAAACTTGTACCCTCGTGACCCTGTACTTTTGAGCTTTAGACTGATCCATTTTGTTTTTTTAATAGTACCCCCGAATTTACGATTTTCACGATTGGATCGTTTGGATCATTGGTTTTCGGTGGGATTCAGGGGTAAAGTAAAGACTGGACGTGTCAGGAGGGGACTTTTAAGGGATATTTTGGTTGCGGATGTCGTAACGACTGGATAGGCATGGATGGATCCACTGATGGATTTGAGACCTTCGGCGTGGGAGAGAATGTCGCGTCGGAGATTATTTGGTGTTTAGACACCGAGGCCAGTTACGTCCTGGAGGAGGGAGAGTGTTCGGCGATCGATTGAACGAAGCGTATTTGCTTTTCTGCCTCTTCGGAGTGACTAGCCTAACCCGCGGTTACGCCTCCGAGGAGGCTTTAGGTGCTCTGAGATTTGTCCTGGGTGTTTGCACAGGGCCAACCAGGTGGAATGTAGTCGGAGTGTAGAGGAAGAGTGGTTAATTACATCTTGCATAAACTTCTTGCAGACTGGACGAATCTCCTTGGATAACGTGGCGCTGAACATCATGACTTGTTTGCCGTGAGGGGTACTGCGGAATATCTCCTGTACGTCTCTACGCATATCTGCAAGGAAAGAAAATTTTCGTCAACAATTTAAATTAAAACTTTCCTAAAGTATACATTGACTTTCACATTTTAAGAATTTCCTTCTAATTATTTTACAAGGCTCTACAGGAAAATGATCCAGTGATTGGACAAGATTGCATACCTAGCAACTCGAGCATCTTGTCGCACTCGTCCAAAATAAAATGTTTCAAGTGTTTTAGATTGAGCTTCTTGTTTCTCACGAGAGCAAGAATGCGTCCAGGTGTACCGACCACGATATGAGGGCAGGTATTTTTTAAGACCTCTTCGTCCTTTTGTATTGGCAAACCACCAAAGAACACCCCAACCTAAATGACAAACAGAAAAGGGAAAACATTTTTTAAAAATAACATTATTCCAAACATGTACATTTTTAAGATAAGAAATTATGTAATCTCTATCAGTGGTGGGTGGTAGAAGGGTTGAGTCATCAGTTTAGACTAAGACAATCCATTCATCATGTAGAGATTGTGATAAAATGTTATACACACAAAAAAAAATCCTCGGTATTCTTACCTTAACTTGAGGCATGTATTTGCTGAACCTCTCGTATTCCTTGCTGATTTGGAATGCGAGTTCCCTCGTGTGGCACATAACGAGTACATAAACTTGGTTTTCAGTTAATTCGAGTTGCTGCAAAGTAGCCAACACGAACACTGCAGTCTTTCCCATACCAGACTTGGCTTGGCACAGAATATCCATGCCAAGCACAGCTTGTGGGATGCACTCGTGCTGTACTGTAATTTTAACAAGTCAATTGTTAAATTTTATTATCAACTGCTTTTTCAGTTTTTATCAACTAGATCCTAAAATTCAGGACAGATAGAATTCAGTCACGGTTTATATGATGTCCCTATCTGTAATCGTCATCATTATACTTAGGCAATTCATGTATTTTTTTTCTACAAATGACAGACTCACCTTCAGAGGGATGTTCAAAACCGCAATCAACGATTGCACGCAAGATTTCTGGCTTAAGAAGAAAGTCACGGAAGCCGCTGCTATGGATAGAGACGTACGTTCCCTTGACCTCTTTCTTGGCAGGTACGTCGCCACTCCCATCAACTACCTGCTCGGTCTGCTCCTCGTCCTCGTAATCCAAAAGATCGTCATTGTCTGCCATTGTGTATGCTTAGATGGGATATAAAAATGTACCCTAAAATCAAGATTATTTTATAATTTCAAGTATGGCTTGCTAAAAATGAAATGTATAATAGTTATACAGGGATCTAAAAAAAAAATCTAAACTGTGCTAATTTAACCGCTTCAAGACATTTGGCATTGAAAATATGATAATTACTCCACACAATTAAAGACCTAACCTAGTCATCATTCTGGAAAGCCGGTCGGCCATTTTGAACGCTATGGACGCTTCTAAACCCACATCCGGCCACGGTGTCAACAGATCAATCAAAACTATATTTAATCCCATTAAAAATAAAATTTTTCGGGGCAGTAGTAATACATTTATCCCGAAAATAAACCTCTACGCCCAATAATCTGAATAATTAACTAAGGGATGGACGAAATACCCGACATCAACGCCGTTACAAAATCGGTTGGTATCTTCCAACTTTTCAATGAATATCGTCTCAAATGCGGATAACTTTTCAAATATTTAGTTAACTTATTAATGATATAACTTATTACTGATTATTCAGCGCCAGAAACGATTACTAACGTAATACGACGCGGCCACGCTCTCGACGGTGTCGCGAATTTCACCAATATATATCGCTTTGAAAAAGTGAGAATCGGACAGAAATATAACGATATTACAGAAGAACGGATATTGGATCACAATATAAAAGTAGTTTGAACAATCGATGCATTAAAATTATCAGAAAAAAACTCGGATTACGAGCAACACTCACCTCCGTTCAACGCGAACGACTTCTGTCTGGTAAACGACGCGACAAAGAATCACGAATCGATCTCAACGCCGAGCAAGGAACGGAAAGCCCGAGCTCCCTCCAGCGGAAATGAGAAATACCCTCTGTCTGGGTCGATTTACATGAGAACGTCGCTGCATTTTTAGCGGGGGATAGTGACGTAGATAGAGGGCAGTTCCGTGCATTTTGAACGGCCATTTATTTTCTGCTCGATATCCATCGAACACGTTGAAATTCAATTAAAATAAATGAAGAGTACCGATACTATTGCAGTGTTCTACTAATACGTGATGATAACAATAGGGATTGGAAAAATATATTTGTAGATACATAATACGCGTAATGTTTTACGCATGTCTGGCTAAAAGTGGATGGAGTTCCAATGCAACAGGAAGTGACGCCACTAGAGGTGGACGATTTTTCTAATATGCACACGGGTATCTCCAGTTTCTGTAGAGTCGATGCAGTGGGAGTAAACTTTTGTAATGCATGTAATGCACAATGCACTTCCGGTTGATTCCGGTTAGGGTAAACATGGTGCTTACTGTTGTTTCGATTTTCTTAACGGCGGGTTTCCTTGCATTTTGTCTAGGAGATGCCACTCAAAGTTACTACGCTGCGGCAAGAATTGAGGTAACGATTTATGATTTATGAGCAGCATTAATTATAACTGGAATTTTAAAAATTTTAGAGAACATGATGTGTACAATATGCACTTACTTTTTATACCGTGCAAGAAATAAAAAATATGTGCAATGATGTAGACAAGTATAACATTTTTTAAAATATTTCAGAGCTGCAAAGGTTGCGCTTTGGAGCGACTTCCTGATGTAAAGGCATTCATTTTCGAGGACGTTCCACTTTAGTATCCTTTATGTGACTTTAGTTTGATTTCCAATTAGTTTCATCGTTCCATAGCTTTTCTTAACCATTGATGCAGTGAGAATGTTGAATTCCAGCATATACAAGGCGTGCCACCAGATCTTGTTCTTTTGAATGAACACGAAGAGGTAAAGTTACTTTTTTCTATTTTTTTTTTTTACATTGAAATCAGCATTTTATCTACATCTTGTCTTTCCTTGTGAATCGAAATCTGTTATTTTCATTGATTTATCTTTATTGCAGGAGATAGAGCGGTTGCCACTTGCAAAATTAACTCGGGACGAATGTAACGAACTGCTTGTTTTAAAGGGCTTTAAAAAGCAGTCTAAGCCAGTGAGAGACGAGGTATAGGCAACGAATGTACATAGCACATGAAGGGATCGAAGCGAAGACCTTTGTTTCTATGTAAGGATCATGATTACGAATTATGGAGCGTGGCACGATAATAATTGAATTATTATAAAATTTCATGGTACGCTCGTTTGGACATAATTTCTGTTGTTTGTTTGCAGTGTTTAAGGAGAGTGCGAAATATTCAATGGTACTTCCTTAATGTAAGGAATGTCATGCAACATGGAAAGAAAACGGTACAGTGCAGAAAATATGTATCGCTTGTCTTGCACAATTATAGAAAGTGATAGTATTTATATACTCGAGTCTGCACACTATAGATGATTAATGTAGGAATGGTCCAACGCACAAATTGCTATTTTTCATTGATCCAGTAATATGTAGACTAGGGGAACTCGTATCAACCCCTTTGGAGCTGCAATCTGTGATACAACCGCTAGAGCCACAATGGGATAGATTCATCTTTCCCGGTATGCTTGGGCTGCTTAGTTATCGACATTTATTTTTTATCACAATGACGCCATCTCATTAATTTCAAAGTACTAGTTTGTAGTATTCTGCGAATTTCTCCGATGGTTATAGTTATCCATATGTTTAATTTTCTATTACACCTTGGACGAAACATGTCAGTGGAACATTACATCTGCATATATTGTTCATAGATGTTACTTTTAATGTGCCATTAGATTCACCATGACATTGCGTAACTCCATGAAGTAGCTTGATGCTTTCTCAATATGTATTGTACATGATTACTCCGCTCTTTCCCAAAATTAAAGGAAATGATTTTGCACTAAGGTGTTGGCACAAAAAAATACGAAGGCAATGCAAGATGCAAAATTGAGATTAAGTGCTCAAATGTTACGGGGAGTCCTATCATCGGAATCGTTGGTATTTACATACAGCCACTGTGCGTGAAAAAATAAACTAACATAAAATGAGCATAATATTAAGTAGCAAATATTTGTCATTTCTCCGTTAGCGAATCATATGTTTTCCGCCCTCGTCAAGTTTATCGCCGCAAAATCTACCCTATTTAAGAAAATTTGCATCTTGCAAAATTTATTGGTGTTATGTATTATCAATAAATTACCTTACCTCGATAACAATTGTCACTCTGTTAAATAACTGTTATTATCTGCCAACCATCCTAGTGAACGTGTAATTTACAGGAATTCAACAAAGCTTATTAAATGCAGTTTATTACGGTAACGATGCAGCTGTCGATGTTACAATTCTCAACCTTGAAAATGTTTTCCATGGCAAATTCGTGATCGGAAAGCAGTCTCGTTCATCTTATACGAGTAGAAGTGTCCCAGAAATCTTTAAAAATGTGGTTTTCGTGTTCTCCTTAGTAAGTTTCTACACATTGAATCGTTAAATTTTGGATTATCTGTACAGAAAGCATGGGGTTTTCTTTTATAGAAGCACTTCGATATTGAGTCGATCAAAGTTGATGCATATAAAATTCTGAATGTAACAAGACGAATGCTACAATGACGTACTCATTGCACAAGTTTTGATTACCTTATCCATATCTATACTATGTTACATTCTGCACCTCTGGCCACGTACACGCGTGCTTACATCGATGAAATTAAATTGATTATATTTATAAACTATCTTACAAACTATTTAATATATATACATTCCAAACCTATTATATATATATACTCCGATAAATAAAAAAAATATATGTATGATTCGAGGAGACTATTCGTGGTTTGCAGTGACATTATAATAATTTAAATTTCTTAACATGTGGATATATATATATCCATAGGTATCTTAATACATGATAGTCAATCCTTTGTAAACCTCGACACAATTCGGGCACATACCACATATTTATGTATATATACATTACTGTGTATATATTTATACACAAATTCAGTTTGTTAACGTGGCCCAATTAATAAAAATGAAAATAAGTATTGTAAATATAGGTACAGCGATGGGATAATGAATAACTATACAGCATTTAGGAAAACGTAGTAACAAAAATGTGTACCAATCATTATTATAAGAGACAGGAAATTCAATTTCAATTAGTTACAATGAGAAAGATTTGATCTATTCCATAACTCAATGTTTAAATAAAACATTAAACTATTGTCTTATTTTCTGTGAAATCAAAGTCAAAACATAAAATTTTGCTAGTAATGAGATGAATAGATGTTCCAAAATTGTGGAGCAATTATCCTGATACGTGTTAACATTTATAACAATTGTGAATGAAATTCATTGATATCGTACAAGAATGACATGTGAATGTATTCATAAAGGTGCAGCGGGCCAGAGTTCTCCTTCAGTGATACAATCCGAAAGATTTTATATCAGTATTATTAGTCCAGCATTATTCCGAGTATGAACGCCACAGCTAGGAAAAAGAAGATCTTCGAAAGGAATTGGTCCGATTCATATTGTGGTGTACCACGAGGAGCTATAACAAAATGAGTACAATTTATGAATGGGAGGTATCGAAAAATATGCAAATTTATTATGCTAAACTATGGCGAAATTGATTATATATCCAATTAAAAATGATTAACTAGGTAACAAAAATGTGAAGAAAATGTTACCGCAAGATACATTTACCACTCTTCACCTGCACTCGGTCGTGTTTCTCCAAAATTGAATGTTGAAGTAAAAAATCCAAAAGGGAAGGCTCCGATTCCAAAGGACATATGAAACCCACCATCGTTGAAGCCAAATCCGGGAAATCCTACATTAGATTCAGGTTCTGACCGTTGTCCAGCTGGACGTGGTGGAACGTTATTTCTGTTAAACGGGGTAATAAATTAGTAAGGTTGATTTTGGTATGAAATCGAAATTTCTTGAAAAGGGTCTATTTCTGAACTCATTTCATTATTAAATTTGTAGCACAAACCTTGGGTCTTCTTGTTTCGTAGCGCCTCGACCGTACAATGGAATGACCTTTTCTTTGCTGATAGCCGCTTTGCACACAGGACACACTTGCCGCACCGGCCGAGTCTCTAGCCACTGATGAAGACATGGCCAACTAAAAATCAAATCGTTGCATCATCCAATAATGACGATACTAATTTAACATAGTAAAAGTAATGTTTCAAATACTGCCTAGAACATACCAGAATAAATGGCCACACATACTGACAACTGCATCTTTCGCAGTATCAAGGCAAATATGGCATTCGAACATACGGTCATCACCTTCTTTCTCGTCAGATGCCGATCCCGAGGGCTTTGAGGGCCCAGGCTGTTGCTTTGCCGTACTCATTATCTGTTTGCACCTTATGGAAGAAAATACATAACCGTTCAGTTCACAACTCTTCCAACCTTTGATAGGTCAAACCTGTTAATTCTACGTAAATACAATCTGCATAGAGCGAGGAAACATGAATATGTAAATTTCTTTCTATAATGAATGCATGTACTCCAATAGTTCAAAATAATTAAATTCATATTACTGCTTGTTTATCAATGTCCCTTGACCTTGAGCCTGCGTCACTGCCTAGGTAAACATTTTTTTTGACATCAGTGGTAGCCTATTCTTAATATGATAGTGTAATTTACCAAAGATCTTAACGCAATTTTCACAAAACTATATATTCCAACTACAAAATGAAATAGATTAATCCGACATTGATGGCATGCATGCTCCAATATGCTCACATAATATGAATTGAAATTCTCACAGTAGTAGTTACACAGCCGTGGAATGTATCCAAAAAATCGTTTGACAGGTCACTCGATTGCGATGTGTGTTAATTCGGTTTGTCAATTTGATAGGCTTAAAAAAGAAGCTTTTTTTAGAAACCTTCGAAAAAACTTACACAGATCTCCAGTTCAGAATGTACAGAGCATTAATCGGCACGGCTCAAAAATTTGTCAGACGACAGAACGCTCGAGACAGTGAGATTCCAGAAATTGCGCAAGTACTAGCAGATGATTTTCATGATTTCGCTCAACGGACGGATGCGGGAAACACCACGTAAGACGTCTACAAGCCACTAATCGTTAACACGTGAACAATGGCACCTGGACTACTCCACTTTCCTCGGTTTATCGATGCTTACTCTTTACGTATTCTTCGGCAAACCGTGCGATTAATTCCCTTATTTACGCATAACTTGAGTTCCGATAAGAAACGGAACTGATCTTTTGACTAGCTGTTAAATATGGCGTAGTCGATCCTGCCTTATCGAACCGGACACTGAAGAATTATGCGAAATGTTGGAGAGAACAGCTATTAGATGTCGCCACTATCTGGCAAAAACTTGTCCAAACTTGAAAACCTGAATACAGCCAGGATTAACAAAGGAAAATATCCTAAATAATTTATAGCAATTGTTTTAGAGTTTATTACAAGGCATTGTAATTTAACGCGATGATTTAAAAATATGTATACCCTCAATACCCTCTATAGTCGTCGTAAAGAATTATTTATTTGGGGTTCAATATTTAAATTTCACGGGTCATCAGCGCCATCTTCTTTCAAGATGCGACCCACGTCCGAGGTTCGTTCCACCGTTGGTAAAATCGTTCGTGATCAGTGCCATTTTGGCATTCGGGTAGCACGCGTGCCACATAGGTCGGCGGTCTCCAGGAACTTCTCGTCGGTGAGCGTAATCATGGCGACGGTCTCCTCGTCGCGACTAGACGATCTCATCGAGACCGTTAGCTTGCACAATCCTCGAAGCTTGTTCTGCAGAGGGTACGTTCTGCCGTTCGCCGTTCTGCAGGTGGCCTGGATTTACAACTGGATCTTTGTGTATGGGATCGACCGGTATTACGACGACGGTTTGGTGGGCATCGCGGTTATTGGGGTGCTCCAGATTTTCATCTGCCTCTGCTGCCAGTGGTCCGTCCACATACACTGTTTCATTAACTGCAGTTCGGTAAGATATCCTGGATGTGTCATAAGAGTTTTCCAACTTGGTAACACGTGCCTAACCTACGCATTTGAGTCCTTTCGACAAACGTGGCGAACAGTGATCAGCTTTTTCCACGCTAAACTGCTGTGTACGCGACCGTGAGGCGGGAAATTCAAATCTTTATTCCCAGGAGACTTTATTTTGTATTCATGAGATGTGTGCGTCAACGTATGCATGATATACATAAAAAAGTATGCATTTGTGATTTAGCATGACGTTTCTTTTTTTAGTGCAATAATCCGTACAATGCGAAGCTTGCTAAGGTAGTACCTACGCCGAATAATGGTTCTTCGGAGCTGGTGACTTTGCAACACATCAATGATCAGGAGCCTTGGTTCATTTTTCAAAAGACAAAGTATTCGTGGGATCCCACGAAAAAACAATTTCGGAGCTTGGAGTTTCCAGTAGATCGTACCGTTCGACAGTACCGGGATTGGAAAGGCTACCTTGATGAAAATGAAGTCGCAGCGGCAGAGTCTACATATGGGAAAAATAAGTGAGTTTTATAATAATTGTTTTGATAAATGATTTGAGGTGAAAGTTTTGTAAAACCCTAAACATTGTTTTCTTTACCTAGATTGGATATGGTGGTGCCGGAATTCTGGCAGCTTTTTAAGGAACGAGCCATTGCTCCGTTCTTTGTTTTTCAAGTTTTCTGCGTGGCTCTGTGGTGTCTCGACATGTATTGGTATTACAGTATATTCACGCTTGTTATGCTTATTATGTTCGAGTGTACGTTTGTACAACAGCAACTTCGATATATGGCAGAAATTAGAAAAATGGGAAATAAACCCTACATGATAATGGTTCGTGGGTAAAATCTCTAACAAATCGCTGTAATCCAACTCGGGTATTAGCGGTTAAAAATGTTTAATCTTATTTAATGTTGCAAAGGTATACAGATGCAGACGGTGGCGACTGATACTCACCGATCAACTAGTCCCAGGAGATATAGTCTCGATAACAAGGTCTCAAAATGATAATCTTGTACCCTGTGATATGCTCTTATTAAGAGGTCCATGTATAGTAGATGAGAGTATGCTAACAGGTAATGTACGACAATTTTAAATCTTTTATAAGGTATGAATATTTTCAAAATTAAATTAAAAAATATATGACAGGTGAGTCCGTTCCCCAGTTGAAGGAACCTGTAGAAGATCTTGAACCCGACAGGGAACTTAACATTGAAGGAGAAGATAAACTTCATATTTTATTTGGAGGCACTAAAGTTTTGCAGCATACCCCACCTGGCAAGAATACTGCTGGTCACAGAGGTAGACAAGAATTAACAAAATTATGAACAAACATGAACTTACATTGAGTGAACATTAAACTAATGTTTATTTAGCATCCGACAATGGTTGCGTGGCGTACGTTCTACGTACAGGATTTTCTACATCGCAAGGAAAATTGTTGAGAACGATATTGTTTGGAGTGAAACGCGTTACGGCGAATAATCTCGAGACGTTTGCTTTCATCCTGTTTCTATTAATCTTTGCCATTGCGGCGGCTACTTACGTTTGGATTAAAGGTGAGTCACATTGAGGAATAAAATTATTATTGACAAGTAAGAAATTAAGTATTAATCGTTTAATTTAATTTGACATTTAGGAAGCGAAGATCCAAAGAGGAACAAATATAAGTTGTTCTTGGAATGCACTCTTATTCTAACATCCGTAGTTCCTCCAGAATTGCCGATTGAGTTGACATTAGCTGTCAATAGCTCGCTACTAGCGTTATCAAAATTAGGTATATTATGTCTAGCAATAGCATTAGATTTTAATTTAGTGTATTGTTTGCGCGTTACAAGACATTTTATTCTTTTATACAGGAGTGTATTGTACCGAACCATTTAGAATACCATTCGCTGGAAAAGTCGAAATTTGTTGTTTCGATAAAACGGGTACTTTGACAAGCGACGACTTGATCGTGGAAGGTGTAGCTGGAATTGAGTACGTCATTTCCTTTGGTCAATTTGAACGTCTCGATGTCATGTCAAAGTCTCAAATTTTTAATATTTCAGTGACAGTTCAGAGGTGGTACAACTTGCCGATGCACCATTAGAAACTTTGCAAGTATTAGCAACTTGTCATTCCCTTGCTCAACTTGACGACGGCATTGTTGGAGATCCACTTGAGAAAGCCACGTTAAAGGCTGTGAATTGGAATCTCACGAAAGGTATGACGAATGGGTTACCACATTTCATATTACACGATAAGGGCTGTACTTTGACATTATTATTTGTATTTTATAAAAGGTGATGCTGTGATTCCTAAAAAAGGGAAATGTCCAGTTCTTAAAACCATCCAGAGGCATCATTTCTCCTCCGCATTAAAACGAATGTGCGTAGTGGCTGGTTACACGGTTTCTGGGACTTACGACGTTCAGTACATTGTCACAGTGAAAGGAGCTCCAGAAGTAATTAAAAATATGGTAAGTACTCGATGTAAAAAATTTTAAATAACCTCTAGACATATTTTGACTACAATTCATGGGTAACAAAATTGATGAAGCAATGCTAACATAGCCTAATCTAAAAAATGACAGAGTGATTAACTCATCTCTTTTAGCTCGCCACCGTTCCTGAAAACTATGATGCAATATATTTGTCTTTGTCCCGTCGTGGAGCTAGAGTCTTAGCACTGGGACATCGTAAATTGCCGGCTTCCCTGTCATCTCAAGATTTAAGAGATCTAACTCGTGAAGATCTGGAAAAGGATCTATCATTTGTGGGGTTCGTCATTATAAGCTGTCCTCTTAAGCCTGACTCCAAATCAGTGATTAAAGAAATCATCAATGCCTCGCACTCGGTACATTGAAGGATACTTTTTAACTGTCTGATTTTGATGAAGACCATTTAAAAACAGGCCTCCTTATCTTTCAGGTAGTTATGATCACAGGTGATAATCCTCTCACTGCTTGTCACGTGAGCAGAGAATTACATTTTACGAGAAAACCTGTGACGCTGGTATTGACAATGCTGGATGACACTTGGATGTGGGAGAGTGTGGATCAGACGATACGGTTGCCATTAAGTTCCGAGGTTTCGCACTCCAAAGTTAAAGAAATATGGAAAAATTATGCGCTGTGCTTAACTGGAGAGGTTGACTATTTCTATTAATTGCTCGATGCACAGTGAATGGAAAAGTGATAGAAATTTATGATTTTTGTCTGCTCAGGGGCTGACTTATCTCAATGAGAATAACAGGCATCTTCTTCGTGTATTGTTGCCACATATTGTCATATTTGCGAGATGCGCTCCGAAGCAAAAAGAATTTATTGTCGTTACGCTACAAGACCTGGGATATACGACACTTATGTGTGGAGATGGCACAAATGACGTAGGAGCCTTGAAACACGCTCAAGTCGGTATGTAAATATATTCTACCTAAAGTTAAGGAAATTTTACATTTAATTACGAAATGGAATATTATTTATTAGAATGTGTTAATTTCTAGGAGTGGCCATTTTGTCTAGTTCCCCTGAAAAGATGACGGTCACGAAGAAAGACACTACATCCAATAGTAGTGGTACAAGCAGTAGCGTAGGCAATTCTTTGCCACCTAGCAATGGCTCGCGATTAAGTTCGAGGCCACAAGTTAATAATACGCAGTTGAGGATACAGAAAATGTTAAAAGATCTGGAAGAACAGGAGCAGATGATTGTTAAATTAGGGGATGCCTCCATAGCAGCTCCATTTACTAGTAAAATGTCGTCTATCCAATGCAGTAAGTTTTTCTGCGTTATTTGTTTTCACTGTTTCATGTTAGCGATGAGAACTTTAAAGAAATTAAGACATGTAATTAATTTGACGCTATGTTAATTTTTATTGTTTCAGTTTGTCACGTGATAAAGCAAGGACGATGCACGTTGGTTACGACTCTGCAGATGTTTAAGATACTGGCATTAAATGCGCTAATACTTGCATACAGTTACTCGGTGCTGTATTTAGACAGGATAAAATACAGCGATGCCCAGGCAACGCTGCAGGGCCTTTTATTGGCCAGCTGTTTTCTGTTCATATCGCGTTCAAAACCCCTAAAAACTCTGTCCAAGCAAAGGCCGCTGCCAAATATATTCAACGTATACACAATATTGACTGTGTTATTACAATTCGCAGTGCACTTTATTTGTCTGATTTATTTGGTGCGGGAAGCTGCTATTATATCGCCTAGGTGAGAAATCAACTGTGAATTTTAATTTACAATGTTTAGTTTGTTTTAATCCATAATATTATGATATCACTGTTGGTGAGTTAATTAGTAATTATTCCGAAGTCTTGATTAATTATTTATTATTTTCAAAGGGAGTCTAAATTAGCAGCTATCCTAGCCCCGTCTAATCAAACAGAATTATCTTCTACGAATTCCACTACAAGCCAGGACGAGGATGAGGATGCTTTCGAACCTAACTTATTAAACAGCACGCTGTACATTATATCGATGACACTTCAAATATCTACCTTTGCTATAAATTACAGGGTAATTAAAATTTATTCCTGCATTATTGTTCAAGTTGATACGGCGTAATTTTAATTTGTAAACGTTATTTATTTTCAACAGGGCCACCCATTTATGGAAAGCTTAACCGAAAATAAAGCTTTACTCTACGTTCTCCTGGGAAGTTTCGTTGGCATTTTAGTACTAGTCTGTGGGCTCATGCCAGATGTAGCCGTTTTATTCGAGATTGTTGAATTTCCAAGTGATGTAAGACATGTCTCTTACATTATTGCTTGTTCCTTAAAATTATTCCTATTGAGAGGGCATTATTTTTTTTTATATTTAAATTTCTACTAAATGACGTTTTTTTTGTGATTTTTTAGTTCCGAAGGACTCTAATCATGGTGCTGATAGTGGACTTCGTTCTGGCATATGTTGTCGACAGAACGTGCAGGTGGTTATTTGGCGAAGGGAAGCATCGGAAGCTGTGATCTAGCATTTGTTAAGAGACACCGGACTTTAATCTCTCAAGAGAGTATACTCAATATTTCTGTACTCAGGTGCGTGTAGGTGAATTTGTTCCAAGCAGGTGAATCATGCAATGGAGTTTATCGATCATGATTCCAGATTGAATGGTATCGATCGTTTGCCCCAAACTTGCGATTGCGACGTATAATGATTTTGTTTTTATCAAAGGCTTACTCGGCATATCTTTATTGCGTCTAGGTGTGGTCTTTGATAAGCGTTGCAAACTTGCCCCACGCTGAAATCGTGTTATCGTGCAATGCGGTTTTTAGATTCAAATCTGTTATCACTCGGCAGGGGAATCATTTCTACGGTCGGTGATTTTTAGTTTGTAAAGTATTCCAGAACTTGTATGAAAAAATTGTCGTTGCAAATAGGTGTTAAATGTATGCAATGTATCAGTTGATTAGCATTTTATTAACAAGACTTATTTCAATTTCACCAATTTTTCCAAATGTGTCTCGGCTCTGTACAGGCCTTCGGAAACTTTCATCTGAGACAGGTGTATGTTAAGTTGTTCATTGATGGGGTAACGAATTTCTCACCTCTTTTTATAACGTTTAGTAGGCAATATATTTTGTAAAATATTTCGAGCTGAAATGTACCGAGAAAAACGCGTTAATCATTTTCAGAGGCGAGGATTGATTTTGGAACGTTAATATTTATAACGTAAGTAGATTTTAATTTGGTTGGGAGTTCAACCTAAGAGCACTCTTTCCCGCCTGTAAAAATAGACGTAACGTTTGTACTTTAGTATTTCATCACTGCGATATCATATTTTATAGCGAAAGTGAACCTGAAGTAAAAATGCCTCACGCGCATTCTGAAATGTAAGAAATACAATCGAATACTAAAGTAAATAAGGTCAAAACAGTATTTCTTTTATAGTGGTTGTAGGAATTGTGGTGTTACGGTGAATAATAGAAATTATTGAAGTAAGTAACTGCGTCTCTGAAAGAAGATGCAGCAAAGTTCGAAGGTGGGAAAAGTATAGAACCGCAGTCGCCATATTTTTGGTAAGGGCCCGAATAAAAATCTGTTCCGGAAACAGATCACAACTTTTAAGACATTCCATTATTTTCGTCTCGTTTGTAGGTGAATATTTGTGATGAGGGAGAAGGAAGAGATAGAGGAACAGTGATATGTCGTTTGCTCCGTTAAAATAAGCAAGTGTTAAAAGAAACGTTCTTTTCACTACGGTAAAATTAATTTTTTTTTAGAGAAGTGTTCGTCGTGTCCAAATTTTAATGTAACTTTTCAGTGTCATCTTAATTTTCATGTCCATTTAAATCATGAAACACCTTCATTCGGATCATTTGATGTGCGGTCTAATGACGAATCAAATTATACTCTGAAGTTATTTGTTTAGGTGTACGAAGCGAATTACCTGAAAAATAGGATCCAAAGTTAGTAGATTATGTACCTTTGTAAAAAAATTCTGAACATTGTGAAACGTTAGTAATTCGGTTCCGAAGGAGGGTAATGGTTATGCATGGTATTGGTATTAAGGGTAGATGATTATCATTGTACCATACGCGTTTACGATATCAATAATGATCAATAAACATCAGTCCTTTGAGCGAAAGTTACGACATGGTTGAAGAATCACATCTTTTTACTGTAACGGACGGCGTTAAAGTGTGTAAAAAAAAATGGTGGAAATTTAGCAACGATTTTTTACGCGACACGGTTGTCTGGAAAGGAGGAATATGGGAAAATCGTATTTTGCAATCTCGTTCGATGCAAAACTGCACTCTGCGCTGACCTCGTAAAAAACTTCATTACGCAGAACTTTGCCAGCGTCGAAATTAGTTTATTTACAGTCGTTCGTCACAAACGAGCACCCATAAACGAATCCAAGATCCTTGATAACCGGGGTGGTCTTAAGATCGCTTAAATTGCAAACTTTTTCTTTATCGAATCGCCGGCTTCATTTAGAGCAATAAAATTCAATGGAAGTCTGCGACATTGATATAAAATAAAAACGTAGAATAAGTGTACCTTCGGACGCACAAGACTCGATATGTAAATCTGATCGTTAACATTTAGCCTTTTAAACCACCGCATAAATTTGCATGCCGAATTCACCACAAATGTTAAGTTATTCTGTACCAGTCCGGTACAGGTATGACATCCGAAGTTGAATTAATGGCTTATCGCGACCAGTGACGAGGTTAAAAAAAATAAAATCAGCGAGATACTCTAGGAATGTGATAACAGCGTCGAAGGAAATTACCCGAGGTTGTTATATCCGATCGACGTGTGCAGAAGATTAAATCGAAATATTTTACAATTACGATAATAATTATGAAATTGTAAATCGGCAGTCGGGAAAAAATGCGTCTTCTTAGAGCCATGATTTAGATGTTAAGAGCAACTGGTCTCAAAGCTCGAGTACGTGTACCGAACTCGGACTTTCTGGTTAACTTTGAACCTTTAATGGTTTAATTGAACGATTAACGCGTGTGTCAACAATTGTGCCGAGGCTGGTATATTCGCTGCGGTTATCATTCCGCCGTCTAGCCGGCGTGGAAATAAAGCTTGGCCGAAACGCGATCGGATTTTGGTTCTCCAATTCGACGGCTGTTATTGGTGGGCCGCTCCTTCTCCGGACGCAGCTCTGGAGGGAGTCGAGGCATTGCGGAATTTTTCTTCATCGGCGATCTTGAGAATAGTATTCGCTTCGGCGAGCAAACCGGTCGCAGCTGAGTCGCGAGCCTCGTGTCTCGCGTTTTCCGCAATTCTCCTGTACTTCACTAATGCACTTTCTGGCCCTGTCCGTTGTCAGCTCGTCCCCCAGAATTTCGGCGTAAATTCAGGATTGCCATTGCTGGTGACCAATAACTTTCTTCGGCGACTCGAGGATTGCTTTTACGTTTCCTTCCCACCGGTTCCTCATTTCCTTCGGGTCCGTGTCGATCTTATCAGGCTCTCGGTGGAATTCGGTTGACGATCCGGACGAGGGATCCCTCAGAGACGAAATGCTCAGCCGTGGCCGTGGTACACCGACTGTTTCCTCAGCCAACTAAATATAAGCAGGGACTATTTATAAAGTTTAAAAGCAAGTAGAGACTGTGTGTCGTGCAGTTATCGCGTACACACGTGGGCGCGTTGCCGATGACCCCGTAACACTCGTGTTGTTCATAATAATCGGTTATCACCGATTTTGGGAGGGCGCTGACATTCTTGAGAGACGAGGTAAGGTGAATTACGTTAGGTCTCATATTCTACTCGCTTTGTACTTTCTAGCGGGTTTTCTTAGCCGAGTTTCTGAACTTTCTACACCTCTCGCCGAGTGCGGCGGTACCTGGAACAAGAGTAATCAGATGCAGGAATACTTGATCTTTAATGCACATGCACGTGCACGTGGCTCGGCTCCCCAAAAATCAAAATACTTGTAAAAAATTCTATCTACGTGCTTGGTTGACATAAAGTCTCAAGCATGACGATCGCATCGCATTTTCATGGTAATTCCGTTTACGACCGATGCACGATCCATTAACTTCTTTCACTTCTTTCAACTACTGACTCTCGACCTGATGCATCGCTCGGCAGGCGTTGTCGATTTCACCTCGTTAACTTTTAATAATCTCAATGGAACAATCGGAGCACTTAGGCGAAAGTCTAGTGCTCCGTCATTCGGTTGCAATGAATTATTCAAGGGGATTAAACTTTCATTCACGTTTGACTCGTGTCGTTTCGGGGTTGCAGATGATCGAGCAACCGGAAAGGTGGTATTTCCATTGGGCGGACTGGCTGGTGTTCGTCTTGATGCTCGTCATTTCGGCAGCTGCTGGACTCTGGCACTTCCGTCGAGCCCAAAAATCGAACACGGAAGAATATTTACTAGGGGGGAATAAAATGGGTCTATTTCCGGTCTCGGCTTCTTTAATCGCCAGGTAAGGGCAAAGGTGGTCGCATTGTAAACCGGGGAATTAATTCAAGGCATACTTTACCGATCATGTCGATATTTTTCAGCTTTATTTCCGGCGTGACGATACTCGGAACTCCTGCCGAGATTTATAACTTCGGAACGCAATATTGGATCACTATCATTTCGATATTACTTTCCGGAGTCGCTGTCAGTACGATTTATCTTCCGGTCTTTACGACGCTAAGGCTCAATTCCGCTTATCAGGTTTGTCGAGAGGGTTTATTCCTTTATCGGTTCTGGAAGAATAAATATTTTCGAGAGTTTAATTGTAAAACGGCGTGGATCAAGAGGTGTCGATGATGGTACTTTTTTCTTTTCTTTCAGTATCTCGAGATCAGATTCAACCGCTCTGTCAGGATTCTTATTTCCATGATTTTTGTCATCGACGTGGTAAGATCGTAATGCCTACATAACCGGATTGACGTTCCGATTTTACAACCGTACAGTAGGACATTGAGAGACCAAAATTATTCATTTCCTATAATAATGAGACCACTGTCATTGATATCATACTGTCACATTTGATAAGGGGGTCGAAACGTCAATTCTTTAACACGCAGAAAATAGTGATATTTATAATTCTACCTTCCACAGTAATTATCACGTATTGTTTCCCTTTCCTTTAAATCTTCCTAATAGACCTACATCGATCCCAAAATAATTGTGTCGTAACATCGCTCAAATGATTTTAGGTGTTGTATCTATCAATTGTAATTTACGTACCTGCTCTGGCGCTCAACCAAGGTACGAATTAATTATTTTTTTTTTTCTTCGCAAAGAAACCATTGCACTCGTATACTCTCGCTGTAATTTAGACAACGTGTAACATCTTTCTGGAAGTAAAATTAAGATTAACAGAAATTCTCCGAGTAAGCGAATAAATAATACCGCCGCGGATTAGGAGAGTTACGACGAAGTCTTAGCGTGAATAATCACATTTATCTGGAATTACCTCGTTTTAATGATAATTCCAAGCGCGTCCTGCTTGTGTAGATTCGTGTAATAATTTTTATTCACTCTTGCAGTGAGTGGCATAAACGTTCATCTGATCGGATGCATCGTCTGCGGGATTTGCGTGTTTTATACGGTGATGGTGAGTAAAGGATAACGAATAATTTTTCTTCGTCCGCAGAAGCGAATTTAGAAATTTACGTCTCCTTGGACGAGGGCGTTGAAAGTTGATCGTTGAACCGGAGTTCCTTCTTCGGCGCGTCTAGTCGTTTCTTTGTAATTCAGCTGTAACGTGTGTGCACGTACGAGTACACGTTATGCAACGGTCCAGTTGGTATAATTGAGTCATGAACGAGCCAGGGATCACTTTTTCTTTGACCTGAAATTACTAGTAATTCCATCAGGGACGCGTACAAGTCCGTGGGAATAATTTCTTGACTCTATTTCTGCTATCTCAGAACGCTGAGCAGTTCGGTCTCCAGGTCCGGAATTTTCCCATTGAAAGCCACTTTGGGTACGTCGAGAGAAGAAGCTCATGCCCCGAGCTAGGTGAAATGTTTATGGAGGGAAACTGCAAAAGGCTACAATGGAAGCGCGAAACAATGGCGGACCGTCGAGTGGTTGCCGTTGGAGTCGCGCGGTTCACGAACCACAAACTGAAGTGATTAATCGCCCTGGCTGCCTCGTAATTATCCGAGCAATTTGTTCAACTCCAAATTAATGAAAATTTATCGCGGCTGAGTGACTCTTTGTAAATTGTTTATTATGCACCTCGGCGCGAGCAAGGCTGAGGCCTCGATTATCGCGTGCCAGGGCGCAGCCTTTGAAATTCCCGGAAAGCTACATCATGGAAATTCAATCGAACTCCTATGAACGTGCGTTACGAACAATTTGACAACTATTCCCCGCGGGAATTAATAATGCGAGGTTAGAGGCGCAGGACAGGCTGGAAGGCGCGTCGAGGAAGGAGAATTTTCTGACGGACCGTTTTTGTCCTTAATCGTTCCATGTCTTCCTAAGAAATTTCCGTGGACCTTGCGAAATCATCAATTATTCAATGCAGAGGAATTTAGAGGGTGTCGGTGTTCGGTGACTTTTAGAAAACCGCGAGGCGTTGATGTCCGCATCTGGGGACGCCATTTTGGTCCACGAGTAGAAACTTGCGGATCTTCCCCTATTAACGGACAAGATTTAATTAATTATGCGTTAATTCCTGTTTAGGGCGGCCTGAGAGCTGTGGTGTGGACCGATGCTCTTCAGGTCGGTATCATGATAGCAGCCGTGGTGACAGTTACGGCTTTAGGAACTTACGAGCTGGGAGGACCCGTCGAAATCTGGCGAAGAGCCACGGAGGCCAAAAGAATCCAATTTCTGAAGTAAGCTCGATGCTTTATTTCTCCTCCCTTTTCACGTGCAACAATCCTCGTAAGAATTTCATCCAAAGCTTTTTACCTGGGAATTCACAAAAATCTTAATTGGAAATAAATACGACCTTTCAGCTTCGATCCCTCGCCGTATACAAGACACACGGTATGGACGGTGTTGATTGGTACTTGGTTGTACAGTACCGCATACATCTCTGTTAATCAGACGATGGTCCAGCGATACAGGTCTTTGCCAGACACGAAGACATCCCAACTGTAAGTGAGTACGATGCTGTATTTTTAAATCCTGCAAACCGATTGAGGTTCCTTAGATCATTCGGATAAAAATATGAAACGAGAAGGCGCCAAGTTGGTGCCTCGTTTGTTAACCTCGGCAGCGACGTCGTTTACGACACAAATTACCTAGAGCGGTTATCTGAAAATGCATCTATTTTGTAAACGATGCAAGCGAGACGTAAATTAACTCCTTAAGCGAAACAAGTGTCTTGTTTGTTAACCTCTGCAACGACGCTATTCGCTACACGTCAAGGCTGTATCCATTATCAGGAAGAATCCGATGATGAGAACGATCGTTTTTTTTCGAGAGTAATTCAGCCGCATGAATTATTTCTTTTTTGCCATTTTGCATCCCGGAGACCTTGAAATAAAAATTACAAGTCTTTATAAAAATTCTTAAATTATTTCTATATTCACCTCGAGAGCGGATCTTCCCAACACGACGGTGATATACATTTATTATTGACCTGTATGACTCGTGTTACAGTGCCGTAGGAATATTTACAGTTGGCGTAATGTGCTTCATCTCTACGTGCTGCTGGTGCGGTTTGGTTCTCTTGGCTTGGTGGGCCTCGCCAAAGTGCGATCCGAGAGCAACCGGCCTGATAACAGCTGACGATCAGCTGTTACCAGCTTACGTGATGGAGATAGCCGGTCATCTCCACGGGGTACCAGGACTTTTCATTTCTGGGATCTTTGGAGCAGCTCTGAGGTAAAGTGTACCAATCCCCGGTTTCTAGAATTACGAAACACACAATGGGTGTACTTTTAAGCTTACTCTTTTTTTTTACTCTGTTTTTAAAGCTTACCATTCTCCTTTCTTTCCAGCACTCTTTCGGTTGGCCTGAATTCGACGTCGGTGGTCCTCTTGGAAGACTTCGTGAAAGGCTGTTTCCAGCTGAAACCCAGCGACAGATGTGCTGCGATTTTTGTCAAAATCGTGGCAGTATCCCTCGGAGTATTGGCTCTGGGCTTCGTCTTCCTCGTGGAAAAATTGGGAGGCGTCCTAGCAGTGAGTTGATCGGTTCAATCGAACTATCGGATTAATTATAAATATAGAAAATTTACTCGCTGTCCAGGTCACCGGAAGTCTAGCTGCAATCGCTGCTGGGACCAGCTTTGGAGTCTTCAGTTTAGGGATGCTGTTCCCGTGGACCAATTCTAAGGTAAAATACGGGAAGCATCCTGGAAGGAAAAATTAAAATCATCAGTCAATCATTTCCTCACGTTCCATAAAAACGACGCTGTACAATTAGGTACAGCTCATTGTTAGTTTTGCGGTTTAAGGCGACGCGAGACTCGCTCTTTGAGGCCGGCCTTGGATTAAACCGGCGGTTTGATTAAAGCCCTGGGAATTTTGTCTGTTACCGCATACAGGGTGCATTTGTGGGTGCCATTGCAGGATTCGCGATCGCCGGATGGTCCAGCCTTGGAGCCAACGCCTCCCTGGGGTCCGGACTCCTGATGCCCAAGAAACTCCCGGTGGACGTCTCCCATTGTCCTGGGAACGTAACCGAAGATTTCCTAAAACAGTTTATGTTTCCTGAGTGAGTTTACCGATTCGTTCTCTTCTCAAGTCCGAGTAAAATTCCCTGACCGCCCCATGGTAAGAACACTTCCACTCTCGGCAGCGAGGAGGATGTGTTTCCCTTGTACCGGTTGTCTTATCATTGGTTCGCCGGATTGGGGACCACAGTGGTCGTCGTAGTCGGAGGCTTGGTCAGCTGGATCACAGGACCTACGGACCCTTCGACCATTGACAGAACCCTTTTATCGCCAGTAATTCACAGGTAAAACTACGGTCGACCGAACCCTGTTATCTGGTTATCAAATTAAATTTCGCAATTCCTCAGATTTCTCCCAGCACCGAAATATGAAGACAGCTCCGAGAGACGCCAATCGTCGACTTCAACGGACACTCAGACGGCGAATTTTTTGTTGAACGACATCGCCAAGAAAACTGGAAGACCCAGTATCATCTCGGAAAAGGTAATAATTGATTACTGACGTCCAAGGTTCAATTATATAAAAGAAATAATATTTTTAGATTAGTATTATTCGGTGGAACATACAAGTAATTTTTTAACAGGTCCGTCAAGTCGTGTCGAATGGCCCGGTTACTTAAGAAGAGATCGGGTGTCTTCGAAAAGAACTCTCATCGGAGCAGCAGGATCTGCTCAGGACGATAAACCGGTAACGCGCGAAATTGTTCTTTACAGAGTATTCTTTTTTTTTTTGATAAACTCTTTTGGATCTAGAGAGAAAACGCGTAGCGTAGTCTTGGAATTATTCCTGCCATTGCCGAACTTAGATCCTAGGTAGCCCTCATGACTATGTACTCTTATACGGCCACAGGTGCATGCTACAGCGCAGTATGTACTGGACATCTTGCTTATTGATATTGACACTTGATTACACCTAAGCGTAATTTAAAATAACTAGTGTAAGAAGGGACTTACAGTATTCGATATCTATGGAGAATTTGAACACTAGTACTTAGGTACATTAGAAGTGTGTTCTGTCAAGTGAAATAAGTCTTTTTATGTATCTACTTATCACGAGTTCTTTATTGTTCCTTTGCAGGCAAGGTTTGGGTCGGGAGTTTGTATATTTACGTGGTTAAATTTCGAGACGACTCGAGATGTGGAAAAAAATTTAGTTCGCTTCGAGGATATAAGATGGTGGTCCGCTGAGAGTGCGTTTCGCGGTCAGGACGAGCGTATACGAGGATGCGTGAATTTACGGAAATGTATACGCGTGCGTGGCACGACCTCGACAAGGAAGAGGGGCTACGTCGGGTTGCATTTAGAAGAGAGACCGTGGCTTGAATGGGGCTAGTTTGAGATTGTTAGCGGGCCTTCAGACGTACAATCGGGCCTCGATTGGCGGGCCTACAATCACACGGCGCATTATACCTCCATTAACGCCCTCACCTTTGCGAATCCGTGCGCGAGGCCTTAAACGGCTGTGGGTTCTTCCTTCGAAACCGCGAGCTCCTTGTGGCCGCGAATAAGGTGGGAAATAATTTCCAATGGAATCACTCGACGCCTTGACTGCCCCACAGGGGTCCCTCGTCGGAGCACTTTCTCTGAAAATTGTATATCGTGGTGAATTATTTAGCCTTCGCCCATAATTAATTGTCTTAATTGTTCCGCTGTAGAGATATAGGGAGTGAAGTTTTTATTACTCACTATTTTCCACTTTTGAGTACCTGCAGTTTTAGCTTCTTCCGAGGTGGTCGTATCTGGGAATTATTCGCTAAGGGAGCTGGATTCCCGCAGGGGCTAATTGGATAGAGGACACTTCGGAGGATTTCGGATTGAAAAGCAAACGGGATGGTCATAACCCTTATCCTTGTTTACCGAGAGGATGGACTGCATCACACCAAGCAGTCGCACCCTGTTACCTAATGATAAGCAAATATTATAGTTTAAGGTTTGCCAAAACTAAGGTCTCAGCATCCGACTCTGTAATAACGGCCGAATGGCCGCCTTGCAGAGGATTCGGTTGTCCTGGTAAGGACCAGTGACTTATTTTATATAAATAAAATTGCACTATAAGAATTACGCGGCCGTCGAGTTCCGCCATCTTGAGAAAACGCTGAGAAATGTTCGAATCTGAAAAATAATCAGCGACCGTTAATTTTGGTTAAAATAATACCCAGTTGCTGTGTTTTAATTACTGAAATCTTCGGAGAGGGGGGATTTGCTGTCTTAAGCAGCTAATCGAAGCGAGAGATGAGGATCCTTCAATGAGAATCGAAAGGAGAAACTTGACTAACTTCCCGAGGGTTTACTTTCCACCCAGAACTTTCGGGGGCGAAATTAACCGCGAAATGCCGCTGGACCGTTCGCGTTATGCTATTTAAAAGAAAACTCCCCAGTTTCCGTAATTTTTAACAGCTTCACTCACCTTTTGCATCAGTAACTAATTTCCATGTTTGAGGACGGGTTACATCTTTTCGTGCGTAGTTTAAATTTTCAAAATGGCGCCGCTTCCTCCAGAGTTCCACTTCCTCCCAGTTGGCGCGAGATGATTTCCCATTTTTCTGGGTAAATATTTTCCACTTCCAGTTAAAATTGTCTGCCGCGCTGAAAGCAGAGTAGCGATAAAATCCTTTATTCACTGATGGAGATAAACGCGGAGCTTTTGGCGTTCGAATTAATAGACACTCAGTAAAGGTACGCGACGTAAACGGACGCGTCCTCGGGAAGCTCAGGTCAAACACGACGCCACCGACCGCCGACGACTAACGGAATAACTAATTTATCAATTCTTCGGTTCGGTTGGCTTCGATTCCCGGAGACTATTTGCAAACTCGTGCAAACAGGGCGCCGAACTACCCGGACTCTGTATCATCGCCATATTTGAACGTAAGGTAGTTTGCGCTGCCTCGAGAGAGAGGAGGGGGAGGGAGAGGGAAAGAGCATCACCTCGAGAATTGGAGAGGACTTCACGCTGTTTGCGAGAGCCTTTAATATTAACTGCGTGTCTCTACCTAGTCCTGTCGAAATACACATCCGGAGTTCCTGGCAAGTGATTGGCTACTTTATCGAAACATTTACTTAATTGCATGAAAATCTATTCCGATGAGTTTTTTTTCCTTTCATATTCTGGCGCCATTTTTGTCCGGTAACGACAGTCGATACGGTTACCGTTGATTGGTCGGCTGGGTCGTCCATTTGGCAACCGGGTTCCGAGAGTTGTCCGAAGATAGCGCCACTGGACTCTGCTAACTAAGAAATCGGCGGTTGGCGGTTTTCCGTTACGAATAGTTCGGTTAACGGTTTTTCGCGAAATGTGGGTAATTGCGTAGTCGGGAAGTGCAGTGTAAATTAATTCGTTTAAACGATCAAACTGTACGTTATAAAGAAGATTACTGTTTCATGCGAAAGCCGATCTGCCTGCGAGTGAACGGAGACTGGAATCGATGAGTATTTCCTTGATTTTCTGCATCTCATCTCGAGTAAAGGGACAAATGCCGTCAGTGTCTCCCTTTGGGCAGATTAATACCGCGCTCGGTAATATTTCACGGTAACGATATTTAGTCGAGACGTCATAACTGTCATCCTGGCGATGGAACGACGTAGGCAGGGAAGACATTAAGCGTAATGAATTACCAGCTGGGAGGAGTAATGTGTCTTAATTACGGCCCCAGGCACAATAATTATGTAATTAGGCATTGTTTGCCGGCCAGCCCCTAATCACAAACCCGAATGTACCAGCCTCGTCGCGACAAACTGCGTTATCGACCGAACTTGCGATTCCGCCTAACCTGATGCAACCTAACCTAACCTTGGGTAAGCACCGGTAAATTAATTTAAATAATTGCGTTTAATAAGCACATTTTTCTTATCTATCGTAACGTCATCGTCAGGTTTAAGAGAATCAATTGCGAAACATCCATTTTAATTTTTGTATCATCTTGTGAAAATTTATCAGTAAGGTAATTTTGTGTACGTTGGGAAGGCCGATTTCCCGCAATGCGCGATTTGCAGGCAAAGATTGAAAAAGTCTCTAATGAAGGTGTGTTTAAACAGGATCGGAGAGCTGCCCTCCCTTAAATGAGACGTTCCATGTGAGGATGGTGCAGGAGACCGGAGGAGCTTTGGATATGCAAATCAGGACCAGGGAGTGGTGTGTGTAACTAAGCCCTCTCTCTCCTGGGCCGCTCTCGCGGTGTCTTCGCGACGTATTTATAACTCCTTCCTTCCCGCCTGGGCGTCGCGGCGTGTCCTGATGAATACCCACCTCAGTCTGTAAGTTTATTAAACTAACTCGCTAGAATTATGAATAATTTCGCGCCCATTGTGCCGGCTCCGGCGTCAGCACAGAGGAGGCGCCGAGATCCATTCGGTGAGCCGTTTTGGCTGGGATCAGGCCGAAAGCTGCAGAAATTAGGGAAAAGGATCTTTAAGAAACTTCGACTCTCTTGAATGAACAATTTTTATCTCCTGCCTGAGAAGCGTTAAGTAATAATTTGTTGCTTGTAAATGTGTTCCGGTAAAGCGAAAGTACGAGGTCGGGTCGCTGGAGCAAATAACAATTATTTGAGGAAGATGTCTCTGCAGGGTAGGCGGTAGTCCTTAATCCGTAAGGCGGGAAGGTGCGAATTGCGGTAAACTGATGCAAATTCTCCGTCTTAACCCCTCGCGGGTCCTTTTGGGGTATTATCGCGAGGGCGAGACCCGGTCGTTGGTTTTGCGAAATTTCGAGCGCTCATGAGACACCGACGCGTGTTTGTCTTACGTTTTAGGCGACTCCGAGAGCTTACGTTTGCTCGAGGAGTAGATCTCGGCTTAGGGATTTGATTTCGCGTATAAATATTAATGAGCAGCTTCCCCATAAATACCGCCTCCGACAACACCTGGAAAACCGCACCAGGTCCCGACAAAAAATCCAGTCAAACACGACGCCCTGGGACTGCAGCTGAGGTCTGTGGAGTTCAGGAAGATAAGGACAAGGACCCGTTACTACGTCTATTTAATACGGAACTATTTACATACGGGAATTATTTAAGCGAAGGCACATCCCCAGCGAGGGGGGAAGAAAATAAAAGGAAGGTACATTTAACGACTCTTTCACGTTTAGCGGCTCTGGAACCGCTTATTAGCCTCCTCTTAAGGCGTTTTCTTGAAAGAGGGGAAGGAGTGCACTTGCCGGTATTTCTGGACGGTTTAACTGCTCATCGGGAAAGGAAGAGAAAGAATGAAGACATGCACCGTACGCGTATATCGGTATCGCGATCGCATGGAAATGAAAGCCCGGTATCGTCCATCTTTACGTACCAAGGGTGGAGGGGAAGATTGAAGGTGGGTTTAGGCTGAATTTATGCCTCGGGTAACATTACTACCAACCGTCGACTTATTATGGAAATTTCCTTAAATTGTCGGTTGCGCCAGCGCCGAACAATGCAAACAGAAAATGGATAATTATTGGACTGTAAATTGCCGCGGGTACTCGGTAATTTATGTTAATTCCGATCGTAAAGTAAGTTTCAGGGTTATATGTGTCCGTAACTGGTGCACTGCGCCCCGTGGAAGTTGGTAACGCGGTAACCTACCTAGGATAGTGCTCTATCGCGTAGCCCACCTAGGGGCCCGATGGGAATCTGCCTAGGAAAATAGGACCTTAGATTACGATCATCTCGAGGATAAAGGTTGATATCGCAATCCGTAAAAAATAGTCTATTTCAACGTAGCGAGTAGTCCTGGTAGAAGCGTATCACCGTTTAATTCCCTTTTCCTCCGTTCCTCGGTATCAAATTAGGCAGTCGAATTATCTCTTTGATAAGGGACCCCGCGTTATCGTCGAGGCGTTTGTTAACGATCCACTCGGTTTCCCGTCTCGTTGGCTGGGACGGTGCGATTCGTTCTTCTCGTCGATCGCGTTTTGTCAATCGGCGACCCAGTTCCGGTAATTATCGGCGACGATTCCCCGTCGGGCTCCGCAATTGCAGCTGCACCTCGTCTCCCGGTGTCCCCGGGGCTAATTAATATAACCGGCGACGATTCATTCGCGATTGACAGGAAAATGCGCGGCGGCCGGGGAGCTCGCAATTTGTCAGCTGACAGCCGGGAGATGGGAATAAATGGACAATTACACAAATACAATGTTTGACGTCATTTCAATGACGCGAGGGACACCTGTGATTGATTGTTAATTGCCTCGGTTTGTTACCCCGTCCCGGGGAGGGAGGTGGGCGGGGTGGCCAGCCAATAATTTAATTGGACCGATCGAAGCAGATCGGGCTGATTCGGGGATGCGAGAGTCCCTCTTCCCAACTTTCCACCCCCTGCTCCACCCTTAAGGGTTCACCCTTATTCGTTCTCGCCGAGGCTTCCGATATTCCGATCGCGAACATCGCCGACATATTTACCGTCTATAAAGAAATTTGTCGAAGATGCAGCGATGTAAAAATGCACCTGCCTCGAGAGTGCACTATCGAGCCGTAATTTCGAGACGTAAGGGGCGACTTGATTTTCTTCCGATAAGCTCGGACGGTAAATGGTCGTTTTCGAGCCTCTCGGGCGTGAAAACCGAAGTCCCATCGGTCGTTTCCGAAGAAACGGTATTCGAGAAGGGCCGCACCTGCAGGCAGGTGCATCCTGTTCCTCGTTCTTTAATCTCGTTCCCTGCGACCTCAGGAGAGGCCTCCAGCGTCGGAATTAATTGTTCGCATTAATCTCGACCCACGTACACTCCCTGGGACCGTTTTCGCGTACGGTACCACCTTGACCACCTTTGTGCACTTGCGCGTGTAATTTTCGTGCGCAACGTGCGCCGATAAACGCGGGCAGATGACGACTCGCCCCCTACGGGCACGCGTGTGCACAAAAATTGCACATCCGAGGGTTAATTTAGTCATCAGTCCGTGCACCCCGAAGAGTGATGTCTCGATCGAGCGTCAGCCACTGGCTGCACCCCTAATACGCTCCGGTGACCACCCGAAGGGTGATCGGTGTGATAAGCTACGTCGTCAGGTGACACCTGAATTTTCTATCAGCTTTTAATCACCAAGATATGATCTGCCGTTTGTTGGGGCAGATGCCTAGACGCTATTAATTAATTTTTTAGGTGAGGTTTATTAAGAGGATTTTTTTTTTTTAAATATGTATTCATCGTATTTGGAGTATAGAGCGCGGTGGAATATTTTTTCCTAGACCAGGAGTCGTAACGGGAGAATCGTCGGGGTTCCATCTCCTGGAGGGAATCGGAAGAGGGGACAGTGAAACGTAAAAATGGCCCCGGCCGAATCTCCGTAATGGCGGTGGCGTAATCGAATTTTCTCCCACGGTCAAAGGGCGATTCCCGCTAATTTCACCGGGCGACGTCTACCTCGGATGGTTTAACCCCTTTAGCTCGTCGAAAACCGTCGGGCGTAGACGGGAGTTTTCTCAATTTGCCGGGGACCCGGGTACGATTCCCGGCAAACAATTTGCTCGGGAAAACTCGCGTCCAGGGACGCACCTACCAGGGCCAGGTGCATCCCCGGGATCCGCGGCCCCGTATGCAAATTTGCTTTATTGTCGCCGTCTATAAGCGCGGCCCGCCTAAACGACCATCTTCGCTCCCGGCGGCGGACTTAATTTCGTTCCTGCCCCTCTTTAATTACCGCCAATTTCCCGCATTCCCCGTCCGCCCGCGAATCGCGACGATTAGCTCGTCTGCCTCCTCGATCTTCCACGAGCCGCGAATCCTGGGGCCAGGACGATTTTCGGCAGACTTTCCATTTCACGTAGAGACGAGAAGAAAATTCCTCTTTCGGCTTTTTTTATATTTTAAGTCAAGAAAATTTCTTATAAAGGTTTTAAGAGTTGTCTATGACAGTGGTTGACGTTTTAGACCTGGGGCAAATAGAGGGAGCTTTCTTAATTTCCTCGAGGCCCGTTCAGGATTCCCAGCGAACAATTAGCCCGGGTAAAACTCGCGCCCGGGGACGCACCAATGGCCAGTTGCATTAGGGGCTTCGTACTTCCGTATGCAAATTTGTTTTATTGTCGCCGGCCATACTTACGAGTTGCCCAAACGGCCGTCTTCCCTCTCGTCGGCTTCATTTCGCTCCCCCTTTAATTATCCGTAAGTCTTCTTCATCCTTCAATTCCCAGTCCGCTACGTAACTTGCGCCTGCAGGACTTCCTGCTTCGGGACAGGTGTATTCGCCTCTTGTGGAAAATTCGACAATTGACTGACATCGGCGGCCATTTTTCCTCGGGCTTGATATCTCTCTTCCTCTTCTATCCGCCAGTTTCTCTAAGAAATGCTTCTCTTTATCCTGGAAATATTTAATATCCTTCGGTTGGGAGCCTCGCTATTTTAATCAGACGTTAGACAGACATCCTGGATCTGAATGGGCCGGTAAAACAATATGTGTTTTCCATGTTTCTTTTCTATATTTTACAAGCTGGTTT